ATTGACAACTGTAAGGGAGTCCTCGGGCTCTCAATCTCCTGGAGGGATGCAGAGATGCTTCCAAACTCAGTATGGGGTCCGGTAGCAATGACAATGCCCTGTCCATGGCCAGATCGCACCAAAGTTCCCATAAAAGCGATGTTATGTTGTTCGCTGAGACGAAGATCCGTTCCAACGGTGCCGGCAGCAGGAGAATCGTAAAAGGGCGAACGAGGAGGTGCGGGAGCATGGACTGGAAGGGACGCCTTTGTCGGGCTGCATAACGCAGCGGAAAACTTTGTTACGGGCTCGTTCTCTCCGGTCAAATTCGATTCATCGATGGTGAGATGCGTCGCACGTGTTATACGCAGGTCCGCCGGAATGCGGTCACCAGTAGAGAACAACACCAGGTCTCCCGGCACCAATCTGTTGGCAACGACAGTGGTAGATCCTTTAGCAGCTTCACTCCCGGAAGATGAGGAGCTGTCCGTAAGATCCTGCATCTCATACTGATCTTTTGTACTTGCTGCCCCAGGAGTCGTTCGGCCCGTGGAGCCGGATGGGAGGTTGCGCACCAGGTGGGCATAATGAGGAACAAGTCGATTCAACGCCTCTAACGATTTCTCTGACCTATATTCCTGCACAAATCCCACCGTGACAACGATGGTAACGGCGAGGGTAATGCTAACAGCATCGTCGAAATTGCGCATAAAGAAGGATATCGCAGCAGAGGCAAGGAGTAGAAGGATCAACGGCTCCTTGAATTGCTTCAGGAACCGAAGCCAAAGTGGTTCCGGTTCCTCGTGAGGCAGCTCGTTCGGGCCATCTCGAAGCAATCGCGCTTCGGCGTCACTCGGGGTCAGACCATGGACGAGGTCTGTATTGAGCCGATTTGCCGTCTCTTGGGGACTGAGCTTCGAGTAGGTCGAGGTAATGGAGGAGGATTGCGCTGTAGATCGTTTCAGGGATGAAGATGCGGGAGACGGAGTTCGTCGAGGGGGAATGGAGGCATTGTGGAGCGGTAAGGACGAAGGATACGATGCGGACATATCTCAAGCTTGCATGACCAGTAAATATCAGCTCTGCCGGTTCACCCTCTCATCCCGCGCCCAAATTGAGGGCTGGCAAAAAGGCCAGATGCTAGAGAAGATATGCCACAGGCATGAACCTAAATTGTCTGAAGTTGTGTGTGACAGCAAGGAGGCTTTGTTCAACGGTCACTGACAAAGTTCAGACGGAAACAGGAACACAAGGGAGAAAGTTGAAGAGAGAAGACCAAAAAGCAAAAGGTATTTCCAAATCACACTGGAACAAAAGATAGATGTCAATGATGTGGGAATAGATGGTAGACTGCTCTATTATGTCCTTTATAGAAAATTGCTGCACTCTCGCTTCCACGTCGCATCTAGCTGCCAGCCGAAACTCAACCGCAATGTTGTTCTTCTTGCGGCTCCAGATCTTGGGGGCCCAGACCCGTTAGCGCCTATTAGGTAAGCACACCGCCGCCTCCTGAGTGGTTGCACGGGATCGCATTTTTTCCGCTTCCGGTCATATCAGATAGGTACGCTAGTAAGAAAACGGCGTAACGTTACGGAGCACTTTTCCATCACGTGACTCAAGCGTAACGGGGGCGGTGTGCTTGGCGCAGTTCTCCAGCCACCCGAGTTTGTTGTTTTGTTCCTGCTTGCTGCCTTCGCCCGGGGAACGGAGCAGCACCACGACAACTCCACTCCCACCCAACGCGCGCCAGAACCCCCTCTCCACACACCATCACAGCAACTCTGCCTGCGAACCAGTTCGCTCCCTGTGTTGACAGCCGCAGATCGGTGTGCAATTTTCACGCAGTACCCCATACGCCTGCTCGACGGACTCTTCGGAGGGTCTTGGGTCTTTCGCTTCTTCCGTCGCGACTTGTTTGACCCCGTGACCGATGTCGTGGACGCCCGTTCGCGTCGATGCTCTCCGCTAATTGAGATTTTTTTTTTGACTTGACTTGACTTGACTCGACTCGACTCCCGCGCCAAGCCAGCAGCGACATCTCGACTGCCAGAGATTCGGCGATCGCGAGTTCACGATGTTCTATTCCGAAACTCTTCTGTCCAAAACTGGGCCGCTGGCTCGGGTATGGCTTTCCGCCAACCTCGAGCGCAAACTATCCAAGGCCCACATCCTCCAGTCTGACATCGAAAGCAGTGTCAATGCCATTGTAGATCAAGGCCAAGCCCCCATGGCTTTGCGACTGAGCGGCCAGCTGCTATTAGGCGTTGTTCGAATCTACAGTCGCAAAACCAGATACCTTCTCGACGATTGCAATGAAGCATTGATGAAAATTAAAATGGTCCGTGTTCTTTCCTTCTTTTACGTTGAACCTTACATCTCTTGCTGACCCATCGCCTGCAGGCATTCCGCTTAACGAACAACAATGACCTTCCAGCCACCGTTCCATTGCCCCCAGGCGGTATCACCCTGCCTGATGTTTTGACTGAGTCTGACTTGTTTATGAACCTGGACACCTCCATTTTGTTTTCGCAGCCATTACAGCTCGAGCAACATGACAAAAGACCCATGTCTTCTCTTGGTTGGTCGAGTCAACTGCTCCCCGACAGCAGCTCGCCGGAAAAAACTCGAGCTGTCGAGAGACCTCATTTGGAAGATGATACTGGCCTTGTCCTCGATTTAGGTGAAGACGAAGATATTCCTCTCGGCCACGATACTAGCATCGAAATTGGCAGAGAGGCTCCCGCCGCGCGTCCCGTCGGCGAAGACTTGTTTAGCGAAGAGCCTCAATTGTTCAACGATGACTTGGATCTTGACCTTGGGATGGATGCTGCTCCGCTCCATAAATTTGGTGGTAACGATACTCGACTTGCGCAAGAGGAAATAGACAAGGCCGTGCAACAGGAGGAAGATGTGGCAATGGGTGGGATGGGCGAACTGGATGTCCCCATTGCAGAGGACACCACTATTATGCCAGACCAGGAAAGCGAGCTTTTGCGGGATTCACAGTCTCCTCTTTCATCTGCGCGCTCAAGTGTGGTTCGGGACTTGGAGGATCCTTTCATGAGTGAAGATGCTGTTACGGCGCGACAGCAGCAGAGAGCCAAACGGAGAAAGCTAATCAAACCTGATAATGAGACGTTCTTCTCGGCAACTAAGATTAAGCTGCAGCAAGATGATCGCACCAAGATTCTAAAGCCAGAATCATTCCTCTCATTCCTTCCGCGTGACCCCGTCCTTCTCACCTTAATGACCATGCAGGAAAAGGGACAATTCGCAACGAGCGTCATGGGAGGCAGCGGCGTATACAGCTGGGCTCCAGAACTAAGAAATATGTTGTCAATAGATTCCGTGCGACAAGCTGGTCAGCTAAAGCGAAAGAGGGACAGCGGAGTTTCCGACATGGATATTGACGGAGGAGAGAAAGCTCCACGTCTCGAATTAGAAGAAGATGAAGGCATAGTGCACCTTGACGAAGCAGTCGGTCTTGGATGCGATTCATCGAGCGTACTTAATGCCACGGAGGTTCATCTTCCCGTGGAGGATGAAGCGCAACCTCGTCCGGTCGGTGAAGAGTGGAGTGACGAAGAAGGAATCGGTCACAGGGACGAGTACGAAGATGGAGATACGACTATCCAGCCCGTTGACAGTGGCCCAATCTCCCTAGGAACCAAGCACGCTGTCCATATCCTCCGCGATCAATTCGGTACCCCACCCTCCGCCGATACTCCATCGCAATCAAGGGGGAAGAGTGTTCTCTTCCAAGACCTTCTGCCCGAGAAACAAACAAGCAAGAGCGATGCGACAAAGATGTTTTTTGAAGTTCTCGTTCTGGCTACCAAGGACGCCGTTAAGGTTGAGCAAAGCAGCAACACCATCGGTGGACGTCTAAGAATTAAGGGCAAGCAAGCTCTATGGGGATCCTGGGCCGAAACAGAAGCTGGCGGCGAAATTGCGTCCCAGGAAGCGGAGATTGCCGCTTAAGGCCCTCAACTTGCGAGTGTGGTGATGCGGTGCCCCTCCCTTCGATGATTCCCCTATTTTGGGTACTTTGATACTTACTTTGGTGATCCATGTACGAGCTCTCTTTGGTCGCGCCCTGATATTTTTGTTTGTTTCCATGCTTTGGAATCTTTTCTTTTTTGTTTTTTTTTTCTTTTGTCTTGTTTCCTTGTACGGCTGTTTCTCATCCCGGAATAGTGGGAATCAACCCAATACCCTTCCCAAACTCAGCAGTGTCAAGGTATTTTGTGTATGATTTTCCATTGCCTTCGTTTGGGGTTCGAAAAATGTTTTGGTTGCTTTCAGTCCCTTGGAGGTTCATTGCACTGATTGGTTTTTCTCATTTGGACTTGAGGCGGATTGGTGCGTTGCGCATTTAGTTACTTCTGTAAGATTTAGGATCTTGGGATCAAATTCTTCAACTCGTATCTTTAATGATAGAAAGTTTAGCTTTGCATTCAAATACTCGCGACAGATGCGTGTTAAACGTCATGATTGCTTCGATGACATGAAACTCGCTGCCGGAAGACCGTCAGTTTCACTGGGCTGTTTCAGCTTCGCTGTGCATCACCAGGGCCTAGGCGTCCATTGGTCAATTGTTTCAAGCCCACACAAAAAAAAGGCGGCGGAGAAGTCCTCCCGACGCGACACGACCGACCGGTGAACGCCAACACCACAATCTCGACGTGCTCCTCCCGAACTGCCCGTCTTGTTCCTATAGTCACACCACGATTGTGTTCGCGACATGGCAGGCAAAAATTGAAACTGGGGGAAAATGGATACCTACATATCTTCCTGGACGCGTCCGGGCTTCTGGTCTTCCCGCCCTTGATTATTCATTTAGAATAATCGATTCCCTTTTCTTTTTTCACTGTATCTCTTTCGTTTCTCCCAGACTTCCTCAGGAAAGGACAGTCTTATAGTGCTAGCCATATTTCATTCTTCCATTCAACCCTTCTGGATTGTCCTGGAGACTATCCCTATCCCTTTTCAGTCGCTTGTTTTACATCAACGATATCATGATGAACTGGCCACTGCTTTCAAAGGCCCAGGATTCTCGCTCTTCGCAAGATAGCAGAGATCCCCGCTGGGAGACGGATCTCTATGGCAGATTTGCAGCTGGTATATTTTCAGTAATTTCTATCTCCTTGTTCGCCGCGGCCGTGCCGCGTTGGGACTCGGGCTTGGTGGAAGCGACGGGCTCGACATTGGGTAAATGGCAGGATATTATGCCGATTGTGATGGTATGAGGAGAGATGTTGTTTCTTTTTTACCTTGACTAAACAATTTTTTTCCCCCTACTCCCGATTCAAACCCTAATGATATTTCGAAGTTATCGGCGGAATCTATGCTATCATCCCATGTCTACAAGCAGAGTTTGGCTCTCAGAAACATGCAGTGGCTAACACAACAGTCTTGGTGCAGCTTGGCTTTTCATTTTTGTTTAATGTGACCAACATAGTGTACACCACATACCTCTTCGAATCTCTCCACCGGATTGCGAGACTGGTCGGGGATGCCCTCATTTGCGCCTCCTTCGTGCCCGCAATTTTTTTCGCAATATGGCACGCCAACTTTCGGGTTTGGAGACCCGCTGTAACAGATGGGTTGGCGGTCATCATCTGCACCGAAGAAAACAAGTTTGCACGAGAATGCTTTCCTAATTTGTATGAAATTGGATCTCTGGAGCTCGGTGCTGTGGTGTTTTCCGGTGTTGTATGGTATGAAACTGGATAACAGACCCAACCGCTGCGTACAACGTGACTAACAATGCAGTATAGGTTGGTGCACTTGATGCTGTTTCTTTACACCATATATGCGATCTATGCTCCTGAGCCGAAACAAAAGTGTCGTCCACGTTTCCACGATCATTATTATGGCCACAACAGGCATCACAAGCAACGGCATGGTGGTCACCGTCGCCATAGACACCGTCGACGCCGGCAAGAAAAGAAAGAGCGAATTTTTGTTCGACTGGATGACTGTGAGTATGGTGTCAAGGGGGATTTCTACACGCCATATCATCAAATAGTTGAGGAAGTGCGATATCCAGGGTCAGCGATGGGCTAAGGTGGGTGATAGGCTACAATGGAAGGAAAGGAGCCTGGGGTCAAGATTTCTATAAAAGATGGGCAGGACAGTTGAGTTCGAAGGTAAAAGCTGAAAAGGTGCTCACCTAGCCATGGGGGGAGCTCGCGCGTTACGAACATAACATACATGAAATAACGCTTGATGATTTAACAAAAAAAAGGCAATTTAATTTTACGACGACATTAGGAAATATTACACACTTTTTCTGTCTCAATTATCTAAATAATCTAAGCATTTTTGAGCTTCCGTGTATTTGCTACTATGTATGTACGGGGTATCCCTTCGGACGGAGGCGAAAGCCAACCTCGCCAGTAGCGATGATATCATAGCCCAGAACCAGCTTCAACCCATTATCAATCAGGTATGAAGCAAACCGGAGTGTCAGGCTACGAAGTATTAATTTATTTATCCAAGTCGTATAGCTTCTCTACTTTACGAGTCGCATTCCACCTTCGCGAGAGATTTTTTTTTTCTTCCCTCCAGTTGATAAGAAACAGTGTAAGCTCTGATGGCCGTAAGATCATCACAGGAAGGCATACGGAGTACTAACAAAACGGATCGGCAGCGAACGCACGTAATCGGCGCATAGTTACTTTTTTTTACTCTTCAAGATAAGCAGATATGCCCGATCCACCACCCTCAGGCGGTCCCAGAACTGGAATCTCATCCAAGGCCGCCACCCGTCGCGGCGGTGCCGGCGCTGAGCCCACTCCCGCCACAAACGTAGATCACGACGGTGGTCCCCATTCACACCAGCTCGACGCATCCCAATCCGAGGCCGTGCAAGAGAGTGCCAGGCGACATCATGGACACAGTGAGACGAGGTGGGCATCAAAATTTGCATCGCTGCAAGATCAGAAAAAACACGGTGAGGAGATGCATGGGTACGAGGGCGGTCATCCGGTGCCAAAGGAGCGTTCGTTTGCGGAGCAAAAGCCTGGCAGCAAGAGTCTAGCGGGACAGTTTATGGAGAAGTAGATTTCCCTTTTGCCTTTCTATGCTCCCGACAGAAGCTTTCGATTCGAATGTTTGCCTTGCGAGAGATCGGGCGATGCTGACTTTGACTTTTCCTCTTCGCAGATTTAGATGATCCGTTTGAAGTCGCCTGTTGTTGGTGTCTTCCCGTAGGAAAATAGCCTCTGAGACTCTGTCTTTCTTATATGTGCCTGGAACTATGGTGGAATTTTGCCCGTGTGGGATATCTTTGCTCAAGAATAGTCGAACGCTTACTCTATGTAGTTAGTTACTTGTTCTCTCTGCATATGCAGAGCACAAATGTATATTTCCAGCTGTACCACCTGCAAGGTCCACGAGGGCCAAAGATCCTTCGAGCGTCAATCAAATGTATGCAGGCGGATGTTGTGTTTGGGCATGTCTTGATCGACCCAAAGAATGCGCAAACGGTTTGTGTGCCGCCAAACCTCACGTGGCGTCGGCCCGACGGCCAAGCTCGGCGTGTTGTTTTTTTTAGGCTGAGGCCGCTCAAGATAACTCCGAAGTCTACAGCACCGAGACGACGAAATGATAAGAAGGGTAGGTTGGAATGACCTTACAGAGTTCGACATGGAGATGGTCAGGGTTCGCTAGACGAACACGAAGGAAACCGGGCAATGTCGTTTGAAGAGAGTGTTAATTAAGTATAGCTTGTTAAATCTTCGTCTCTACGGAGTACTCTGTGCCGTCTTCAGCGCCGAACCAACGCGAAAAATGGACACAGAAAGGCCAGTCCAAAGTCAGCCTCAATTCTGTCCGTTAATCAGCTGTAAGCTGCACACGGAGTAATCATTTGCCGAAATTGTCAACGGGACCCGAAACGCTGAAAAACCGGGTGCACAGCCTATGAACGATTACTAAAATGGCGAGCCGGAGCTGGTTGACGTTATGACCCACTCGTGAGGAAAGCTTCAGCTTATTTACCTTGAGAAGCTAACTAACTTGCCTTATCCTTTATTCATCAATCGCCCTGTGTGCTGGCAATGGATCTGGATTTCAGTCCTATGCCCGGTCTGATATCCCTACCTTCGACGCTCTATTCGCCCGGCCGATCGTAGTCCATTCGGCTGTAGGTCTCATAGAACGATATGTCGAGAACAGAAGCTGATACTTCCGGTACAACCAATGCAAATAGCCTGAGCAGCACCGAAAAGGAGAGACGGTATGGACCCATCCGACAGTCGCAAGATACTGGTCGCATCTCGGCATTAGTACGCCAAAGCACCTCTAGGTCATTGGAAAGATCGACATCGTTAGGAGATGGATACACACACCCCCATGTTGACAATGACAGGTTACAGGATGTCGAGGATGAAGAGAAGTTGGAACAGCAACGAGCAGTGGATTTCGTGGTTGGGTGGGATGGCCCGAATGACCCTGATAATCCGCGAAATATGACCTACGCGCGGAAGTGGCTAATTGTAATCATCCTGGCCATGGGTTCGCTTTGCGTGTATGGACTCCCTCCATGGGGCCTCGCCGTTTGTTCGTGGAATCAATTACTCACTACGGTGCTTTAGGACGTGTGCCTCTTCCATGTATACAATGACATACTCGCAACTGACCGAAGAATTTGGTGTTTCGCGGCTTGTTGCTACATTGGGGTTGTCCACTTTTATCCTGGGCCTTGGTGGGTTCTGTGTTGTTACATTCCTATCACTTCACCAGTTTTGACTGACGATAATGTTTTATATTAGGGACTGGGCCTCTTTTCCTTGCTCCGTTGTCGGAGGTATGTCGATCTATCCTTCCCGTCCGTCTCGTGCGCATGAATACATCTAACTTTTAGCAGTTTTTTGGGAGACGCATAATTTACATTATCTCTTTTTCCTGCTTCGTGGTCTGGCTGGTTCCATGCGCAGTGGCACAGAACATTGCAACGATGGTCATCTCGAGGTTTTTCAATGGCTTGTCTGGAAGCGCCTTTTTAAGTGTGGCTGGTGGAACCGTTGGCGATATATTTGACCGGCGTCAGCTTGCAGCGCCGATGATGGTATATACAGCAAGCCCTTTCATGGGTCCGGAAATTGGTCCTTTGTAAGAACGTTTGTTTAAAGGCGCAATAGCTATTAACACCCTGCTAACCCTTCATCTTAGGATTGGTGGCTTTATCTGCCAGTATACTACATGGTAAACCTAATGTCTATTCTGGACGGCAGCTCTTTCAGAAATCGCTGACCTTCTCCTAGGCGCTGGGTCTTTTACCTCTTGCTCATATGGGCTGGAGCGATTGCAGTTGCCCTCATCCTGCTTGTCCCAGAAACTTATCATCCCGTCCTGCTTCGACGCAAAGCTATAAATCGCAGAAAGGAGACCGGAGACAACAGATGGAAGGCACCTATCGAGAAATTAGGCCGCTCCTTGGTCCATACTGTGCTCCGCTCCATATACAGGCCCATGCTGCTACTGATATTCGAGCCGATGTGCCTAAACCTCTGTATTTTCTCTGCGATCCTGCTCGGAATATTGTATCTCTTCTTCGGGGCTTTCCAGCTTGTGTTTTCGACCATTTACGGGTTTGAGCTCTGGCAAATCGGGCTGAGTTTCTTGGGACTAATGATAGGAATGGCGATTGCAACCGCAAGTGACCCGATATGGTCGAGATATTATGCACGTCTCATTCGCAATAGAGCCCAAGTTGTGGGAAAGGAGGAGTTCGAACCGGAGTGGAGATTACCACCTGGTATGTGCATTCATAGCTTGTCTGGTCCTAATTCGTGACTGATGCTGTTCGGACAGCGATTGCTGGAGCTCCATTGGTTACAATTGGACTATTTATCTTTGCTTGGACGATATTCCCAAATGTTCACTGGATCGCGCCGATAATAGGGAGCTTAATCTTCGGAATAGGGTATGTCTGCATTCTCACTCTTCCGACAATCCGCGCGAGGATGAGTTGCTCCTTGACGTGGAAAACAGCATTACACATGACTTACCAAGCCTGTTTCTGTAGAACGATCCTCGTCTACTCTGGTATTTTCACATTCCTTGTGGAATCGTACCCCCTGTACGCTGCGAGCGCCTTAGCCGCCAATAGCTTTTTGCGCTCAAGCTTTGCGGGTGCATTTCCTCTATTCGGAATTCAAAGTAAGTTCGAATGATCTCTTTCCGATTTCCAGCCATTGAGGATGGCTATGTCGATGGCCTGCCGTGCGAGCCGGCGGAAGAGATTCTCTTTAAGATCTTCCACGTGATGCTTGATGTCCTCTGCGGCATCTAATGGCGTCTCGCTTTATGAAACATGACGCCTGCAATCTTCTTTCTTGTTCTCAAGTCATCCGCAGTGTTTGAAGTCGAGAGTATCCCACCTCCACGTGAATGTGCTCTGGCCTGCAGTTGAGCAACACGACGTTGCACAGAACATAGTTGGATTGTCATGCTGACGAGCTCTTCTTCCATATGCAGTGTACCACAAGCTCGGGTACAACTGGGCAACCACTCTCCTGGCATTCTTGACCCTTGTCATGGCTCCATTCCCGTAAGTATAGGCTTCCTTTGCATAACCTCTTCCCACCCTTCAAAAACGTCCCATGGAGCTGTTCCCCGCATAATTCTTGACCCCACACCCTTCGCATGAGGATCGCCTCTCCGCGCGAGGAAGCGTTTTTCACGTGGTCCATGGGCGGCCGTATTGCCATTCTTCTCTCTGTCACGTCCTGTTGGCTCCGGCTGTGAAAGTGGAACTCTGGCCTCACTCTGCAAGCGCCGGATTTATCCGTCAAAATCTAAACGTCGCTACCACGCGTTCGTCCAACCCTTAGAGGTGGCTCCTTATATATGCTAGTAAGATTACACATCTGTTGTGAAACCGACGTTCTGGCAAACCGAATGACGAATCCTGGGCGGGATGGCTCGCATTTCAATCCGGGGCGGACCAGACCCTTGTTTGGAACTCCCTTTTTCCTCTTTTTTTTTTTGGTTTGGGAGGGTTTGTGCGAAGATGTTCTAATTTTATCTTTGTTCCAGGTACATATTCTTTCGCTACGGAAAACGCATTAGAAAGAAGAGCCGATTTGCGACTGTAAAAGCCGAGTGAGCGAGCTTTTCGCGTCGTAATATTTTCAGGCAGCCTGTTCCTCCCCAAGACACTCTCGTGTTTCGCGCTCGTGGCTGTATTTTCCGATCTAGCCCGTGGCTTGACTACCCCGTGTCGCTCGCTGATATGTTTGTAGCTACCTCGTGCTTTTTAAGGACATGTGAAAATGATACGCATCAGCCAAGCGGGCGGCTGGCGCCGAGGGAGCAAGACCGATAGAGCGGGCTGGCGAAAAACCACTTTTCTTGGTCTAGATCAACCAGGATGGTTGACAATCAGGCAATTTTGGGTTCGGCAATGGGGTTAAGCTTATTTGCCCATTGCATTTTAGCTTTGGACCAAACCTCCCCTTCGATATTGGTTCGCTGTTTCATATCAGACCGAATATCTTTTTGAGTGGCGCGGAATGAAATTGACTCGAGCAGAACAAATGTTTTGGATCTACAAAAGACCTCAGAGCGAGTACATAGATAATTAGCACATTAATACCCCATCTTAGTTACCAGATTTTGGATTGGCCTGATACCTGTGCTCTCGAGTGCAGATCGAAAGAGGCCTGTGCCAATTTCACAGTGCATATACATAAACAAAATCTCCATGTGCCGAATGCAGCGCTGAGCCGCTGCGCCTGGATATCGGTGAATGAACGGGGTTGGAAACGCGCCGCATGTTTTCAATTGCCGGCTTACTATTGAGAACTCACTAATGTAGATCATTTCTCCCTATCACAGTTCATAGAACCAAATAATGGCCGTGTTCCCTCGCCCTACGACGAGTGCTTGCTTGAAAGAGCTAGCTACGGAATACTTTTGATTGGGCATAGCTTTTCCCTCTCCCTCGGGGAAAAAACAAGTGGCATTCGGGCAGGATCAGAACGGCATCTCTCCCCCGCATGCTCTCCACATCTACAGTGCCAGATTGGTGCGTGAGTTACTGGGAAGAGAAAAAAGAAAAGAGAACAAGGAGAGCTGCCCAATATCCGACCAGTCAGAAACTAAAGGATGAGCTCTGGATGTCATATTTTTGGGGAAATGTACGGAGTTCTCCTTACGGAGTAGAGGAATTGCTTCAGGCAACTCTAAAGGCGAATCATGTTGTTGGAGTTGCGCGATGCAACAAATCGGAGCTTTTGGAATCTTCTTCGACTTCTTTTCTCTTTTGAGAAAAGGGGGGGGAAAAAAAAAGGAAGCTCTCCGCGAGTCAGGTTTTGGCTTGCATGTTTGCTCAGATTAGCCAATGACCTTTTTCTTTTCTTTTCTTTTCTTTTCTTTTTTTTTTTTTTTTTTTTTTTTTTTTTAATTCGGTTTTTGAGGGGTTTCTTTCCTTTTTCTTGACGCCTTGTGCGGAGTTGACGAGTCACCTTTCAAGCAGGGGAGCTTTATCGCACCACTTCTGAGCTTTAATGGCAGTGAGGGTGACAGTGCAACGGCTGTCGCGTGCATTGTTACCTTGGCAATGAGAATAGGGACCTTGCGAGCTGAACCAATGGGCAAGTATGGGCAAAGGCGGAACGGATGCATGGATGGGGAGTCGAGGACGAAACATCCAGATCATGACTCCTCGCAAACAAAAATAGAGAAATTCCTCCGTACGGAGTACGCGTTCGAAGCGCACAGGCCTCAGCGACGCAGACTTGCGACCCCGCGACCGGTCTTGGTGGCTGTGATCCGCTTGGGATTTGACTAATATTTTCTTTTTTTTTTTTTTTTTAGGCTTATGCACGTCAAAAGTGGGTGGTGATCCTGGGCTCGACCGTGGGTAGCCGGAAGGGAAGAATTGTCAACATGGATTGAACTGGCAGCCAAAAGAGATGGAGTTGTTTTGGAAATAAGAGTGCAGAAAGAGACCTTGTCTCATTCGTTTGGAGGAATGTGTGAAAAGCCTGGATCAACTATATGTGTATTTTGTGTCGCGCAAGGTTGGCCAACTAATGTCGCTAGTTCGAAGCCTTGACGCAAACTCGGGATGGTGAGGGCTTTTCAATTTGACAAACGAGCTAAATCTGGCGTCTTCTTTTTTAGCTTCGGCTCCTGGGCTCATGTGTCACCGATTTACCCGGCTAACTAGCGAGATTTTTATTTAGTGCCATGAGGGGAGGGGGGGGATGGAGTCAAGAAAGGGGGAAGGATTGGACGACGAAGAGGAAAGATTTGCGCCCAGGCTTGACTGATGCTGGTTTGAACGGGAAGACGGAGACTGCGCATTTGCAAGAGACTGTCAGTGAGGTGATGAAGACGAGTGAATGGACATCGAGCGAAGTTGATGGTGTGTTGGGCTGATCGTCCCAGAACCTCGGTTCGGCAATCGACTGGGCGACTGGTCGTCTCTTGAGCTGGAGAGAAGAGAAGAGATACTTTTTAATTATGTGTGTATTTACGGCGTGCTCTGGCCAGCTCCAACCAGTTTCAGGGACTCGGATAGGAGTAGCAGGGATATATACTATGTAGCGAGGTTTGACAGCAGCGGATCTGGCTAGCAATCCAGTAGAATAACATGCCTGCGAAGCTCTAGACCATCCAGCATTAGGGGAGCCGATTGGATTCTGCGCGAGGAATGCAAGGAGCAGCAGGATCATTGCAGGACCTGCTTGATCCCATTCGACGCACAGGAGCAGCAAAGGCGGAGGCGAAATTTTTCCTCATTAATCGTTAATGTAACTAAGATGCTGCTGTTACGAAATGGGTCGAGGGAGCTCCAGGTGAAGTTGCACGCCATCGACGCATCCCCCACTGACTCTCGGTACAAGGGTGGAGAGGCAGCGGCGGGAAGAGACAGGGTGCTATCTGGGGAAGACGGCCAACATCCGTGGAAGCTGAAGGCGGGTGTGGACTGGGGCGGACAAGCCCGACGAGCTTCTGCCTTCGGGAACTAGAGCCTAGCGGACAGACAGACACAGGCTGCTCTGGAGGAGAGGACGTCCATGTCTGGACTGAAGACATGTGAGAGGGCGCGACGGGCATTCATATGCAAGTCGAAGGGCATCGTCGAGGGCGAAGACGAGCAGATGAGACGAGGGCAATTCGAGCGCAATAAACAGTAAAAGCAATAAAGTGTAAAATAAAAGAGATTTATTGATCTCGAATTTGGCTGTGGATTCCCGCCAGCCCTTTATTTTTTTTATTTTATTTATTTTATTATTTTTTATTTATTATTTTTTTTTTTTGCTGCTGAGTATTTAAAAGTCTTCCCCGCAGCGCCGCCGTCATCGACTGCCAAACCGCCGCCATCATCGCTGAAAACCTTTTTTTCCTCTCATCCCTTTCGCCTCAATTCGCCTGCTCCTGGACGGCCTCAGTCCCCCGGGAACAGCGACGAGCCCGACAAAACACTCTCGACCCGCGCGGTTCTTATATCAGAGCCGGCCCGAAGCTACCAAACACTGACTGACTGCTCGCTCGCATCTCCACTCCGCCAGAAACTTTCACTCTTCATCCCATCGATCCTCCGAACCAGCTTGTCACCCAGTCCTCTTCCTCGCCGTCTTCTGCACGCCAGACGGAGCCCGTTCCTTGCATTGAACTGCACTCCCTCTACTCCTTGCATCGCACGCCATCCCGCCCCGTTCCTCGATCGCGTGTGAGTTCGGTAGCCGAGCGCTCCTGTCACCCGCACACTTTTTTCAGCCCTTTCAGCCCTCCCCGCGACGATCTCCCATATCCCACTCCTCCTAGGCGCACCCATGAGCGCGTTGGCGTGATCGGATACCTGCCTGCCACTCGTCGACGGTCTCTGCACGTCGCTCTCCCTGCGTTTCCCACGTTCCCATTCGTTACCAGACCGTCCGCCGCCACAGCTTTCGCTCGCCCATTGCCTCGAATTCTCCCACAGCTCGAATTGTGCCATCATTGGCTCTCCGAACTGCCTGAACGAGGGAAGCATCGTTTCTTTTTTCTTTTTCTTTTTTTTCGCTTTTCCCGCACTATTGCACGTCAACCGGACCCCTTCTGCCTGCACCTGGCCTGCTCAAGAAACCGAGTTGCGTCGCACGACATACGCCTCTTTCCAACATCTCACCCTCTCCGCCCTCACTCCCTCGTGATCTGGGCTGTCCGTGTATTGTCACCGCTATTTTCCAATTTAGAGCCTGTCGTGCGACTCGACGGAACCGTCCCTTTTCCTTTTTTCTTGCCTCTGCGCCGATAATTCGCTTCATCCAAGAACTCCTCACTCGTGTAGACACCAATCCGCCAAGCTGGAATCGCTCACTGACCCCTCGTTGCTTATTCCTGGTTCGGTGCTGTCCCCAGGTCGTCCGGACAAGACACTATTATAACCTGCAGACGGTTACATGCAGGGCGGGGGGAATTTTCTCCCGCAAACGTGGGCATCGATCGGCAACAAAGGAGACGCGCTGACTCTCCACAAGCCGTATTAGCCTGAATCCCGTTCAGCCACTCATCCTCACTCCATCTGCGGGGATTGCTATTCTTGAGCTTTGCCGCAATTATTAGCGCTTTCGCATCCAAAAGAAGACACGGGAGGAAAACGTAGGTGTCCTGCTACGCCCCATCGCGACAGGGCATCCTCCTGGAAAGCTATATATTATGACGACTAATGCCATAAACGGGCCCGTTCTTCCGACACCGCTTGCAACCCCTGGGGATAACAACAAGCCTGCGGATACAACTATGGCCGATCAGGGCACCCGGCCCGAGTCACAGCCTCAGGGTCAGAATAACGGTGCCAAACCCCAAAACGGCCAAACGAAACCCATGTCGGCCGCAAACGCGAAGGATCCCTTGCGTCCTCGAAGGAAAAAGGCAAAGAGAGCTTGTTTTGCCTGTCAGCGGGCCCACCTTACGTGTGGTATGTGCAGCCTCTGCACTTTTGGAATTGCTGTGTTCTACTTTTCCTGGTTTTTTTTTTTCACTTCTTTTTCTTATTATTCTTCTTCTCCTTCCCGTTTTATTTGGTGTTTGTTTCTTTTTGCTACAAACCGCGCCTCCAACTTTGGCAGTGCATTCTCGTCATGATATCAATGTTGCACTCAACCATGAACACCCAACCCTGACCACGTTGCAGACGATAACCGCTTTGCCTTTTTTTTTTTTTTTTTTTTTTTGATAAGCCATTACTAAGTTCCAGTCAACAGGTGACGAGAGACCGTGTCAGCGTTGTATTAAACGCGGAATTCAAAATGCGTGTCACGATGGTGTGCGCAAAAAGGCGAAATATCTGCACGATGCCCCAAATGAAGCCCTCATGCCTCATCTCCAAGGACATTTATATACCACCCAGGCAAACACAGCTCGCCACACCATGCCTCTCACCCGCAATGGCTCCAATTCCAAAACCAATTTCTACCCTCAACAACAAAGCAGTTTCAACAATTTCTACCAGAATAAACCAGATCCAACGTTAAACCAGCCACAAGTCCATGACACCGGCAGACCCGACACCTTTCCGTCCCAGTCTCCCGTTTCGCCAACCTTCAACATGACGGCCAACCCAGCAGCATCTGGAAACCAGGGCCTACCCTCTTCCCTTTCTGCTTCGAACAGTAATGCTTCAGGCCAGGCCCAAAATGGATTCGGCTCTGCATTCTTTGACCCCAGCGACCCAGCCCTATTTAATTTTGATCTTGCAAGTATGAATTTTGGAAATCACTACGGTGCTTTGGAATTCGGTATGCTTGGACACATGGCGACCGGCGCTGGAGAGACACCGCCAAGCGACGGTGCGACTCAACATGGTTCTGTTGGCCGAAGTGGCTCCGGCACATACACGGCCGGGTCAAATTTCGGAGAGAGCCCTACGGGGCAGCCTTCCTTTCTATTTGGCGACCCTACCATTGGAGGCGATTGGACATCATCTGTGAATACGCGGAACATATATGGCCAAAATATGAACAATATGTCAGAGACGCCGCACGCTTTTGCGATTGAGAGCGCACCGGCAAATTTTGCGAGTCCAAATTCGATAGAGAGTCCGCTACTCACAAACACCACAACATTTGACGATAACACCGCTCCAACGTATGCCAACCGTGCCAATATCAACTCAGTGCCCTCGCAGAGACAGCCAGTGGTTTCAACGCCACAACTCAAACATCTGCAGGTGGGAAAACGGAGACAACGAAATCCTTCCGCCATTTACGACAGTGTCAAGGAGCCTTACTCGTATACCACGGGCTTCCATTCCCTTACAGCTTTCATCCAACGACGTTTTGCTCCTCAGAACACGTTACGGATAGCGAAAGCTTTGGCGTCAATTCGTCCTTCGTTCATCGCCACGACGAAAACACTCAACCGGGACGATCTGATATTCATGGAGAAATGCTTCCAGCGCACGTTATGGGAATATGAGGATTTCATCAACGCATGCGGCACACCGACGATCGTGTGTCGACGAACGGGCGAAATCGCCGCTGTGGGCAAGGAATTCAGCATCCTCACCGGATGGAAAAAGGAGGTTCTTCTCGGCAAAGAGCCCAACCTGAACATCAATACCGGTGGGTCCTCCGGGGCCATGTCCGGAGTCACCTCCAGGGGAAGTTTCACGCCTCGCACAGGAATGGACGTCAACCCCACCGGCCGAACGCAGCCGGTATTCCTGGCCGAGTTGCTGGACGATGAGAGCGTGGTGGAATTCTATGAAGATTTCGCGAAACTTGCGTTTGGCGATTCGCGAGGAAGCGTGATGACAACGTGCAAACTGCTGAAATACAAGACCAAGGCGGACATGGACATGCTCTCCGGGACCACCAGCAGCGCTGGAGGGGAAAACGAACATGGCGCTGCCGGAAACGGCGATGTCAAGCCCGAAAACGGTATGGGCGCGAGCAATGGACAGTCGCAGCACTCGTTGCAACGACAGCGGAAGTGGAGCAGAGGGGGAATCGCCGGCGAAGCAGGGATGAACCAGTTAGGGTTCAAAGATGGTAAAGTGGAATGCAGTTACTGTTGGACTGTGAAAAGAGATGTCTTCGATATACCCATGTTGATTGTTATGAATGTAAGTCCGATTGCTACCAATAAATGGTATCTTCCCATCGTCTTTTTCGGACAAACTTGCTGACATGTTTTTATTAGTTTCTGCCATGCATTTAATGGCTCGTTCTATTTCCCATCGGGACCCTGTAGGGCTTGGAGTTTTTCTTTTATTTTCTTTTTCTTTTTTTGGGGAATCTAGGGATTCGACTTCATATACACCTTTATGGATTATGGGACATTGGTTTAACTTATTATAAGAACGGGAGTAATAGGGCGACCTACAAAAAAAAGGAAAGGGGAAAGGAGACAAAAAAAAAGAAGATATACGGGTTATATCGTGGGCCGCGGAGTCCGGATAGGGTTTTCTTTTTCTGTCTTATTCTTCTTCTGATTCTTTCGCTTCGACACCATGCCGCGGAGATTTAACGTGTGACCCTGCAGCGCATTGTCTCCGCCTCTATGGATATATATACCAGCAATGCTGTTGATGCGGCATGTATACTGAATTTCAGTTGCGTAGCTATATATACATGAAAAGATAACGACCTTGGGCTTGTGAACACAGGGGCGGATCCCTCATCAAGTTGTGAACTGCCAAAGCATGACTGAGTGTTCATTTTTACTACGGAGTACTCTGGATCTTTTCTTCATCACAATTTTCGGTTTCTATTGCTTTTGTGTGTACTATATGTACGTCGGGAGCGGCGCGGGAAGAGTAAGCGTTGGTTAGTGGACCCCGCCCGTTCCGCCCGCGATCCCCGATGGACGCCGATGTTCGCTGAAGAGGGACCTCATGGTTCGTTGGTTCATTCTAATATATAAATTCTAGCTTTGGAGATCCAACAAGTAATTTTTTCCATCCTTACACAAGTCCCCTTGTATAACTATTCAAGCTGTAGTTAGTTAATAAGCGGTTCAATCTACAAGTCACGAGCCCAAAATCAAATCCGTGGGTAAAAACCGAACCCCTCGATTTAAAGGAACCAAAAGGGCATGCCCCGGCTAACCATTCGTCCTGTCAACCGTCCTACAGTTTAGTCAAGAACCAAAGAGAAACAGCAAAACCACAGTCGTCAAGATGTGCATGCAAGCCACCTGTAGTGTCTGCGGTATGTCCACATCCACCGCAAGCAACGTCTCTCGATAAACCAGCTTCGGAACTAACTCCTCCTTTTTTCCCCATATCTCTAGAGAAGAAAACCTGGCGCGGCTGCGGCCAGCACGTCCCCTCAGTGATGGGCCACATCCCCAAGGACCAATGGTGCACATGTGCTCCGAAAACGAAAATCGGCGAGACCGAGTTCCCGCCAAAGGTGGGCGAGGGAAAGGCCCAAGCGGAAGAGAAATAGGTTGCTGACTTTCTTGGTGCTTCTTACCGCGCGGGAGGTACGAAAAGGCCGGGAACATATGCCTTATTCTGTAAATGGAACGGATGGGGCTTGGGGTTTGGGAGAAGAGGGGAGGAGAGGAGCAGAGAAGGAAGATTGGGCTGGGCTGGGCGGTATTTATAGACGGTCGAGGAATGGCGAGTACCCTGCGAGGGAGTGGAGATGCGACGAGAAACTGGGCGGAGCAGGGAACGGGGGAGTTGGGCACATGGCAGCGGTGACTGGGATGTGTGTCGAGAAACTACGGAGTCTGGAGGAACTAAACTACACTGTTTGCATCTCTTCTTCAAACATGATTGCCCCTGTGGTGAGATGGGTGCTCAGGTGTGTGCCCAGTGCATACCACACATATTGCCCTATTAGACTAACCGTATGAACCTCTTAAGAGTATGGGTAAATAATTATTATGTAGTAAATGAATGGCGGAACTTTCCAGTTCGCTGTGGAGCAACGGTCAGATACTCAAAAATAAAATAAATCAAAAAAAGCGGAAGCTTCGCCAAACCAGTTGTCGCGTCCTTGAGTTGAAGAGAATTATGCGTGATGAGAAAAAAGAAAAGAAAAAAAGAAGATGTTTAGCTGTTCAGGTCCTACCCGGAATCGAACCGGGGTCAACGGAAGACTCTAATGATAAATCAGAATCCGCTATGCTAACCGCTACACCATAGAACCGCTTGATGGCTGTCCAGACCGAGAACCGCGGCTAATTATCAAGAATTCCCCGCTCTTTACCGGCGGGGCCCTCGGAACCTTATCTTATCTCCGCGATCTCGCGCTCGGCTGAACGACACCGACACCGTCCTTCTTGCGGTCTGCCTGCCCGCCTGTCTGCCTGTAGCTGTGGGCGCCCTTTGTTCATCTTGACTGGAAAGATCTGCTGGCAGCTATCCGACAACGACCCGTGCTTTTTTAGAGTGACTACGAGGATCGAGGCGGCAACACGCTGACCCCGACGCGCGATGCGACCTGATACCCCGCGGGATCCCCTTGCTGGGCCAGACAGCGGCCCCGAGTCCCCATATCCCATCCGGCTCTCTGGACCCGTCATAAAAGGCTTTGGAAGGGGAAGTAAGGAGGTAAGTGGTTCACCTTTCCTGCTTGAAACGACGTTCCATCCTCCCCAGCGAGCCCTTTTGTCAGCCTGATTTGACCCGATCAACGATACCAATGCGCTGAGAGGACCTAGTGGCGCCATATGAGCATATAGTCTTGTGAAGCGTTGTGTGTGGGAGGCTTGAGAGCTATGAGAATCTGCGACTACCTTGAGAGCCCCATAAGCCCTTCAGATTCCATCTAATGTATTGCTTTTGGATCCTGTCCATCTGTCCCTATGCCAATACTTCCTTTTCTCCCCCCCCATTGTTTTCCTACCGCGAGAAATGACTGACACTGATCGCCCACATCAGCTCGGCATCCCGACGGCCAATATCCCAGCAGACGGACTGTCCGAACACCCCGACCTCGAATCAGGAGTATACTACGGCGTTGCGGCTTTAGAGCCCTCCAGATTCCAACCAACCGACGCCGAGATCCAAAAAGACCAACCCAGCAATGAAACCACAATCCTTCCGTGCGTGCTAAGCATCGGATACAACCCCTTTTACAAGAACACCGTTCGCTCCGTGGTATGTAGAAAACATTTCGCTCTCCCTCCAAAAATTCTCCTGCCACCCCCTTTCGATACATCGTCGCATATCTTTCGCAAATACAAAAATTAACCGCACTGGCAAGGAAATCCACATCCTACCACATCTCTCCCTTCAATCATCCCCTTCCGCCTCGCCTCTCTCGTCCACTCCTACTACTCCAGACCCCACCTCCTCTCCAGGTGACAACAGCGCCAGCAAACCTCCGCACACACGCCATCACTTCCACCACTTCCCTGATTTCTACGGCACGCCTCTTAACCTGCTCATTCTGGGATATATCCGGCCCGAGTACGACTATGTCAGTCTAGAGGCGTTGGTGGAAGATATCCGGGTCGACTGCGAGGTCGCGAAGAGAAGTCTGGCGAGGAGGAAGTATATTTGTTTTATACAGGAAGGCGGAGACGTGGATGATGAAGGGACCAAGGAAGCGAGGAAGTGGCTGAGGACGTTTTGAGCTGTGACTTATAACGCTGCTTCTTCTTCTTTCTTTCTTTCTTCTTTTAAAGAGTGCTCTCTAAAGAGAACAGGTTGAATATATATACGATAGATATAGAATTTGTCATCGCACAGAATTTGAAAACAATGGTCTTCTCTGATTCTTATTTACAATGGACCCCCCGAGATTAACCAATGCAAGGGAATGTATGAAAGAGACCAATATAACACATCAGACAACGCCCGGCTATGCAGGAATGCTACAATCCAGTCTCATGCTAGGCTGCTTAGATGAATGGCGAGAAAACAGACATGAGGAACGAGTTGCAGGTTAAAAAAGGAGGCCGAAAACGGTATTAAACGCATTCCTCATAGCTAACCCAAGACTTGTAAAATCAAAGGGAACAGTAGAGAAAAACAGTCAGAAAAGTGGAAGGCGGGTCGGCTATGCGCGAGAAACATGTCCACTCTTTGCCGCGGGTTACAAGGTTCCTCAAGCGCAAAGCATACGCCATCGCGCTCGTGAGCATCCGCCTAGAGTTGAATGAGATCGACCTCCGAGAAATCAGGGGGACTTCGACTGAAAATGGCACGACAACGTCCATCCAACGCCTGATACTCATTACTAATCCATATATGTTTGCTGAACCTCTGCGTGCGGAACACTTCATCGTCGCTCACGCCGAGATCATCCCGTGGGATCCAGATCACAGGCCTCTTCATGCGAAGCGCCTCGTGCTGGAAGGCACGTTGAACAAGCTGGTCACGCTCATCGGGGGTTAAGTCTTCTAGCTCATCGTGGATACCGTCAAACAAGGCCTGGTTTATCGAACTGGTCGGTGCTTGGGCCTCGGTATCTTCTGCAAGCTTTTGCCGCATACGCTGTATCGTAGGCATGTTCGGGTCCGGCCTGCCACCAAAGTAGCGAGATCTTTGTTTTCGAGAAGGATCCGCCCAGGAAAGAGGTCTAGTGCCACTCTTCCCAGGGATAAGCCGGGTGAGTGCGTTTCTTTGGGGCTTTTTGCTGTCAATACGGTTCAGCTCAATATCATTCTCTCGCTTATGCTTTTTGTCGTCAGGGCTGGTATCTTCCTCTTCGTCTTCTCCATCTTCCAGTCCTAGTCTGCGTCTCTGGGCACGAGCAAATTCCTCGTCGCGCTGACTGGCTTCGTCCTCCAGCGTTATCGGCAGGTACCGAAAGAGAGGTTGGAATGCCCGGTTTAAAAGAAATTGGAAAAGAATGGTAGCAATAAGAAGGACTATCATACAGATAGCTTGGCCTTCGCATGCAACCTCGCCTTTCTCGTCGCGGACGAGGAAGAACATACCAATAAGGCAAATCTCCATAACGTACACGCCGGTAAAAAGCTGATTTATAGCTTTGGGAAAGAGTAAGCCGCCAGTATCAAAGCGGAACTTCGTCACATAAAGCGTGTTGTACCGGTAGACAACCCAAAACAGCGTAAATGTAAGCACGTTGAATATCATGATTAGTGGGGATATGACGCAGTAGATCAGCCCTAAACTCATTAGATGCCAAAGCCGTAAAGTGAATAATATATTACTAGCACATACCGATTGACGCGAGAGTGGTATACACCGGGAAGAATGTTCCCCACTGCATCTGATTCAAGTTTGTCGTCCTAGCCCACTTCATTCTTGCAGTGCTATCAAAAATCGGCGCCAGTATGAACCAGCTCACCAAATTGAAAATTTGAACGAGAGCACCGGCGCTGACCGACATAGCCTGGAGAACCATATAAGAGAAAAAGTAGTTGCTAGATTTGGGTATATTCGTTGCCAGAAGCTCAGGTACGCTTGTCACGTCTTTGATCGAATTAAAGATCGTCGAGAAGCCGGATGAAATAGAGACGACGAGAAACAGCTGTACAAATAAGAATGCAAAAAAATAGTTTTGAACTGTAAGTTCAATGGCCATGCCTGTATGAACTCCCTGGTTCTTCGAGAGAAAACGGAGCATAAGGGGTAATAGAGCCATCAAAATGGACAGGAATAAAGGCGGTAAGATGCCTTGGATGGCGGAAAGAAGCCATTGAGGGAGACGTGAAAGCCACCTAAGCCACACGATATTGCCTTCCAGGTACGAGAGCTGGGAAAGCAAGCCGGTGAATGCAACAGGGAATGCCCAGCCGATAACCATAGCTGACACAATAATGACAACGCCAAAGGTCCTCAAATACCTCTCCCACCATCGGATTGACATATTATCCCATATCACGTCGTCCGGTGAGATCTCGACGAGCCGTGGAGCCATTTGCTGGGGGATGTGATGGGCAACGGATTGGCAAGCCATATGCGCAGCAACCTGATGATTGAATTGTACGAAAGCCGAATTCATAAGAGGAAATTTCTCTGGATGTTGCTGGTCGATTTCAATCTCCAGGTTTAAACGAGCCAGCTCCTTGCGACAGTAGTATATCGTATCCACCTTCTTTCCAATAAGTGGCAAGGAAGGCATCCAAATCGAATCAAAAATTGGAACACGCATGGTTTCGCGATCTTTCTCCTTGATGTACTTCATCCAAAGTGGCTCGCCGTAATCATCTTCTTCGTATGCTTCGTTATAGGCAACTGGATATTCCTCATTGTCTTGGTATTCATCTTTCTTAGACTTGTCGTGTTTCTTCTTGTGTTTGGAACCTTCGGTCTCGGCTGTCGTGCCGGGGGACACTGGGCTTTGAACAGTGAGGGGAAGCTCATCTCCGTGGCGATCAACGCCATCAGTCAGTGCCGCAGGCTTCTTCCTCCATAGCCTCGACCGTCGAGGTGGTTTATCAGCTGCTCCGTCAAATGTTAGAGGGCCGAATCGGGTTTCGTCAGGGACGTCCTCAGTGTCCTCATGGAGTTCTTCCTGGGATGGGAGTGGGGTTTCGTTTATGGACTGACGAAATCCCGTTGGTTTCCCAGAAGGCGTAGTATTCATACTTGAAACTGACCCGGCAATGCTCCCGGATCGCTCAATAGTCAAACCACCAGTATTTGTCAAGCGACCCTCTAAGTTTTGTCCAACATTCCTTACTCCCCCATGCACTGTACTCCCCATTTCTGCCACGTCGGTTCCAACTCGACGAACAGTTTTATGCTTTTCTCGTGAATCGTCTTCTGAATCCGAATCTCGATCTGCACCGGATCGTAGTGCCTGTTGAATGGTATGGGCTATTTGATGCGGATTGCCAGAGCTCACACCGGCGCTGTCGACAAGCTTAGACGCTCTTTTCTCCGCTTCTGTCTCTTCGCGCTGAAGGTCTTCTTTAGAATGCTTCCCTGATTTCTTTCTCTCCGACTTTGCCATTTTCAATTGTGCTTTCTTGCATTTCTTGATCAGCTCGGTTTCTGCAGCTTCAAGTACCAAAGCCAATTTGTTTCGTAATTTAATTTTAGCGCTTAGTTGATCAAGGTTCCGGTTCAGCCAAATATTTCGAACTCCTCCAGGATATACATCGAAAAGATTATCCAATGCTTCGATAGATAGCCATTTTTCCGGAATGGATGTTACGAGCACCGTGGTAGCAGATGCTCGCAGACGGTGTTGAGGGGATGTCAGGTAGGCTTGTCGCAGCCGTATATAACCCCGAAGCTCGTCAAAGAAGACAGCGCATACATACACAACCACAACAACAGCAAGAATCAAGTGGGCCCAGTAGCGGTTACTGTTTTCAGGCCTCACGTTTCCCCAGGCCAATTGATCCAGCCCGGTGACGTTATACCTTGCGCCACTGGCACCATGGAGGAAACTCCTATCCCTGCCATCGACTTTGTTCACCGGCAGAAGGGTCGGTAGAATGAGTAGCGAGAGGGGTATGAAAATTTTAAGTAGCATTCGTAGGTACCGTAAAAAGAAATAGGCATCAAGGCCGCACTTTTGAATGAACTCCGAGTTCGAGGTTTTGAAAACGGGCCCAATCCATTGGAACAGACCTGGAGGAGAGGGAGCGGTGCGTTCGCGCTCGGGGACAAGATACGTACGTGGTTGGCTGAGAGAAAGTGAGCGTGTTAGTATGTATGAATGAACTGCATAACGGTGGGAGAGGGCCCTGTTTACTAGATCCGAACCAATTTCCCCTTGAGGGCGAGGAAAAGAAGAAATTCAACAGCAAAGACAATAATAGCAGTTGCCAGTGAGGCGAGAAATGTGGATATTGATATGCCTGCGGACCTCTGGCCAGTGCCGCTTTGCGCATCAAGGGCAGCACTCACGGCAGCTGTAACAGATGGACTTGCTGCTGCTGCCATGTTGGAAGTCCGCTATCTTTTCATGCTCTCCAGCTTCACATTAGTTACCAATTAAACCACATGACGCGCGTTATTGGTGCTTTACTGAAAAGAAGAAGAGCCAGCTCCAGGCGTTGAGAGAGCTGCTTGTGGTGGACAGGGAGCCTGGATTAGTTAGTTAAGGATATTTTTTTTACAAGGGACAGCAACAGAAAAAAACAAACAAAAGAGTGTGCTAGAGAGAAAGACAATGGACCGCTGGTTCCCAGGCTCTCGTCAAGCGACAATGGGATTGGGTCGACGTCGAGCCTGAGAGAGCGGTTTTTGTGAAGTGAGATCGAAGTGGATTGACGCTGGCTGTGAGGCCTTCCCTTCCTGAAATTGCCTGCTGGGGGTCACCCTCCCCACAGAACAAGGGACGCGGTACTTCGATCGCCGCCACAATAATTTTTTAATTGGCAGTGCAGAGCAGCAATCATATCTTCCAGCGGGTTCCACTCCTCACAAATCAAACTTCACTACTCCGTACTCCGTATCCTGCTCTGGAGCGGCAAACAACCGAGGAGTGCTGGCATTGGCGGTCTTTACGCCACTGAGGGGATGCTCTCCAAGGTAGATGTGCTGGCTGATAGGTGCAGTCCGGCCGGAGTGAGTTAACACCCTTATCCTAGAGATTCACTGATTCTTTGTCCTGGTTGGTCCCTTGGGCTGGCGAGCTGGGATGACATCAAAAGGTGCTTGCTGAAACTCCGGTTGTGTCATGATCGGCAACTGGGCACCCTGGTTGAAGCAGCTCTTTGGTTAGGGCTCCATGCATTTTGGCGCCGATGCGCTGATTGTGGCACAAGCCTGCAAGGATGTAATTCCATTGGTCTGGGCTGCAGTGCAAACAGGCAAAACCCAGCTGCAAGCGGCATCATGGTCTTCTGCTGCCACTTAGGACAGACGATGGACAGTCCAAAATATTGGAGAAAGACATGATCCACCGGAGGAGTAGGGACATCGTTCAGGATGCCATCAGTGACAGCATGCCTGGAGCTGGCTACATCCAATGCCTTTGAATCAGGTCTCGGGAAGCTTGTTGGCCGCAAACTCTAGATCTTTTCCAAGGCTGACGTCTGCCACGTGAACGGTTGCGATCAACGACCGAATTACAGGCTCTCTCCTTCATTCTAGGAACATGTGGAAATCAAGGTCTACTCCTGAAAGATGAAAGGCATTCACGAAACATTGCGCCGAAGGAGGAACTCTCTTCGTGAACGTTTCTCCCACCGACGTCAGCGGTCGTCATCCCGAAGCCATGAAACCGAATCATCGTGGCGCGAAACTGGAGCTCCCAAGCTGCTTCTGACCGCTAACGCCCTGTATTTTGACCACACTCTTTTCCAGGACTTCAGAGAAGAGGGATACGATATAGCATACCTCCCCCATGCTGCGCCTCCGAAGCAGTACAAGGAACAGCTGCAGAGATTCGCCGATGTTCTGGAAGAAGAGGATCGATATGCAATTGTTGGTACGCTGCTTGCCCGGTTGGGAAAATGTTTTATATTAAAGCAGCCTTTCTCTCGTCTTTGCCACCTCCTTCTAGCGGTTTGCCGAACAATATATCCCAGATACTGACTCGAGCTTCATGGATAGCCTATGGGGAAGCCGCTTCGGTTGTCCTCGATGCCTGCATGTCGCCAATGCCGAGACTATGCGCTGTCGTCGCATACTATCCTACCACCATTCCTCTTGCAGGCTGTGGCTTCCCATCTTCTCTAAATTACCTAATTCATCTCGCAGAGTCGCAGCCCTTCTCTGGTAAATTGAATTGTTACACATATCACCGGTCGGACGTAGGATTTGCAGAACACGATTCGGCCTCATATGACCGAGTTAGTGCACAATTGGCATGGGGCCGGACAATTGCCTGCCTAAGAAAGGGGTTTGAGGTCACTGTTGATCTTGCGCCGTTCTTGGAGAACCATATGAAGGTGAAATTTGATGCAAAAGATGTTGATGCGACCATGGAAACTGTAGCAGATGACGCATACGTAAATTATGTGCCTGTCATGATAGGAGGTTCGCTCTCCTCCCTCGATTCACACATCTCTCTCTCCCTCTCTCTCTCTCTCACTCACACACACACACTCAGATTGCAGTTATTTACTCATATTTTGTAGGGATTGGCGCAGTTGAGCTCCGTCGCTTCTACTCTGAATATTTTATTCCCAGAAATCCACCGTCACTTGATATACGTCTTATCTCTCGGACAGTTGGCATTGACCACGTCGTTGACGAATTATACTTGTCTTTCAAACACTCCCAAGAGATTCCCTGGATCCTCCCAGGCGTCCCTCCAACGGATAGATTCGTGGAAATAGCACTAGTAAGTGTCGTTGGTATCCGTGCTGGGAAGCTATGCCATGAAAACGTTTATTGGGACCAGGCAAGTGTTTTGATGCAAATTGGCTTGTTGGATCCCAAATATATTCCACCAAGTTTTAAGCCGGTAGCTAGCTCCACGGGCAAAATATTCCAGTTGGAGAGATTACCGGTGATTGGAGGTGAAGGCGCCCGGAAAGTGTTGAATCCTGAATCAGAGAAAAGCAATGGCTTAATAACCAGCCAGGGAGTCTAATTTGGAGAAGAAGTGCGTATGATGTTGTTACCTGTTTGGTCAAAAGTATTTGGATATAACCATTATCTCGTATCATTGATCTCTAATATCTAAATCTAGTGTTAATATACTAAGACTCAATATTTCCAAGATGTCTTCTCATAATTTCTCCAGCAACGGTCGCAGGCTCTTGATATCAGGGCTAACACCACCTTTGCTTTTCAGTGTTTTAATGCTCGCCTGCTGTGCTAAGGGGATGACATTTTCCACTCGCGTCTTCTCTGCCCTGCCGCTATTCTCTCCTACTGCTAGCGCCGATACAAGCAAGCCGAGCAAAGTGTCACCAGCTCCATTTACACTTACGACGTCCCCCTCTTCCAATTTCTCTGCGGCTGGGAAAAGCCGCATATATACCCCTCCAATGCCAGTCTCGCTGTCGCCATCACCACTTCCAGCAGCCCTACCAAGAATGTAAGGGGCATATTCCGGGTTGGTAAGTCTCGAATCTCTACTCGGTAACAGCTGCGTAAGTAATGCTCCCTGCTTGCCTAGCTTGGTGACGATGCAAGGGATGAACGGTAACAGTTGGATGCTCTGTTGCGGGATGCCTTTATCCACAATGGCTGCCGATGTAAGCGAAGTGAACCGGTCCCTTGAACCTGCGCTGGGGAGGGAAAAAGAATTTATGATTTTCCACCATTCTGGACTGTGGAAGAGGCCGGCCTCTCTTGCGGTAGTATGTATGGAAGCGAGCTCGATACAATTGGGTGTGATTATATCGATTAGGTGGTTGGTCGGTGCTGTGTGAAGAGGATCGAATATCGGTTTATTCCCGATATTCCCGGATTTGGTTTTGGAAAATAAACGGGTTGCTTTCAGAGCAGAGACAGGTTCGAAGGCAATTTTAATCCCGTGGGCTTTGCATAGAGACACCCATCTGCTCATGGCCTCTGGACTCCAATTCGCGTCAATAACAGCCCACGTCGGGTTGGTACGATGGATCATTGGCTCCCAAAATTCATCAAACTCGAGCCTTTCGCTTGGAAGCTCCAGAATGCTCATGTCAGCCATGGCCAGGACAAGTTCTTTCTTAGCATCATTGACTGCAATGTATTGTGCCGTTCTAGCACCAGCAGCCGTTTCAAGAGTTTGAACACCTTCGAAGTGTAGATTTTTATCCACTTTTTGAAGAGCTGCGAGAGCGCTGCGACCACTAATATCGTTTGCTACCACGCTGCAAAAAAGAACAGAGCTTCCTAAATAGCTTGATGCCAGCGCCACGTTGTATCCGACACCTCCTAGACTTTGGCTGATGACTGAAGGATTTGACGTATAAAGAGCGGGAGACACGGCATTGCTGCCACCAGTCGAGGGTGCAAAGTCGCAGGCTAGGTCAACCGCCAGCGAGCCGGCTATTAGGATGTCTACTTTTTCAATTGCTTTTGGTGCTGGTTTAGCACTAACGTTTTCTGTGGCTGGGTTGGTACCCTGCGACTCTGACTCAGACGTCTTAGCCCTTTGCCTTGTTCCATTGACAACGGGCATATATCTACATAAGATTTTCATCTAATCAGCCAGGTTCCTTTCGATAAATAGTCCAATACTATCTCACCGATTTCCATCATCCTTGCTCCCTGATTCCAATTTCCCAAGCTCGATAGCGACTTTTGTGCCTATTTCTACATTACACTCCACCAATGCCCTATTCGTCTCAACACTTCTTCCGCCACTTAGCTCTTTGATTTTTGCTAGTACGTATGGTGTGTTGTCACTTCCATGGACACCTTCAATATGAGAAAGCTCAACGGCTTTCGCAATGATAGCGTCCATCTCCGCCTTTAGAAACGAGTGCTTTTCAGGAACTGGATTTGTGAATAAAATTCCTGATGAAAGCTGGAGATTCGATTGAGCATCTAGACGATACAATTAGCACCATGAAATTGAGAAGACGACAGCTGTACAAACATATTATTGCTGCGGCCTCCGCTGCATCACGCAAGGTTCTGGGAGACTGAATTCCACTATCTCTGGTAAAGAAAGCTGGAAAGTCAATAGGACCTTTGCGGCCGTCCGCAAACGTGGCTACCACAACCCCTTGGGTTTCTAAAACCTCCAGTGTTCGCCGAATGTCAAGAAAACTTTTGCAACCGGAACTGATTACCGCAACAGGAGTTCGTCCAAGTTCAGTAAGGTCAGCTGCTCCCCAGTCAGCCTACTGTATCTGGATCCGCGAGGGAATTAAGGGAAGGCTACCCGATATATCCATGGAGCTCTCGCCACCACGGTGCACCCCACCTAAAGTGAAGTTGTTAGAAGCATTAACCACTTAAGCTAACATCGAGGTACGAACGCACCAAGTCCTCCTGTAGCAAATACTTTAATACCAGCAAGGTGGGCAAGGACCATGGTACCGGCAATCGTAGTTCCGCCGTGCATATGTTTTCCAGCCAGTCCCTAGATGCCTAAGTTCAGTGTCCGCGGGAAGCACATTTCTGAATCATAATGTATTACTATTCCACAGATATAGCCCAAATCCCGGCGTGATACTTTTAGCACGTTCTTTTCTCGACAAGCGGACGTGAGTTCGGTGAGCTCTGCCGTGCTCATTCCTACTCTTGCAACGCCATTAAGGATGCCAATTGTGGCCGGGACACCGCCATTTTCTCGGACGATCGATTCCAGACGTTTCGCAAGGTCAACATTTTCAGGGTAGGGGAATCCTAGGTCGCTTTGCTTAACGTCTTCACTTTCATGGAGCTCGATGGTTCCCTGCCGGTTGGACTCACCATGGGTATAAATGGTGGTTTCAAGAGCTACTACGGGCTTTCCGGTTGCAACCGCATCCTGAACCTCTTCAGATATTTTTAAGAACTTGTTGGCGGACCGAGAAAGAGTGCGGACGTGATGGTGGTTTCGTAGGAAGGTTCCCCGGACTCTCAGGTCCACCCGCGTCCCGCTACGGGCGGCAGTCCAGATAAAGGACATTTTGAGAGAAGAGTAAGGATGATATCATTCATGTATTTAACAGTAGGGAGCCATTGAAAACAATTCACATCTTCTTGTCTCTGCGTTGTTGCTCGCTCTGGAGATCGCCGTCATCTCCGCAACGTCATGTGGCCGCTCCGGCTGCCGTAGTTAGCACCGCGTCCATCGGGCCAAGCTGGCGTCAACACAAACAGCTCAACTTGCACCGGGACCGATTGTCTCGCCTCTCGATATCTCTGGGACATATCTTCAATCTGGGATCCTCAGCTGCATCAAGGTGATCCTCTGGCAGCGATCACTGCCGCCATGAGGCTCCTCACCGCCGTTGCGCTGCTATTGACTAGCTGCGCGCACGCTGCAAACCCCAATTCCACATATACTTCCTCCGAGGCCCAAGTCCTCCCGAGCGACTTCAACCCTCCTCAGACGTTTAAGAATCTGAATATTCTACGGAATATCAACCTCGATAAAGGCTATGTTAGAGAAACGATCAATGCTATCATAGAAAACATCGACAAGCAACCCCAGTCGAAGTACTACCTCCCCTTCTCAAATGCACTGATAGACAAAGTCGGGGGGCTCGAAGCATGGGAGAAGAACGCAGAAGACAATGGCAGATTTAAGGTAGAGCGTACACAGTTGCTTTCTCAGAGGTGAGCTCCCTGTTGCAGCATCATGACGAGGGATCTTTCTAACAGAATAACCCGTTGCCCAGCTCCGATCAATACTTCGTCATAAATCTTCCCAAACCCCTTGAACCTGACTCTCGATTGACCCTGAGCATATCCTACTATCTTCTCTCCGCTCTTAATCCCCTCCCTCCTGCCATTGAACAAGATGCCAAACAGTACTTTGCATATACATTTTCCGCCTATGCGCCATCTGCCTATGTTACGTATGCGCAGAGGACAAAAGTCAAGTTCCCCACGACTGATATCCCCGATTATACGACGACAAGCGGAATGAAAGTTGGTTCTGGATCGGACCCCGAGAAGCAAGGCAACACTTTCACCTATGGTCCATATAATACCAAGGACGTAACTCCTGGCACGATCGAACCTATCACTGTCCGATACGAATTCACCAGACCGATAATTACTGCTACGCTTCTTGAGCGCGACATCGAGGTGTCACACTGGGGCGGTAACCTTGCGACAGAAGACAGATACTGGCTCCAGAACAACGGAGCTCACTTAGCCAAACAATTCTCCCGCGTTGCCTGGTCCGTCAAAACGTTGCAGAACGCCCCGAGCGTGGCCATCAGCGCTCTTAGGGTCACGCTCAAGTCCGGCGCTGTTGACCCTTATTTCATCGATGAGATCGGGAATGTCTCGACCAGCCGATTTACTCGTGGCCAGGGAGCCCGTGCCTCCGTCCTTGACATTCGTCCGCGATACCCTGTTTTCGGAGGCTGGAAGTATAGTTTCCGAATCGGATGGAATATTGATCTCTCTTCATTCTTGCGCAAAGCAACCTCCGGTGACACTTACATACTAAAGGTTCCCTTCCTCGATTGTCCGAAGATGCCAGAAGGCCTTCAGTATGAGAAGATTGATCTACGGGTGATCCTTCCCGAGGGAGCGAGAGGTGTAAAGTATGAACTGGTTAATGGTGTGGGCCTGCCAAACAACATCCAGTCGGAGACCACTCTCTACAAAACATACATGGATACCGTCGGAAGAACAGTTCTCAAACTGAGCATGACAAACGTCGCCGATGAAGCAAGAGATGCTCAATTAATTGTAAGCACCTCGCTTTGCCTTTAACCTTTTGAAATACAGCGATTCCTAACATATTACCCGTAGGTTACCTATGACTATCCATTCCTCGCGTCGTTCCGCAAACCGATGGCAGTCTTCGTGGGCATGTTGAGCGTTTTCGTTGCGGCCTGGGTGATCGGAAATATAGACGTCAGCATCAAAAAGAGGTGAATAAATGGTTTCTTGCTTTTATGTTAGTCCTATGGTTATTTATGTTCAGTCCTTTTTCTTAATCAGTTTGGACCTTGATTGCCTTGATGATTGATCATGTTTATATATTTGGCCACAATGTAGTTTTATGTCTTTGTTGTAAACCATTTTGAAGTATTGGCCATCTATTAACAAAGGGCTTTTACGAGCAAGCGAAATACGATTGGAACTTCTGTGCATGTTCCTATGATACATAACAATTTAGTGTGAGATCGGCTCCGAAAACCAAATCTCCCAGAAATGCCGTCATATCATATCATATCAAAAGGTATTTAACAAAGCATGATACACGCGACCTTATGGGGCGCAATGGAGAGAAGCGAAAGGTCCTCCGCGATCTCTATGAATTCCCTCGAATTCTCAATCCAAAGTTCAACATCATAGCCACGACAACACCCAAGCACAACACTGTGGGCCCCCACTTCTCATAGTAAACGTTTTTGACATCCCTATGCTTTCGAATCTTGTCTACACGCCACATGTACAGAAGGAAGCTATATATCAGCGCTAGGCACGCAAGGATAGTGAACGCCCATGCTGAACCAAGGCTGATTGTATCTTGCCCAAAGTTAAGTAAGGTGGCAGCGATGGTGCTGAGGAAGATGGAGAATTCAAGCCAGGAGAGAAATGTGCGCTCCGCGGCGAAGTAAACTTTAGGTTCCACGCGGATCGGGACATGGATTCCTGGAGATATGTCAGAATTGAGAAACATATCGTGGAATTTAGGCACTGGAATACTTACGTTTACCCCTGGGAGCTTTGAATCTCTTGACTTCGATTGGCCCACTCCCCAAGACTTTGCGTATCCTTCCAGGTGTTGCGCCTTCTGGTAGCTCTGTTGGCCTTGGAATTGGCATGATGTATTTCAAGCTATGCATGACCCGACGTCCAGCATTTCGGACGTAGTGTTTTGCAAGCTTGGCGCAGTATCGCATTCCACCAATTTTTCTTGCTTCTTCGAGTTCGTCCTGGTCATTGGATTCGTCCTCAGAGTCGTACAGAGGGTAATCATCACCGCCAAGCAAACCCTGCACTGCGATGCGTTCCTCGATGTCCAATAAATTCCCTGGAGCTTGGAAGTCTGAACCGCTCGCCAAGTCGTGTCGAGTCACTGCACGGGCTTGCTCAGGGGACGGGCTGGTACGATCTTCGTGAGTTGGACTGGTCGGATGTGGGCCTCGACCTTCTTCGAAGGGAACCTCTCTCTCTCCCTCTTCCTCAGACTCATCGTCGTCCATCATGTCTTCACTAGTCGAAAGATTGGATTGCGGAGGTCTCTCAATGCCAAAGCCCGGTCTTGCCGGTTTTCTGATGTCCACATCCATTTGTGGCATCCAAAATGGTAGAAGATTTATTCGTTCCGGAAACAAATTTGCAGTCCCATGTATGAACTTGCTGAACTTTGGAACAGCTTCAACCAGATGGCTTGATATTAGTTCTCGAATCCATTGAGGGGCCTCTTGTCCTGCTTGAGTCTGCAGTTTGACTTCTAAGACCGCATAAGGAAAGCGCTCAACGTCTTCCGCCGGAAGCTGGCGGAATGGGTAATCAACCCCGATGTCCATTCGCCTCCAATTGTCGCCTGCTCTTCTACGATCATCGAGGTTGTCTTCACGAACCATCGTCAATTCGGTATCCAAAGATATCCGGACTCGTGCATCCCCAGGTAGCTGGAAAGCGGTTCGATGGTAGAACGTTCTGGTCACAGGGACGAGTTTCCTAGTGATCACTCGATACTGAATTTCTCGGGCAAGTTGCTCCCAATCGGCGATTTGCTTTTCGCTCTTTTTGCCCTCCTTTCTCAGCTTTTCAAATATAGACTCCACAGTCATTTTCCCAGAAAGATAGGCATTGACATGTTTCTCCTTCATTGGAAAGCGCGCTTTGACAGACTTTTCCCCTGTCCAATCTTCCCGATGCGTTTTCCTCTCAACGAATATCTGCTCATTTTCCATTCCGCCATACCAGCGAAGTCTGATGGCCTCTGCACCTTCAGTTTTTTTTAACCGCCCCATATACAACTCCCACGTGTCCGGATTATCGTAATAAATGGACGATATAGCTGCATCACGTTCTTCGAATTCTTTAGTAGGGTTGAAGACAAGTACTGGAAGATGCTAGTTTTATTTCCTTGAGTTAGCGTCTGGTGATCGAACACCTTGAGAAGAGATACTCACCTTCAAAATAATGAGTTTTAGCTCTGTAATATTATCCGGATGTACCCAGTATTTCGTAGTCTCCCGTATAAAGTTCTGCTGACTACCACCGGCGGCACTGTCTCCTTTTACGGGATTCCCTTTCGTCCTAACTAGATCATACAGCTTGGACAGCTTGACGACAAATGCATCGTAGTTGTCCTTGAAGAAAGGTTTCGCTTTTAACCGTGTCGCAAAAACAGGTTTCAGGTACCATTTTGTTTGTTTCTGTTATTTACCACGGCTGTTAGCCCACAGAAGCTGCTGTCTCGATGACTGATGCATCGCATGAACGAGACTTGGAGATACCGGTGAGTTAGGAAGAACTCCACACTACTTACGTCATGTTTCTTGATAATCTTCTGAAACCCCGTATAGTTCAGCTTGGTATACTTCGCCAGATCATGTACGTCGGCGATTATATCGCTCAGATCTTCTTCCAAGAGCAAAAAGTCTGCATCTGTTGGAGCACCGCTGGCCCTTGCTGCACCGGCTGGCTGGCCACCGGTTTGGTCCAATCTCGACACCACGTCGTTGACCTCTAGTTCACTGGCTTTGATTCTTCTTACGATCTCGTCGCTCTTGACTTTCTGGAATGTGGAGACTTTATCCAATTCACTTTCGAGCAGGGCGACGAAGCGTTTCTCGTCCTCCTCGGACCATGGCTTCCGTTTAGGGTTCGGATTCTGAGGGGTGGGTGCGGTCTCATAGTCGGTTTTGAGAGCTTCTTTGAGGTCGTCGTAGGCAATGTAATACCAGTAGTATTCTTTGACGAGCGAGGAACGGAGCTGCTCGCCGAACCTAAATCAAGTGTCAGTGTGTTATGAGCTGTTCCGCGGTGAATGTTTACTTGACAACTTACCGCATCTTGGTTCAGATATCACCAGAGGAGGTGGAGGACTGCGGAGCTATGTGTGTAGGTGTGATTTGTGTGTGCAGTGGGAGACAAAGGCAACATGTGCCCTAGACCCAGTGTCTGTAGCCGAGAGCCAGGGAGCGCCGCTGATCGTCGGCGACACGGGGGTTGCACAAAACCAGAGCAGTGATAACTGGAGAGCACAGAGAACAGTGAGTTTCACCCGCAGCGCATCAAACTGAGGCTGAGATGTTTACCTGGCATGGTGGGCGGCCCCTTCTTCTCCTGTAAGGGATGAGAAGTTGCACCTTGCCACGCGCTCCTTCCGCTTTAGATAAGCTTGCTCTGAAGCTCTTCCTTTGTCTGGAGCACTGTTTCCTCACAAGGTAACTCGGAATCACGTGAATGCACATCCCGATCGGAAATGGCCAATCAGGCACCTTTCATGGCCCACGTGAGGCTGGTAGCTCGGAAGTTAATCTGAAACTTTATTTTTTGCTGTTGACATCATCTCTTATCCATCAGCACCAACGCGCGGCACAAGGGAACACAACATAAAAGCCCAGGTCAGTTGAGTACGAAGAACTACGGAATATTTATCAGAAGAAACCTTGCGCTGACCATGCTATTCCCTTGTGGAATATCCAGTGCTTGAACCTGACGCCTATACAGAGTTGGTAGATTAATTCCAAGAACCCATCCGGTGCTCACAACGCCCCAACAACCCGTCGAATGCTTCTTCTCGCGCCGTCGCCCACCACATTGACCAAACCCTCCGACTCCAAGGAGCGCACCGCTTCCGTAAACTCAGCTGCTGTGACTTCGACATTACTCTGCTCCCCAAACCTTCTAAACGCCTCTGCCCATCTCGTCCCGGACGCACCACGGCCCCCTAGCTCTTCCACCAACGCGAGTATTTCCTTCTTCATCCTCTCTCTGTTGCGCCGATCGATCGCTGTTGTTCCTTCGGTCAGCAGACTCATATCGATCAGACCCGTGCGCTGATCTGTTGCAGCTTGTTTGAGGGCGGAACGGATTAGCCGTACGGCCTCTTCGACGTCAGAGGCTGTGACCTCTTCGGATAGTCGCATTCGCGCATGAGCTTCTGCGAGTCGGATCATGGATTCAAGCTGACGCGTGGTTGCGGTGATACGGCGTTCGGCAGATCGGATGTCATCTCCAAGCTTGCGCATTTCGACATATGCATTTGTGAGCGCCTCACCTGCAGCTGGTGTCAACCGGGGGGATATGTTGGCTTTTGCGTAAGTAATGTAGCTGGTGAGGAATTCAACCGGCTAGGGAAAGAGTTTCACTTAGTGCTTGACTTCAGAAATGGGGAAAAGAGAAGATGGGAATTTTAAAGGCATACCAATATCTCCTCAGTGCTGGCATTCTCGGGAGTATCCTCAAGGTACATTCCCACCAAATGTTTCGCCAGGCGACGATCGTTCTGTTCGTCAATCCGGTCCAACACTAGATACACCAAGTCAAATCGTGATAGGAGAGTCGGCGGTAAATCGATATTTTGAGGAACGGGTAAGTTTGGATTGTACTTGCTTCCGATTGGATTAGCAGAAGCAAGAATACTGGTTCTTGCGTTCAGTGTTGTGATGATCCCTGCTTTTGCTATGGACACAGTCTGTTGTTCCATAACTTCATGTAGCACAGACCGCGTAGCCTCGTTCATTTTGTCAAATTCATCAATGCAGCAAACGCCCCCGTCTGAAAGAACAAGGGCACCTGATTCAAGAACTAACTGCCTTGATTCTGGATCCCGCGTAACATATGCTGTCAGACCAACAGCTGATGATCCTTTACCGCTGGTATAAATGCCTCTGGGTGCAATTTTGTGGACATATTGCAGGATCTGAGACTTTGACGTCGATGGGTCCCCGCACAACAACACGTTGATATCTCCACGATATCGCGGACTTCCACCCTTTTCAAAAGTTTTATTCGTCCCGCCAAAAAGCTGGAGTAATATTCCCTTTTTCACGTCGTCCATCTCGTATATACTTGGAGCAAGGGATCTTGCAAGAAGTTCATAGATATCAGGCCTAGAAGCTGTAGCCCTAATCTTTTCCTCCTCTTCCTGCGAGATCTTCCTCACTTGCTCAACTTCACCCGCAATCTGCTCGGAGAGTTCTTGCTCTACGGTAGACGCGTCGATTCCGAGCTTTTTGCGGTCAACCTTTTGGACATGCAAAACATCGACATATGTCTTAAATAGAGCTTTGGTCGTTCGCTGACGCGGGTTGACCCTCACCGGGTTGCAGCGGAAAATCCCAGTTATCTCAACACGGTCACCAGCTTTACAAACGTCAACCAATTCGTCATACGCACACAGCGACACTGAGTGCGGAGTTTGGCCATCAGGAACCGAATCAGGTGTTTCTTGAAGTTTGATAACTTGTTTATCGGCGAACGTACACCGGTTATGGATGAGTTGCATCGAATTTTGAGAATCACAAATTTGTCGTGGGCATCTAGTCGGTTCAGCAATTTTACCATGCTCGATGTCGACTTTAACGCTGTGTTGACAGACATCGCAGCGGAAGAAAGCTAGTGTAAACTCCCGTGAGCCCTTTTAAGTTCACCGCGAAATTGATATGGACAGCCTACCTTCTTTCATATCAGGGATAATTGGGGTTGCTCGAATTACAAGCCCTTTGATGCTGATAAGTTTGTCCATGTCTGCCCATGTACCAGTCAATAAATGCACCACACAATCTCAAGACCTAGCCGCAGAATTTCTCACCTCCCGGGTCCAAGTCTCTCATGTTAACTGCGTTGTCCATACCAAACGGCAAGACTTTGAAGGTTTTTGTCTGAACTTCGGCGAGCATATTCGGAATTTCCGCTTGCATCTCTTGATCTGCGGCATTGCCAGGCTCCGAGCTCTGGTTCACGGCCCTTGGTTGCCGTCTTTGACTCGTTTGCTGTGCTCGCATAGCCTCCATCTCCTTCACAGCTAGTTCCGATATCACATCTCTCACACACTGATCCATAATAGGGATGATTTCTTGCGGATATGCCTGTACTTGGTGCCATAGCTTCGTCGTCGGTGGATATGCTTTCAAGTTTCGTATGTCCAGATTAAGGCCCGTCACTCCCAGTTGTAACATGTCATTCAACAGGATTATATATTCTTTTTCATCAGCTATCGCACCGATTGCACGAGTATCTTCTTCCGTGGCACCATCTGCCCACATACGGTATTTCCGAGTGTAGTTGTAAAGAAAACTTTTGAATGAAGACATCGCATCTTGAATAGAGATATTCGTGCCCCAAATGATACGAGTAGAATTTCCGCCGAGAGCATCTGCTTCTGATGTATCTGGGTGTATGTTTGAGAATGTTGTTTCTGATTGAGGGTCGCCATTGCGAACTGGCATCCCTCTCTCGTCGACAAATACTCTACGTCTGGCAGCCGATGAAGCGAAAGCGTCAGAATTAAGGCCACCCCGTCTAGTGTTGAGATTTGTGGCGTCCGAGAAATTGTTCGTCTGCGACGAGCGAACAAAAAGCCCGCTGCTGCTGGTCGGGATGTCTGTTGTTCGGCTTTGACGGTTATTTACGCGAGTAGGGCTAGAACTGGACATGTAGCGAATCGGCGAGGAATCTACAGCTGGTCAGCAAGCGGGTATCATGATAGAATGAGCTCTAGACAGTGGCGTACCTGCAACAGTTTGCCTACTAGCCCGTGGTGTCGCTTGGCCATCATCCATGTCCGATGGCACTCTCATCGGTGAGCTTCCGTCCATTCTTGCGCCTTCGTTGGCACTTGAAGACTGCCGTGCAGCCACAGGCGACGACTGGAAAAGCATCGGCGATGACGATGGCACAGCGCCTTCCATTCGTCGTCGTGCTGCGCTTGGGGTGGCTCGATCAGGAGTCGATATCGCGGATCCTCGGGTAGCCCGTCCACGACGGCGGGAAGAGGCAGGCGATGACATTATGCTCCAAACTGTGATAAATTATGCAAATGGAGTTGGTGTAGTTGCGGTTAGCCCGAAGGAGTCACTGATTTTTGGTCTCGTTATCAAAGGCGGAGGACAAAATTGGTGCAACGCGTAGATATCGCGATGTCGCGTAAAGTGGTTTCTATTTTGGGTTAGTGCGTCAACATCCGCTGGCTCGCGTCGTTCCCGTTCCAAATCCATTCGTCACACTCCCCATATCAGCATCATTATTCCAAGCCTGCGAAGCGATCATAATTCCATATCCTTTTCAAGGTTTTGAGGATTACATATTCTTTTGTGCTTCCATGTCAGATAGTTAGTGATTCTCGGGGGATTGTAGTGGCTTTCTTTGTGGTGTTTTCCCGATTCCTGATTTCCTCCGTCTCCACGCCTGTACTCGGACCAGAATATAAACATTCACAGTCAGGAGGAAGCCCTGCCATTGCCTAACAACTACCATTGAAAGAATGGTACTTGAGTCTAAGACGATTGCACGGATCCCACTTATCGGATGCGGCGCAACATGATCCGTCTTGACCGTGCTCCTGACCCACACATAAAAGTTCTCCAAAAAATTTGATCAGTCAATGGCCAGCCTAACGCGAGGGTCGAACTCGCAACCTTGTGGTTATTCTCGGTTTCTATGAACTTCGCATAAGAGCCACACGCTCTACCGATTGAGCTAGCCAGGCTACCTGTTGCTTCGCATGTGTGGTTCAAATTTACCTCCCCATAAGGCTGCCCACGACCGGCGGAAAGACTCATCCGACAGCCTTTCGCCTCTTATTTCAGTCCAGATACCGACATACTGGCAACCTATAGCTATCTACGACCCAATATCTCCTCCGCACGCCATTCCATTCTCCCTCCAAAGATGGAACACCTATTTCCTCCCAATCGACATCGAAACCAGCTTCAAGGAGGTCCATTTCGACAACTTTCTGATATACATCGTAGCTGATTTGCCTATCCGCTCCCATTCCGTTGAAAAAGCTCCATTTACCGTTCATGTCCAGCAGCCCTATAACTTGCTCCGAGAAGAAATCTCGAAAGTCCGAATAAGATTCAGCGAAGGTATCATAATAGATAGCGTCAAAGGTCTGTCCCTCATTCACCAGCTCAGGTAGAATATCTTGCCATTTGCCCTCATGGATGACCACACCTGGTCTCTCATGCCATCCTTTCCTTTTCATTTCCGCCACTACCGCTGGATGAGCTTCAACAATGTGGTGGACGGCGGGCTGGAGACTCTGAAAGATGTCATCGACAATCCCCATGCCATGACCAATGTTGAGCACTCGCAGCCCAGCTTCTGGAAGGATAGATTTTGCTGACCGCTCCATGATACCTGATTCCCATGACATCATGACACCATTCTGATCTTGATCTAGGAGGTGGTTGTCGGTGAAAGTTAGATTTGACTGGAGGTATCGAGAGCTGGTTACATCCGGCTCTTGCGCAGTCGCTGTGTTGCCTTCTTGTGCAGTTGCAGCTTGCTCATTTGGCTGCTGTACCTCAGTTTGTCCTGGAGCACCCCCTGTTGACAGATTGTCATCGTCGATCTCTTCATCTTCGTCCTGCAGTGGCGCATACTCATCCAGCCTGTTGAGGAGCATTTCAGCTCGCACCCCTGCGTCGACCATTAATTGGTATAGAGCATCCAGCCCCATTCTCTTTGCCATGCATCCAGGGGTTTCGTCGTTGGCATCCAAATCGTTCCAAATGCCGCCCTCTTGAAGGAGAAACTTGATCATTTCACCACCAGATTCAAGAACGTCTGATGAGTCCACTTTGGGTAAGCGGTTAGGGGTATTTCCCAATCCGTTGGCTTCTTGTCTCTCATCGGGCTCTTCTGAGTCAGGCTCGCAAGCAGCAATCGCCGCATGAAGAGGGGTGTATCCTGTTTCTGGATCCTTCACATTCACTGGGTTGCCGGGTTTGTCGTAGGATTGAATCAGTTCTCGCATCCGCGAGATGTCATGCTGTGCTGCAGCCAACAGTACCTCTTGGACGTCAATATCCACATCCAGGGCCCCCAGTTGCTCATCGCTTAGTTCCATTTTGGGCAATAAACGCTCTATAAGCGCATTTCAGTGACGAGGGTTTCAGTCTGGGGAATCAATTGTACGTAACAGTAAAATGAGAAACACACAAGTAATCAAAAGATCTGCCTTGAATCCGACAGCGATGTTTTATTTGGGGCTAGCAGCAAAGCGACTCGACTCAGAAGCAGTAATAGTGTGAGTTATTCTGCTCCTCAAGTTCGTTTGAGAAGTTTCACAGGGGCGGGACAGCGAGTCACGTGACTCGCCCCCCCAGCCAGCCCAGCTCGCTTTCGGCGGCATTCGGAGCGCATTCAATCAGGTTTGCCCAAGAGGGACGACTCTTACGCCGGAACGGGCGACGGTGCCATTGCATCTCAAACGAAGGTATTTTGGGGCCGGTCCCGTGCCTCAAATTCATGCGTTCATGTCTCAAGCTCCTCTCGAAAGACACAAGGTGAAACCCTACTCTTACAACACCACCCAGTTCTTACCAAATTGCACAAAGACGCGCTGGCTCCATGCAAATGTGGCTGAAACTGGGCTATAGCTGCAATGATGGTGTCTAGTCAGTGGAATCACGCAAGCTAACGGTCTTTTCCTCTACGGCCTTGCTGACACGGTGATTACTTGATGCTCTTCTCAGACGGATGAAGTGGAAGCAGCAATGGCCACTTCCACCCGCCATCAGTTTGAAGGGAGATTCATAGGTCAGTGCGCTTTGAGAGTGTGCTGACGAACATCGGGAAGGTGTACACCAGCAGTCATTTCTCCAGGATCATGGCTGTTAGCATCTAAAGCACCGACCAAAGTTCGTGAGAGCAGAGACTTGATGCTTGCTTTTCCCAATGAGGATCAACGAAACAGGCCTCGTCGCAGGTCTATTTCCTTTTCTGGACCCAGTTGGCCTTCTTTGGGCTAGTATGGCCTTTCCAGGATTCCCACCGCAAGTTTCAGTGCGTCTGAACTACCAAATATATCGAGTTGTGACTTCAATGCGTTGGCCTGGGGTGCTTGAGCTGGTTGCCATCATTCCTCTCTGCTCTTGGCATCCTATGACAGCTACGTTTTACGTCGCAGATACACGCGGAAATGGGAAAAATGCCAGTGAATTCATGTCTCATGCTAGGGACACCTCTTACAAGTTTCTCCTTGGAAGCGTCCTGCATAACTTTGACGTTGAGAGCTATGCAGATTACTTCAGGCTCCTGGAGCTGGTGGAAGTCGATTTAAGGGAATGATCCGCCCTCCATAACCGTCTTTTTTCTTCAAGCCACAGTCAAACTTCAAAGTCGCTCACTCAGTTCCATTCGTATGGTGCGCTGGTCCCCATCTGCTTAATCAAATACTCATTTTTTTTAAACCAAAACATTATTTACTTCATTCATTGACCCGGTTGTCATTCCTTCTTTTGTTTGATTCTTAATCATGAAGTTTGCCCTGCTTACCACCGTTTTCACGGCGCTTTGCGCCCCGAGCATTCTCGCTGTGCCCTTGGAGGCTCGTAATACCACGAGTATCGCCCCGAATACAAACCGAAGCACTACTCGTGTGACCGATGTGGACGTCCTTCAGTTTGCTCTCACGGTAAGTGCTTTTTCCCTATTGAGCCTATATGGAACCAAACTGCTGACAAGATGAATAGCTTGAGCATCTTGAAAGCGTTTTCTATAGGCAGGGTCTATCCCGCTTCACTCGGGCTGATTTCATCCGCGCCGGTTTCCCTGCCAGCTTTTTTAATCAGTTGCAGTTTGTTGCGAGGGATGAAGCGTCCCACGTGGTGTTCCTGCAGAGGGCACTCACTGGCCTTGGCGTCCGACCAGTTTCGGCATGTCGCTACAACTTCCCATTCACAGATGTCCGCTCCTTCGTTGGCCTTGCGTCTGTTCTTGAGGGCATCGGTGTCTCCGCTTACCTTGGTGGAGCGCCTCTGATCTCCAACAAGGGTTTCCTCGGTGCTGCTGGTGCTATCCTTGCTGCCGAAGGAGTGCACCAATCCCTTTTCCGCAACTCCTTGAACCTGATTGCATCCGCAAACATTGCTGGCACCGCCATTAATCCCAACGCCATCTTCAGTCTTGCTAGTGCTTTTATCGTCTCTTGCCCTCGTGGAAATCCTGCTCTTCCGTTCACTGCATTCCCCTCGTTGAGCCCAAGAGGTGGTAGCCTCTTCGGTGTTAACACTCTCTCAAGATTCGTCATCGGCCGTGGCATTGTCATTCCGCCTGTCTTCTTCATCACTTTCGTCAGTGGCTTCGATATCATCAGTATTCCCGGAGTTTTCTCTGGCGGTTTCTACTCTGGACGTATCCCACGACAAATTTCCGGGCAATCATTCGTCTTCCTCACCAGAACCGCGGCTAGAGGAACCCTTGTGGAGAGTACCATCCTTGCTGGTCCAGCTATTATCGAAGTCAACCCTACAATTCCCAACCTCAATCTGCTCATCTAAATGACCGAGTGAACCTCGACTAAGCTAGGGCCATCGCGGCTGTGGATAGACAAGAAACAATTTGGTACATTTACGCACGATACTTTCCAGCTTGCTTTGCTTGAGCGAGTCTCCATCTGTACTTCGATTCTTCTGATGTGTTATGCCCCCCACCTTTTATGGACTTGCCGGTCTCTTTCTTGTTTTGTTATTTTCTGTCATCCTTTTCCAGGCTTGGTTTATCCCATGCTAGGCAGGATATTCAAGCATGTACTTTTTCATTATACTGTGAGCTGATGGACAGTGTAAATACTATTATATCCGCTTCTGCGAAATATCGCCCTAGCTGTATCGAAATATGGGATAGTTGATGATAAGTGTGTGTCCACAACAGGTGTAAATAGAGTTCAACTATTCATAGGTAGCAAGAATGGAACAAATAACATAAATATTGGAGAGGGATGATTTTGTGAAAACCTTACAAAACAAACAAGATGCAAGAGTACACAGATAGTTATACATTTTGCTTCCTAATGAGGACATCCCTCACTTCAAGCTCCCTCTTGAAAAGAAACATTATTTAATCATGAAACCTCTAAGATGAGAAATGCTCTTTACCATGTCCACCAAAGTAGAGCATTTGCTATGCTTAGGACTTATCGGCACCATCAGCACCGGCATTGACATTCAACCCTAATCCTTCAGTATCCAAATACAATTTATTTCGTCCACCAGCTTCTTGAAGGATCTGGGCAATGTTGCGGGCGTTCTCGATTTTCCTGAGTTCGACGTAGCTTCTGCTCTTCTTGATGGCCTCGCCGATAAGTTGGGCGGAGCGGGCTTCACCCTGTGCGCGGACGATAGTGGCTTGTTTCTCTTGTCGGGCTTTGTCAACGAGGAAAGCGGCTCGTTGAGCCTCTTGCTGTGCGACTTGCTTGGCTTCGACGGCTGCAGTAAATTCTGGCGAGAACGCAAGATGCTAAAAAAGAAACAATCGAATGAGACATTTATCTGTGAATGAAAGAGTGCGAGTGCTTACCGTCAAGGAAACATCATCGAGAAGGATATTGAAGCGAGCAGCACGTCTGGCAAGATTATCACGGACAAGTCTGGCAACATTCTCACGTTGGGTGATAAGTTGGCTGGCGTTGAATTGGGCTACAACGCTCTTAAGAACTTCGTTAACAATGGATGGGAGGACTCTCTCATCGAAATCTGTCCCAAGGGTACGGTAGATTTGGGGCAGTGCATCAACCCGCGGCCGTGAGAGCACACGACAGGTAATGTTCACCATCTGCAAATCTTTGGTTCCAGTGAGAGAAGCAACATTGCGGGGTTTTGCGCGGACATCGTAGATGATGGGCGTCTCGAACCACGGGATACGTAGATGTGTTCCTTCAGGCCATTTTAGCATGAGATAGCTCCTGTGCACAGGGACAATTTGAAAGCACCTTCATTGTAGATCTCTTTCTTCACACCACCTATTCTCGTATACTTGATCGCGCGGTGACCACCGTCAACTGGGACAAAATTAGCAAATCAGCTATGCCACCCACCGAGATTCGAAATGTCTACTGACCGTTAAATAGGGAATTCGATATCACGTATCCTCCAAGACCCAGCGCTACCAACGCTCCAATTCCCCCAAATGCTCGGCCTGGTCTGCCTCCCGGGAATCCACCGAATCCTGCTCCCCGTCCCCGCTGCTGCAGAGCGGTTTGCAATCTTTGCCAAGTTTCACGAGGATCTGCCATTATTTCAAAAGGGATAGAGAAAAGCAGGAATTTGATTCCCTGTAAATGGTAAGACACGATGAGCTGCCGTGATGTTCAAAACTGGAGATCAGTGAGGCTAGTCTTCTTTAGGAAAGGTTCGGTTCAGCTGCCTTTTGAGCTTCAACACCGCAGACGATGACGGAAAATAGATCCAATGCCTAGTTACTGTTAATTTGCGACGAAAAAATAATTTTACCGGGCCGGAAAGCTATTTTTGATGCTTTCTATTTGGGTTTGAATTGAGATAGCTCGTTATATTTGCTCCCTATTCTCGCGATCGGTAGCGACCATCCCTCAGGTCTCCTGCTTCAAGATGGCGCCAGAGAGGACTGGGAAAAGCGTTTTCCTAGGGAATATCCCCTATAGTAAGCTTGGGGATCTATGAGTTGATATTATGTCTATGAAACTCACTGACTGGATGCGTAGCTCTCACTGAAGAACAGGTTAAAGACATTCTCAGCTCTGCCGGCACCGTCACGAAGTTCAGGTTGATGATAAACCCCGAAACGGGAAAGCCAAAAGGATACGGCTTTGCAGACTTTGCAGATGCAGATGCCGCGGCTTCGGCGGTTCGAAACTTGAACGATTATGAAATTATGGGTCGCAAAATAAGGGTTGACTGGCCACATAACAACGAGAAAGACTCGGTGCCTCTCGACTACTCTCAACAGGGTCAAGCGAGCGCAGCAGGCCAAGATGGACAACCAGGATACCAGGGACAAGCTCCTCTATTGCCATCTCTTCCGCCAGGTACCGACTTGCCTCCGAATCTCACATGTCCGAATGCGATCTCCCAGACCTTATCAACGCTTCCTGCGCCTCAGCTGCTCGATGTTCTCTCGCAAATGAAATCATTAGTTATGGCCGATCCAGCTCGGGCCACCGAACTTTTGAGACAGGCGCCGCAGCTTGCTTACGCTATATTCCAAGCGCTTCTGCTCATGAACCTGGTTGATTACGGTACCCTTGGGGCTGTCGTTGAACAGGCTACACAACCTCAACCTCCAGCTCCACAGGCTCAGCCAGCTTCCCATATTCCACCACAATTCCAGCCATATCCTCCGATTCCAGGCCAGGTATCCACTCCACCCATCCATAGTACCCCATTCGCTCCACCGCCACCACCCCAGCCTCAACCCCAAACCCAACCACCATTGCAAGCTCAGATACCGGGGCAAGAAGAGCTCTTGCAACAAGTTTTGAGCATGCCACAGGCCACCATTGATGCTCTGCCGCCCGCGGAACGGAGTCAAATAATGCTCTTGCGACAACAGTTATTGCAAGGAGGAATGAGATAGTGATGATATATCTTGTGAGGAAGTGATCAAATGAAGGGGTTTTCACATTTTTCATATGGGATTGATGACCTTGGGAACTGGAGTACAAAATAAATGGCATGGGTATGTGAACAGTGCTCGGCTCGGATTTGGCGTTGAATGGTTACTGCCTGCAGGGAAGTTTGTTTATTCGCTTGAATGCTCTCATTTTCCTACGTAGGCCTAGCGATATTGTTCTAGCATATGTATTTTATAGGAACTAGGAATATTCTGTTCTCTTCCCTTCAGAAACCAGTCCGTTGTGTGGAATCCACCTCTTACTCTTACAGGAGGTGGGAAATGTGCAGAGATAGGAAGCAAATGTCGACCATACCCAATTCAAAATGCATACTTTGCCGAACTCTATGTCACCTGTTGCATTAGATCTGCTATTTCGGTAGTGATGCTTGACCCTGACTTCCCACTGTAAACCTCAGGGGCCTGACACTTCACGTGATAGCGAATTTCTGGATTCGGTTTAGCGTAGTTCCAGACCTCAACTCAGATTCACAGTATATAAGGAGAGAGGGGAATCAGCCTGCATTGTTTCTTCTTTTTGGAATTTCTTCACTCAGAGCCAGAAAGCATCATCAATCGCCAAACCTGGCGACGGTTGACCATGTTGTTTTACCCTTGCGGTAAAATGGCATTTCAGGTTGTCCGGCCTCGGTTTCCAATTGCTTTCTAGCTCTCTCCCCTCCAGCTTCGGGGACAAGCTATGTCCTTGGGCCTGGTGCCTCAACGGCATTGCCATCGTTGATGGCGTCTATGCGACTGGCTTTTTGTGGTACTGAGGTTCCCGGCATCCGTGGCACTGTGATATGTCCCCTGTTGCTTGTCGACGAATCCTTTTGGGTTCGTCCCTTCGAGGTTTCAAACGATTTCATTCGTGCATAAGTTAGCAGGCGAATAGGGCCGCATATCACCAGTGGCTAGGCTTTCTCTGGGGTCGTTGACCTTGGGGGTGCTTCTGCCCCTGTGATGCCCTTGGGGCCCCGGTAGGCCCACAGGGAAGGGTTTTGAGAGGTAACAACTCCACGATTCCTTTAGCCGGATATGTCGCTAATGTGCCCCAGCGAGCTTTAGCTTGGCGAAAAGGTACGCCCATGGGTGTTGGCTGGCTTGAACCTCTTGGAGTTTGATCATTGCACATATTCTCGTCTAGCAAAGAGTGTCTGATATTGAATTTTGGACAACAACCTTTGAGAACTTGCTTTTTTTGATAGGCTTTGCCTTGTGAAGGAGATTTCCAGATTTTCCCGTGCAACCCTGCCAAAACAAAACAAGGGCACACAGCAACGATGCGATGCAGACTAGTCCCATTTATACCAAACATTGCTACCTCCATCCTCATCTATCAAATTTTTCATTTGCCAAAAGTCGTTCTCCATCTTCTCTGCTTCTCTTGGTTATATTTCCCATCTTCCACCGTATTTCTTATTCTGCTATCAAGTAGCGCATAATAACCCTAGACTCCTGGCCGTCTTGCTCCTGATTCAATCAAACTTATTACTAAGATGAAGAGTTATCCAGATATTACCCGCCGAAGTGAGCAGGAATCGGAGTTCGACTCCGAACCTGAGGGCCATGTGGCCGGTCCCACCTTGAGCGACGAAGTGGATTCAGAAGGCGATATCGAAGGCCTTGAATCCGACAAAGATGATGCAGTCGCCCAAGAGGGATCTTCAAAACGCGTCGCCAAAGCAGGCTCAAAAGATGGACAAGTCCTCGAACGTGTGAAATATCACATTGAAACTATGCCCCCTGAGGTGCTTCGTGGGACTTATACCGTCATGCCAACCCCTAAGCCCAAGCGCGGTCTTGATCAATCCCTACCGCCTATTAGCAGAATCGAAGATATCTTCGATGATCTCGTTGCTAAGGCTGAAAAGAATGGCTTTGACGGCTTTCTGAGCCATATCGGAAGTCGAGAGCTGCGGGTTGCGTCGATGTGCTCTGGCACGGAAGCCCCTCTCCTTGCATTAGACATGATTGCTGATAGTAAGAAGCTCGTTATCCCTTATTTCGAAACGCGTTTTGCTGACTGCTTTGTAGGCTTCAAACGGCTGTTCGGTAGATCATTCCATTTGCACCATTTGTTCAGCGCGGAGATCGAGCCATTCAAGCAGTCCTACATCCAGAGAAATTTCTCACCGGCCATTCTCTTCAGGGATGTTAATGAGCTTGTCAACGACGAAGCGTAGGTTATGAGGGCCTCCGAGGTAATGTACAGCAGGCTAACAATATCTCAGCACCACCGCTTTCGGATCGATGCGCAAGGTTCCAACCAACCCCGATCTTCTGGTTGCCGGTTTCTCCTGCGTTGATTTCTCGCAATTAAACGCACACAAGAAGTCTCTAGAAGACATGGGTGAATCAGGTCACACTTTCTTCCCCATTCTTCAATACGTAAAGCGCTGCAGACCGCCGCTGGTTATTCTCGAGAATGTTCATAGTGCTCCTTGGGCAAAAATTATGGAGGTCTACCAAAAGATTGACTACAACGCATACCATGCGTTCATTGACACAAAAAACTTTTACCTTCCACAGACCCGAGAAAGAGGCTATTTACTTTGCATTGACCAGAGAAAACTTGAAACGGAACCACCCACAAAAAAGGGTGCAAAGACATCATTGCTTGCTCGAATGATGAAAAGTTTCCAACGTCCAGCGAGCTCCCCCGTCACGCATTTTCTACTTAAGCACGACGACCCTCGCCTGCGTGTTGGAGTTAATGATATATCTGTCCAGGTGGGGAAAGACCGCCAAGCGGTCGACTGGACACGATACAAGGCCCGCCATCTTGGGTACAGAATGGAGAATGGGCTGGGGGATAAACGGCCTCTTACGAGATGGCAGGACAATGGCACTTGTCAAATGCCGGATTTCTATTGGCATGGCTGGACGAAAACCCAGACGGAGCGAGTTTGGGATACGCTTGACGTCAACTTCTTGCGAGCCATAGTGCGTAAATCGGACTTCATGTCAAAGTGGTAAGTCTATCTCTTGATGTGCAGTTGTTTTCATTTACTTACATAGATGTAGCCGTGTGATCGACCTTTCGCAGGGCTTGGATCGAGAACTTGATCAGCGCGCTTCCGGTATATCAGGCTGTTTGACCCCTCGTGGCCAACACTTTATCAGCACGCGTGGCGGACCACTTCTCGGCATAGAAGCTTTAGCTCTCCAGGGCATTCCCACCGACAGACTATTGCTGAGTAGTGAAAGCCAGCGTGATCTTCATGACCTGGCGGGGAACGCGATGAGCTCACCTGTGGTTGGCGCAGCAATTCTATGTGCGTTAATAGCGGGACACAAGGCGTTGCTACCCGGCCCGCCTCGTGTAGACGAACCTGAGACACCACATTGTGTCTCCCTTCCACATTCTGTGCGTCAAGATTGTCCGATGCGCGATGTTTCTGTAGAGCTATCTGCAATCGCATCGGAGCCGATAAAGGATATTCTTTCTAAGGGGCATCGAAGCTGCAGACTTTGTTTTTGTGAGGGACAAAGTGGAACCAGAAGGAGAGACATGCTCAAGTGCTCCAAGTGCAACCACACAGCGTGCGTCAGGTGTGGTCGGAATCCGAGTCATGTCTATGAACCAATTCCAGAAAAGGAGTTAGCTTTACGAATCGCTCCAATTGACTTTGAGATCTACATCAAAATGAACTTCCCAATGCGTTTGCAACTGAAGGGCCTTACCCAGGAATTATTCGAACAGTTCCGAGAGCCATGGACATCGAAGGAAGTCCTGTCTGCTTGGAAAGCTTTTATGGGCACCGTAAGCCTCGCTCTCGGGGAGGAACTACGATTCAGCGGTATCAGCCGACAGCGTTCATGGACTGTCACGTACGAAGGAACTCATTCGTTGCTAAAACTGGTATGTTCGCCGACAAGTGCTGAATGGCTCTTCTTTGCGTTACCCGGCAAACATGAACCCAGCAATTCTCCTCTACGCCAGATCCTTTCGCACCCTATAGCCCGTATGGCCCCATCTAACTCGCTCCTTAATGGCGCGTGGCATGTCGCCGCCCCAATTAGTTCTGACTGTTCCCTCTTCATTACTGGCTGTGGGCCTCACGTCGATTCGCTGGGTGCGAGAGTTGGCCTGACTGACAAAGAATTCCGAGACAAGAAGGTCTGGAGCCGCCTTGACATCGATTGCAGTGATGAAGTCATCTCCAACCTAGGCATTGAAATACGGGGCCAGTACGAGCTTTTGCAAGATTGCGGTGGACCTTTCGGTAGTCTTCACAAAAAAATATCTGGTGGTTCTGAGCAGCCCCTTTTTTTCTTTGTTGACCCGACTGAACTCGGTCCCGAACAACTGGATTCTTGGGTGTTAGCCACTGACTACACTCGATTAGATCTCGGCCAGACGCGAGAAGTTATCGCTCAATTACAGCCAGACTGGGATGCGTTTGAATTAGGGCAAGAATCTCAGACCGTCAAAACCTGGTTCCGCAGATGGACCAAATCCCCAAACACATCCCTGAGTGCTTATCTTCCTTCGGCTTCTCCTATTTACCACATACTAGACCACGATGCTATGTATGGGATCTGCCGATTCAACTGCCAAGATGCGTATGCTCCCATTTTCAACTGTTCAGTTCCTGCCACTTCTGAAGAATCAAATTGGAGTCCCGGCGCTTGGAAATGTTCAAACCTCATGGAATCTCCGATATTTCTTCAGAAATTTGCGTGGCTGTTACAAAAAGCCGTCTCTGTTGATCAGTTTTCTGAGTGGATACCGGTGGATCTTGCACGACTTGGCTCCCGGTTGGATTGCTTGCTCTGTGCTCCATTGAAGCCGCGACTAACCTGGGCCCTAAATGAAAAGGACCGGATCTGCGCATTCGAGCACCCTGAGGATGCAACTGCCTACGAACGAAGTGTCAAAAATCGCCCAGCACCATTTCTTGGATTCGCCTCCCTGAGTGAGGACTCATATTTGCAGTTGCGGATCTGTTTGAATTTTCTTACTCTTCTCCATCAAGCAATTGGAAATCTGCCTCGCGCCTCTACGGAGCCGTCGTTAAACTGGCGTTTGTGCATTGATATAGCAGGATTCGTACGTCAACGACTTCCAAAGCTTGTCGAAACAAACAATAAAGATGACGTTGAAAATATCCAGCCACCCGGCTTTAAAAAGTACAGCCTCCGGCCAGAACAGCTGCGATCCTTGACCTGGATGCGGGCACAGGAAAGCCCAGAGGTTCAGCCTTTTGAAGAAGAAGAAGTCGTCGAAGCGTTGCTGCCGGTAATCAACTGGCGTGCGGAAGGCAAAGCTACCGTTGAAAAGCTAGTGCGAGGCGGAATTTTGGGCGATGATGTTGGATATGGCAAGACGGCAATTTCGCTTGGTTTGATTGACGCACAGTTTGAAAATGACTTGAGGACTGTTCCTGACAGCCGAGATGGACCAATCGCCATCAAGGCAACTTTGATTGTTGTTCCATATCACTTGTTTGATCAGTGGCTGAGGGAGATTGACAAGTTTTTGGGCTCGAAATATCGCGTACTGCAAATCAAGACTATCATTGCACTTCGTCCTTTAGATATTACAGAGATCGAGAAGGCAGATATTGTATTGATGTCTGCGTCAATCTTCCGGGGTGTTCATTATTACGAGCTAATGCGACTGTTTGGTGCCGTACCTGAAGTCCCAAAGGCAGAGGGACGTGTTTTCGACGAGTGGCTCCGAGATGCTGTGAATGGTATTCACAATCATCTACGTCTCTTGCGGACCCAAGGGGGACTTGACGTGCTCGGTAGTATCAAGGAGAAGAATGTCCGGCTGCGAATTGACGCTATATTTTCGAAGTACAATCCATCGAAAAGGCTTAAGGGCCAAAAGCTCCAGGATCACATGGCAAAGAAAAGTAAAATGGATGCAGAAGACAGGTCAAAGGCAACAAACATTCAAGGTGAAGACGATGGGTCCACGAAAGCCTCCACCCCAGTACCTGCTCCTAAGGCTGGAAAACGAAAAAGACAGGATGACGAAAATAAACCCAGTGCAGATGCTGGCCCAGGTTCCAGACAAGGCCAGCAGCCCAAAAAGGTGAAAGCGGAGCCCGCAGTTGACAGCCAAGGTGACGCCGAAGCAGCTGACAAGGCGTTCCATCTTCAAGACGCCAAATACGACTGGAAACGCGTCCGCTGTCCTTTCGTTCACATGTTTGAATTCAACCGCTTAGTCATTGATGAATTCACTTACTCGAAAGAAAGGAATTACTCTACCGTGCTTGCGATTCCTGCAAGAAGCAAATGGATCCTCTCTGGTACGCCGCCTTTGAATGATTTCGCTGATGTGAAATCCTTCTCTCCATTCCTTGGAATCAATCTAGGAATCGACGAGGACGACTGCAGGCGAACAGATAACGAAAGACTGAGGGCAATCCAGCGAGACAGAACAGGTACTAACTTCTCTTTTGCTTCTTAAGTCTAAGCTAATACTTACTAGAAGTTGAACAATTCCAACCTTTCATTACGCGTCGCAGTGCTGCGTGGCATAAAAGACGACACGATATGGCTCAAAGTTTTCTTGACAGATTTATGAGAAAGGTATGGATTTGGTGAGAGTGAAGTGAACGAAACTGACCTTGTATAGAACGAACCAGAAATTGGCGAGATTCCTTTTACCGAGCATATTTGCGAAGTAGTCCTTTCTCCCGCCGAACGCGCGCTCTACATTGAACTGTTCGTACAGGTTATGTCCCAGAATCTGAGGACTCGGAAACAAGGACGAGGGTTATATGATACCGCTGAAGTGGCTCGATTAAACCAGATCATAGGCGATAGCGACAGCCCCGAAGAAGCACTTGTGAAGCGATGTTCCCTGTTTTCTCTCGAGGATATCCTTGTTCATGACGATAGAGCTCCAGCCAATAGTGAAGCAGCTGCCCCAGATCAAAAGAAACTGGGCACCGGCAATACCATTTTAGATGTCCGCTACAAAGAACTGAGGGATCTAGCAGCTGATCTGCAAACGAAATTCAGACAAGCACTTTGGCTGAGATCCAAGCTGGATGACGATGTGAGGAACCACTTCGATAAGACTCTGAACCTCATCGAGACGAATATTGGGGCTGGTGAGTTGGGAGATAATTTGGTGAGAAGAATAATTCGGAAATGTCTTGACTTTGCGAAGGTCAACTCAAAGGAATCAGATGGAGAAAGCTTTTATGTTGCTTCGGTAAGTTACTACGAAATCCAAAAGCGCATCACGATCACAATTAGACTCATACCCCAATAGAAGAAAAAGGACTCCAGAGACAGCCGACCGGAATTCCCAGCTACCGAGAAAGCTACCGTCCAAGATCTAAACAACTGTAATGACAGTATTCGTCGACTCATCGCCGAGACTCGTACTCGAACCCGAGCTTCGAGAGTCTTTCAGGCCGTTCGATATTTTCAAACGTCGGCCCACAATGCTGCCTACTACTGCCATTACTGCTGTAGAACAGAGTATGACCGAAATTTGATATATATTTTGGGCGAGTGCGGTCACAGTTTATGCGGAGCATGCCTTGATTTGCGGAGAAGAAAAGGCGACTGCAAGTGTGATGGTTGCACTGCAACTCTGGAAGGGTACAGAGTCATTCCTGGCGGCGACTTTAAAGGGGAAGTACCTCAATCGTCGGATGATTCCTGGGCCGAATTCGGAGGAAGCAAGATCGGCGAGCTAGTCAAGCTTCTTCAGGACACAAGCAGAATTCCGGAAGATGACCAGGTTTTAATTTTCATTCAGTTCACGGATTTAGTAACAGCAGTGTCTAAAGCTCTGGGAAAGGCGGGTATCCGGCACATCACCATCATATCAAACGACCGTTCTGCAGGAAAATCGTTGGCTGATTTTCAAAATGGAACAGAGGAGGTTAAAAGCAAGGCCCTTATACTCGCTCTCGGAGACGTTACAGCGTCAGGCTTGTAAGATCCACAGTTGATCCCTTCTTGGTAAAATATATGCCATTTTAGTGGATCTCAGCTAACACACTACATCAGAAACCTCCAAGCTGCAAACCATATCGTCTTCTTTCACCCGCTGATCGCTCGATCACAGTATGATTATGAGTCCGGCATGTCCCAAGCCATGGGAAGATCTCGCAGATATGGGCAGCAAAAACATGTGCACATCTACCACTTTTTGGCGTTAAAGACAGTTGAAGTAAATATCTTCGAGCGCCGCAGGCGAGAATGCTTGGTGAAGCGAGATAAGATATTCGTTTCTCTTCTGAAAAATGAGATCCAGGACGCTGATGCGGCCAACTGGAGAGGCTATCCTTTGGAGGGCAGTAATGCCGCGCTTTTCGACGACGGAATTGATGAAGGAATTGATGAAGAATAAGAAGATTGGATCATGATGCGATTCTTTTTTTTCTTTTGTTCCCCGGCTTTAATCTTGCAGTCGGTTTCTCTAGAAGCTTCAAAGGCTTTTGCCCTACGGAAGCAAGTCGTTTTGATAGTTTCAAATACAATTGCTACGGTCGATTACCTTCACTTTTCCGCTTCATTAGTTCCAGGTCATATATCTAGGCATATCGTGGCTGTCTCCACGCGGCGGCGAGGAGCAATGTTGGCAAGGTATGACTATCGGATCATCTTCGACTCTCCGTCGCACCGTCCCCGGAGTCGAAATCCACGGTGAAATAGATTTATAAAAACGAAAAAAATAATAAGAATGAAGTAATGAAAAAAAAGTTTTGGACAAGGACTACTATACAATAGCAGAAAAATGATGGCATGTTATGCCCAGCCGATTCTATCCCATGTACCAAACTCAGCATAAACACACCTATCTATAACTCCCCGTCCTTTCTCAGCGTCTCCGTGCTCCACAGCGGGCTCGTCAAGCTAGTCAATCCAGCGCTATTCTCACAGGATTCTCTTCCACTCATCGGTCCCGGAGAGGGGATATTGACTTTCTTCCCACTCTCTCCGGCTAGAGCGGATTCCTTGAGAGCATTGAGTAATTGAACGGCGGTTTCGGGAGTAAGATCTTCGTAGTAGTCGTCGTTGATTTGGACCATTGGCGCGTTAACGCAGGCACCCAGGCATTCAACTTCCAGGACAGTGAAGAGCTTATCCGGTGTTGTCTGGCCATGGGAAGAAACCCCGAGGTGTTTTGTGATGGCTTCCACGATTTTGTCGCTTCCGCAGCCGCCAAGTTGGCACGGGGTCTGGTAAAAGGATTAATAGCCCGACGCAAAGATTTTAAATTGGACTCCTTACAGTGGTGCAAATTTGAACGAAGTATTTTCCGACAGGTTCCCGGTTATACATCGTATAGAATGTGGCAACTTCGTAGACTCGCATCGGAGGCATCTCCAGGATCCGCGCGACCTCGTTCATCACACTAATGCTTGTCCAGCCCAGCTGTCGTTGACCGAGATCCAAAAGCGGCATAACAGCAGCCTTTTTGTATTGTGGGGGATATCTTTTGAGGATTTCATCGATCACTTTGAGATTTTGTTCGGAGAATTTGAAAGGGATACTAGGGTTGTTCTCTGGCGTGTTTCGGTGCTAATTGAATCTCCTGTTAGGCTGCTATTCTCTTCTAAGTAATCGGCAAAGCCGACTAGGAAGCTATGAGACTTACTACTGCCAGAATGTCGCTGAGAACTGGGGTAGCAGCAGTGAATTGACGACACTGTCGCACGGGAATGTGTCGAAAGGATTGGCGGCATTGCCGAAGAGTGAATGGTAAAAGTTTAGAGGCCATTCCGATGGAATATGAACAAGAGCAAGAGTAAACCGCCTCAAAAAAAAAGAAAAAAAAAAGGGCAGGCTCCTTACGTCCTTGCAATCAATTGGGACCGCAATGGTTCGCTCTATGATCCTGAGATAGTGATAATAGCGGGTGGCCGATAATTGAAGGTTGGAGAGGGTCGACAGCGCTGGCCAATAAGAGGACAGCGAATTCAAACTTATGTCATCACCCACGCGCCGCCAACACCGACGACGCTCAAAGGCCCGACGGCGACCTTTCGTGACAACGGTCGTTGAGATAACGGAGAATATGCTACTTCGATCCTATCTTCGACACAGCATAATTCAGCAGGCAAGATTGTGTCGTCCTGTCATTACAGCACTTCACAAGCCTTTCTTTCCAATGTTCCAACGACCCTCTGGATCTCCGGGACAGAGAATGTCCTCGCAACCTCCGTCCCCTGCCCCGAAATACAAGCTGGTCTTCTTCGTTCCCCTTTCACACGTCGAGGTCTGCAAGGAAGCAGTGTTTGCTGCCGGTGCAGGCAGTTATCCCAAAGGCAAATACAGCAAAGCATGTTTCCAGTCAGTGGGGACAGGCCAATTCCTTCCTGGTGATGGCGCGAACCCGAACATCGGTAAGGTGGGGGATATTGAGAAAGTGGAAGAGATGAGAGTCGAAGTCGTCTGCTTAGGGAGAGAAACCATGTTAAAGGCAGTGGATGAGTTGCGAAATGCTCATCCGTATGAGGAGCCTGGGTACGAGGTTTACAAGTCGGAAAATGTTTAAAAGGCCCTTTTTTTTTCCTCCTAAAAGCTTCCCGGTCCCTCTTCCAAATTATTCTTACGGCTCTTGATGGATATGATGGAGCCCGCTGAGACTATCGATATTCACATAAGGTATGCATGTCATATTCGACGTATATCCGCAGTCTGGCACACCCTCGATGCTGATATCTATAGCATTTTCGTGCTGCCACTTCACCCATCTCCCCGGCAAATTTTGATGCCCTAACTTATGCCCTCTCTTCTGTTTTGACTAATGCATATCGAACTGTCTTACAAACAAATCTCACGATGTCATTTTTATCTGCAAACGAACACCTCAGAGCTATCACTGCATTCCATCACTCTAGTCAAGATTTCAAAATCAAACAGTCGAGGAGGATTAAAACGAAGCAAATGAGATAAGAGCGAAAGAAAGCATAAAACATGCTTGAAGGGTAGTACCAACACAATTCAGCATGGTCACAATCCAGGCGTCTTGGCGAATTCAGTTCCACCCGGCCATCTTCTGTCCACTTGGAATTCTCGTTTCCTATCATAAGGTCAATTTGATTTCGCTAGCCTTTCCTATACTCACCCTTCCGCCCCCCCACGCAGCCTTTCAAGGGACGATTTCGGACACTCTTTATCGAGAGCTTTGAGCTGGATGATGCGGATTCGAAGCCTCCCACCTTAAAAAGCTGGCATACCTCAAGTTAGATGCCAATAGCAAGGCGACAAAACCGTCACCTACTCACAATCTCGCTCCCTCCGCAATTGAACCTTACTGTCATCAGTGAAACTTGAGTTTGGGCTCATCCAGAGATAGAATGAGATTCAGAGGAAAGCCGACAAAATCAAGCATGACAAGCTTACAATCGAATATTTTCCGAGCACAAAATGCGCACTGGAGAGGATCCAGCCAGAAATTCATTCAGCTCCCAAGAAAAAGGTCGAGTCCCTCGCAACTTCCATACATGGGTTGAATCTCTTATAAAATCCATTGACACCACCAGAGCCCAGCACCCTGATGTCTTTCAAGAGCTTGACCCCCCACCAAACAGCAGCTTGGGAGCTGTTGCGGTTAGTTGAGGCCCTGAAGTCAGCCCGCGAGAACAAAAAACAATGGCTAGATCATATTAAACACAAAATTGATGGGGAGCTCATCGCCCTTCAGGAAGACATTGATTATGAGCAAGGGCAACATCAATGGGCTTTGACCAAGCAATGCTTTTGATGAAGATTCTGGTTGATCAACTCAACCTTTTCTTATTGATTCAGTATCCAGCAAACCATCATATATTTCCATATCCATATACGGGGTAGAAAATTGGGGAAATGTATATGGAGTATAAATTGAGGAAATATATACTCCGTAAAGAAAGTATATTCAAAACTTAATAATTTTAGTCTCCATAAATACGGAGTACTCCGTACTCTGAACTCTTGACAATCATCAACCCACAGCCACTTTGACCTGCCTGCTTTCTTTCTACCATTGCTCCACGAAGCTCTGGACATCGATGACACGGGAAACTTTCATACGACAGATTTGCTCTGATTTTAAATATTCGCCACCTCAACAATAAGGTTGTAATCTTAGTGTTGCGCCTCCAAGTCGCCTTCAGTAACAGAGACCTCTGTACGGAATATACAGGTTCCCTTTTAGATCAAGTGTCAACGACCGCTGAAGGCAAAAAAGATTTGACCCATGCCAAGCCTTTAGCGCTGCCAAGTGTGGGGTTGTTTGTTGACCAATTTCCACGCTGGGAACTCTCGTGAATGCTAAAGAGTGTTTATGTTATTTTGGTTGTCGATATTCAAGCGAAAACTCCCACCAATATGGATGATCTGGCGCAGCTGAGAAAACAACTTGAAGAAGAAAGACAGCGCCGACAACGAGCTGAAGCTCGAGCATCCGAGGAGCAACGGCGACGAGAGGAAGAGGAGCAACGGCGAGAGGAAGAGCAGCGACGACGAGAGGAAGAGCAACGACGACGAGAGGAAGAGCAACGACGACGAGAAGCCGCCGAAGCGTCCTTGACCTTGACAGATTTACGTGCATATATTTGGAACTGTCATGGTCTCTCACTGGCTATTAACATTGTAACTGATCCCACAGAAACTACACAAGGGGGAACAGCAAAAGCCACGCGACGCTATTATCCTTCGCGAATCATCCCTTGGGAGGGATTCCTGGAACAGCAGTCTTCCATTTGGAATGTGTTTCATCAGCACCCTTCATTCATGTCCATGAGACAATTCCCTTCTCCTCATCAGTTGGATTATGTTCTCAAAACAACAAAACCTATTACTGCGGAGATGGACCTTCGATATTACGAGCGTGATACAGTGGAAAACCACGTGCAGCTGGTTGTGGATGAGGTTTACAAGAATGATTCATTGAGACGAGAGCTCCGGCTGGCGGGATCAGTGACATTTGAAAGCCACATCAATCTCGGAGTCTCTAAGCAGGGCCCATCGCTAGAGGATCAAATGGAGAAGCTGTCCATCGAGCCCAACCCATCCGCCGGTAAAAGCAGGCCCTGCAGGCAAGATGAAGAGAATACACCACTTATTGGCCAGGCAGACAGATTCTGTGTGTATAGACGCGGAGATGATGGAGATGTTCCAGCAATTGCCATTGAATACAAAGCGCCACACAAGCTCACATGTGATGAGATCATGACTGGACTGTCCGGGGAGATTCAACCGGCGCGAGATGTGATTGATAAGGAAGAAAACACCACCGAATTTTATTCAAGACGTCTTGTCACAGTTGTGATCACCCAGCTTTTCTCGTACATGGTTGGCAAGGGCGTGCGAAATGGCTATGTGTGCACTGGAGAGGTGTTTATTTTCCTTCATATCCCTGAGGACCCTTCCATTGTCCAATACGCCCTGTGTGTGCCAAATCAGGATGTTCGGGAGGGTTATGAAGAGGATTTTGAGTGTACTGCAGTTGCACGGGTAATTGCATTTACCCTACTGGCGTTGGCTGCACCATCTCCATCTCAGGAGTGGCATGATGCGGTGACGAAGCTTGGTGTCTGGCCAGTTGAGTATGCAGAGGTCCTTGAGCAGACTCCAAGCCCCAAAAGGCTAAAAAAGCGCAATGTTCTCTCCCCCATTTACCGCGGTAGGAAGGGCAAGCTGCCTCCGTTTCATATGAAACTCCGGTCATGCCGGCCAACAGAGAATCAGCCAACTGATAGATCACCATCTCCTCCCCCCCCAGATTCCCCCTCACCCGCATTGAGAGCTCGCGGAAGGGGCTCTCAGGACCAACCGACTCAAACCAGCATTCGCGGGCAGGACCAGCATCGGGGTCGTAGTGGGCGCGGTGGGCGCGGTGGCGCCAGAACCAAGACAGGCACGGTGATGGGCATACGCGATCGTCCATACTGCTCCCAGAAATGTCTTCTTGGGCTGAGGGACGGAGGTCGTCTTGATCGGTCATGCCCGAATTTTCAGGACCATTGTGGAAAGCCTGTTCCCTCCCGCAATTTCTCAAGCCTCATTCAAAAGCAGCTTGCCATCGATCGCGGTGATGATGCTGACTGCTGTCCACTCTACAAGTCTGGTAGCTATGGTGCGCTATTCAAAGTACGGCTCTCTTCCCATGGGTTCACTTTAGTGGCCAAGGGAGCACGGTACGAGAATCATGCGGCCTTGCTGCACGAACAACAAGTGTACTACAAGCTACGAACCATTCAGGGCCGTCATGTTCCGGTCTGCCTGGGTGCCATTGCACTCCATCCAAAATACCCGTACTACTACGATGGGGGAAGATATACCCACATGCTCCTTCTCAGCTGGGCGGGTGGATCTTTGACTAAGAATCTCAAGGTCGACAGCTCGATTTCTAGCATGATCCAGCACTCACTTCAGGTGATTCATAGCCATGGAGTTCTTCACGGGGATGCTGAGCCGCGGAACATCTTGTGGAACAATGTATGCCGTCATCCCATGATAGTCGATTTTGGGCGATCATCCATAAGAGAACCTCTAGCCAGCATCTCCCCGAATACGAGGGGGAAGAAGAAGCCTGATAACTCAAAGATTGAAAATTCATTTATGTTGGAACTGCAAACTATGAAATGCAGCCTTGACGCTTTAGCCTCCAGTACAATCTAATTCCATATTAGGTGGGCTAAACTTCACAGGATCATTTGTTTACCAGGCTGTCATCATTGAATGACCAAGTTCAATTATGTGAAGTTGCAGTCCGTCAAATTAGCCTTGTTTAAAGCGATCTGGGTTTCAGGGGTTGAACCAGCTTCTTTCTTCTAGTCTGTGGCTGTTTCTGGTATGCAGACCAGAGGTTGTCTATTTCCTTGGGCAGTGCATGTAGGTAATTTCTGAGCTTCACAACAAAGGAAGGGTTGTGAGAAAGTGAATTTGACAATAGGGATGTAGGCAAATATACCATCCGTCATAAGTTTCTGACTCTCTACCCAGAATCCCTTTGGCAAAAGATAGATTTCTTTTTCTTCATGACTATCACACAACTCATTTCTTGGAACTGTTGAGTTTAGTGGTTCTAGTTCCTCCTCAATTCGCAGATCTAGATTCTGTAACTAATTAATTTTTATTGCAGATTTAAGAGATTTGGAGCTTAATCCCTCGTAGGTTCCCGTACTCCATACGGAGATACCGTATCATGGGGGTTGCCTAATAAGTATAGTTTAGCGTCGCCCAAATCGGGTAAGGCGCATATCACTGCTTTCACAACTATATAAAGTGCCCTCCTCCCACCGCTTGACCACTTTTCCTCCATCATCCCTATTTTCCTCTCTTTTCTCACCACTTTCTCTCACCTGTCTCTGCATCCCCTCTTCTTGGCCCCCAACCCTCAGTTTCACATGCAATGGTGCAGCTGCAGCTGAGCAAATTCCAGCCCTGGCCTTCTTTTCCACTTTCCTGCCTCCCTAAGGGCCTTTTTTGACAGCCTGGGGTCCAAAATAGGATGCTTTGCTGGTCACAGCTGATGATGATATTTTGTCCTTGATTGGTTTCCTTTTCCCATCATCTTTTGGTGTTCAATATTGACAAGCTCCATGGGTGAATTTGTTGTCTGAAGCTCTGGTTCTATCCATAGATGTTGCCCATTACCAATCTCTACTGCATTGCAACCTGTCATCTCTGGTCCTTCCACAGGAACTGGTGGGTCACTGTTAGCTACAACACATTCTGGCAATTGCACTGGATGATCTTATGACTGGGATGACCCACCACTGGCAATAATGCCTCACTACAGCAAGCACTTTGCCTTTCTGTGCCTGAGACACCTTTATGCATCATGTTTGGATCATGATGAGAACTACTGAGGGCGGGATTCAAGCCATGCATTGGCTGGGGGAATTGAGCCTCGCAAGGCGTACTGTGCCCCCTCTCCAGCCAGCTGAGGTGAAACCTGGCTTTGAACGGCAGATCTAGGCCGTTAGTGAGAACGCGCGGCCTCAAGATAGGGATTTGGTCTTCCTCTCATTTGCTGTTTGTGGCAGTTTTCTCTGTCCTGCATTGCGACAAACCGGTCTCTGTGACACTCTGATGCGAAATTGGCCTGTCCCGTAAGGGGAACATGTGGCATTTGTTGGCTTCTCTGGCTGAACCGCTGGTCACAGGACAGGATCAGGGTCACAGTTTGCTGGTGATCTGGTACCACAATTGTCACAAGCAAGTGTTTGACTCACATGCCATAAGCTGAACGCCCAGGCCGGTGCAAGGGCTGGATTTCCCACATGCAGGGCGCTGCCGACTGGGAGGCTGGGGTCAAGGCTGGCTAGAAGGTATGCTGCGCGCCATGAAGGAATTAGTCCCCAGAGGAGGAGCGGAAGAAAGACACTTTGAGAATGAGGATAAGGAGAGGTGCAACTCGCCCATGCAGACTTTGCGTTACATCCATGGTTCCTCACTTGATTATCTTAGGTACCGACCGTTCCGTTCCAAAGCCATTTCTTTTCATGATAGTTGGATTTGGATTACTTGTACTCCGTACTTTCCGCCTGTTGACTCGGGGTGGCTGGGTCGGTGTATGATGTAATCAAATCAAATCAAGCCAACTGGCATGCTGTTTTGTTGGAAATGACAACTAGAACTCATAGAACATTACATTCCTCAGCAACTCTTTCAGGCTTCATGCTGTGATGCTGCAGATTCAGCAAGATGCCATCAACTATCCAACGTCTGAGAATATTCCGCTACGCCAAATTCGATATCGATGCTCTCTGTTGCCTAGCCAGTCGCCTTCGCAGTGGAATTAGTTGTTTCTGTGATACATCCCAAGCTCCATTTAATGGCAGTCTGAACTGGGCGGTCTCTGTCTTCTTCGTTGATGGAGTGGAGTGGCTATTGAGATCACCACTAAATGAGAATGGTGCTATCTTGTGCCCTCAAACAAACTCTATGCTGCTGGAAAGCGAAGCTGTCACGATCAAATATATCAGAGCTCACAGTTCGATTCCTGTTCCTGAGATATTTGCGTACAGGTAAATAGAATGTCATAGCCCTGTGCTTATCGAACTAACGGCAAAAGCTGTTCCAAGGAGAATGAGATAGGAATCCCCTATATTTTAATGAGCAAAGCGCCTGGATATCCTCTACGACTACACTGGACACACATGTCTCCGGAAGGCAAGGCAAAGATTCTTCGCCAGCTTGGATCTATTACGTGGCAGTTATGCCAACTTAAGTTTGATCAGATCGGATCACTTTTCGAAGGCGCACACGATCCGGTCATCAAGACTTGTCTTACACGAGGGCTCCTGGTGCACGAGAGGCACACTCTTGATCTACCGCGCGGCCCTTTCGCCTCCGCTACCGACTTCTACAAAGCGTTGATTTCAGCATTCCAAGAGCATGCCAGCATCCTTCCTCTCAGCCCACGCTGCTTCTTTGCACCTTTACCGCTACCTGAGGAGTATGAGGACAACTCCCAATTCCAGCGTTCCCGCGATCGGTGGCATGATTTCGTCGCCCTAGGTTCCAAAATTGATGGCTCCGAAAACCGGGCAGATTACACGATCGTAGGCGACCTACTTGCCGAGACGCGGTTAAAGTGGGTCAAGGACACATATTTTGAGGAGGATTCGTGTCGTTACTCACTCCATCATCCCGACATTAGCGTCAACAATATCTTTATTGACGAGGAATACAATATTACTTGCCTCATCGACTGGGCTTTCTGTTCTTCTCTGCCTCTATCAGTGGCAGTCACAGAACCTGGTCTCCCTCAATCACGACATGAGTTGTCGGAACAGCTTCGGGAGGAATTCAGGCAGGGCTTTCAAGAGACACCTTATGTCATGTCACAGCAAGTTGATCTGAAAGAAAGGGCTCTCCTGTGCCGGATCCTACAACATAGCCGCCCCATGTGGTTGCTTTCGCGTGTCCTCAACTTTGATGCGACTGTGGATTATCCCCTCTTAAACGACCTCTGGGCGATCGTCAATCCTAATAGGGGCCATCTTCTGATGGAGTTCAAAACAAGGCAGTCCTGGGATCAGTATATGGAGCTACATGCACTTTTGAAGGAAGATGATCATCCATTTGATGTGGCAGAAAGGAATCATTTTGATCAGAGGTCTCAATTTGATTTGACAGTGGCAAAGAAGTTGACTCTGATCTCGCAATGGTCTTCACGATACAGTAAGCCAAGTTTTTCAGGGCTCAGGGCTGCAAGTGCCGCATTCATAGCCGACAAAACTTTGTGGAAATGGGTCGATCGATGTATCATGGACCTCCAGGAAAAGGTATAATAGAGCATTTTTGACCAATGAAACCAAGAGACTAGAACTTTCCATTCTGATGGTTTCCTCAGACGGAGGTATTCTGTACGAATATTCTCCTCATCCCCTGTCTCATCGTCAATAACCAATGATAACCCGAGCTAAATACACCCTTTCATAAGCTGTCCACAGACGTCCAATACTTATACGACAATACTGAGTGTGGTTGTAAAATGCGAATGCTGTAGTGGAACGTGTGGCTGCAAGCCTGCTCTCAGGAAGGGAGGAAAGCATGCCAGAATGTCCCCTGGTGTCCTATCCTAAACATTACTTTTCAGAAGAGAGTAAAAGGAAATGCTACCCCATCGTGGCAGCCATGTTAGCTGGACAAAATTTGCGAAAAGCATTGAGGTCAAAGAGGATGGAATGTCGGATGCACGGTGTTTCTTGATGTAAAGCGGCGAGAGGTTGCAGGTCACGTGGTAGAATGAGACTTAAAACAGCGTCAAAAAAGGGCCACTCTGAGTGGCTGCAACCCCATCTTACAGACTAGTTATATAGAAGTAGCTTAGGTGAATAACAAGCACAAGAGTTTCATCCGCCATTTTCACGCCAACGGGTTACATAATCAGCCGATATGCCGGAAGATTTCGACTGCCCGATCAGGCGGCATCGGCGACATCGCCAACCCACCGCAGCCAGCGCAATCCGCCCCCGACACGCGAGTCTGTCCAGTTGCTCTGGCTGTACTCTAACCAGGCTGTCTACGTGCTTGTTTTGGTGTTTGTCACTAACTGCTACCACGGCTCCTCTCAGAATCATCCTGCTTCCGTCTCTTGTGAGAAACGGAATAGCGCCCCGCGTTAAGCAGGTTGCAGCAATGGCCACTCAAGCCACTATCCAGCGACAGGCGGTCAAAGCGGCATGCGCAAAAGATACAAGAATATTACCGGTTCGGAGCCTTAACGTGCCGGGTCAAAGCATGGGGGATATCGAAAGGCGATGGGAGGCGGAAAAGGACCAAGGCAGTCCCGAAGCGCAGGCTCTTCTAGAGGCCGCAGAGGCCCTGCGTACAAGTGACACACCAGTCGCGTTCCCGACAGAGACAGTCTATGGCCTAGGAGCGGATGCGACGAGAAGCGCGGCCGTCCAGGGAATCTACAGAGCAAAGCAACGGCCGTCAGACAACCCCTTAATCGTCCATGTCAGCTCTAGGGAACAGCTCGAGCGTCTGCTCCGACCACCAGGATGCCCTACGTTAAATCAAAATAGTCTCCAAACTTCCTCCCTTATCCCACCTATATATGAACCACTAATAGAGCGATTTTGGCCCGGTCCTTTGACGATATTAATCCCGAACCCGAAGCATTCTCCGCTCGCTCCGGAGGTTACTTCCAATCTCTCCACTTTTGGTGTCCGGATGCCCTCCTCTTCTCTGGCCCGTCTACTTATTAAACTTGCCGACCGTCCACTAGCTGCCCCGTCTGCGAATGCCTCCACGAAACCATCCCCAACCACTGCCCAGCATGTATATGCAGACCTTCACGGACGCATTGATATCATTTTGGATGGGGGACCTTGTGGAGTGGGCGTGGAAAGCACCGTCGTCGATGGGTTGAATCACCCACCCGCAATCCTGCGGCCCGGTGGGGTTGGAATCGAAGAAATACGCGCATGCCGAGGCTGGGAAGATGTGCGCGTTGGGTATAAAGACGGTGCTTTGCCGGGTAAAATGACTCCCAGGGCTCCAGGAATGAAATATAGACATTATTCCCCGAGGGCCAAGGTCGTGTTGTTTGAAACTAGTCAGGAAATGCCATCGGTTGTGAGGCGAATACTCAATGAGCAATCACCCTCAAGCCCTCTAAAAATAGGCGTTATACGGACCAAAACATGGCAGAAAGGCCTAACAATGCGCATCCAACAGGATCTAACGGCCCCCGTCAATGGACATTGTGATGCGGCTTCCTCATCTGACCTACATGATGATATCCCTCCGTCCTCCGCTTTTCCACTTCACCGGTTATCTGTCGTTCCTTCCAGCCCGGATTCGGGCTCTCCTCCATGCACAATTGATATGCTAGATGTCTTTCTCGGACATGATCTCCACTGTATCGCAAGAGGACTCTTCTCGGCTCTGCGCAGCCTGGACGAGAATGACGTTTCTACAATCTATGTCGAGGGCATTGCGGACACGGATGGAGATCTAGCAGCAGCAATCATGAATAGATTACGGAAGGCCGCTGAAGAGGAGATTAAAAGCTAATATCCATGCGAAACATAGATCTTTTTGAATTCACACGCTCTAAACGCGGAGCGAAATAGTAAACGACTTTTACGATGTGCATGCTGGGATAGATAAAATGACAATATATAATTTTTATAAACTGAGATTCTGAATCAGTCTTGACGGATGCATTTTGTTTTTAATACATAGTACCACATTCATCGCTTCTTCCCTCCCTTCCCACCACCTTTTCCTCCTTTTCCGGAACCTCCACCGGCCTTTTTCCCCTTCCCTTTTCCATCATCGATATTTGAAACACTGCCTCCTGCTCCGGCAACGGACACAATCCTTACTTTGCCAATGGGCAGTGAGTTTATAATCTCCGCTTCTCTCCATCCTTTCAGCAGTTCTAATTCCACTGTTGTCAGGTTCGGTTGATCATTCTCCTTAGGTTTGGGCTCGTCGGGGCTTTCCTTCTCCTGACCTCCCGAGTTACCCCCTCCTGAGGTCGAAGTGGGCAGTTTCTTCGCCTTAACAATAGCAGAAGCGTCCACAATCCATTTTCCTAGTATTTCTTTCACTATTTTGCCCTTCCCAGTAGGCCCAGGTTGCAACTTGGCTCGGTATTTGTATTGTCCAAGCGCCGACCATGGCGCACAAACGGGTATAGCACTGATAATCTCATCCCCTAAAGCTGGAGTGCCGACTAGCGCCGGCAAGCTTGATAAGTCCTCCACTACCTGCTCAGCATCGGCCATATCTAAGGCCTGATTCTGCCCTTCTGGTCGTTTCTGGAAGTTTTCCTGGCGTCGTCGCTCAGCCTGTGCCGCCTTATCATGCTGTGCCCTACGTCGTTCCTTTTGCGCTTGTATCTCCGCTTCTCTATCTTCTTTCGTCTTTTTCGGCGTGGTCGTTTTCGGCGCAGAACCAAGTAACCGAAGAGCTAATTCCCGGTCTTCTTCGTCTTGATCCTTGTATTTCGATGCAAGCTTCTTGGCCTTACCGCGTTTGCCGCGAACTGGCAGCTGGCTCTTTGATGTAGAGGTTGATTGAATAGACAGAGTCTGCGTTCCGGATGGCTTGAATGTTGACGGTGTTGACTGATTTTCCTCTTCATCTTCGTCTTCTTCGTCTAATCCTAGCTCAGAAAGGGCAGAGGCATGTAGCCCTGCACCCCTTTTCATTAATCTTCTCTCTTGTGCAGACACATGCTTCGTTGTAGCGCCAAAAGCAGCTAGTTGCTGTTGCAGGTCAGGATCCGCTAGAGCATCTTTGTCCTCTCTAGACAAACCGGCTTCCCCCTGCGGCTCCTTCACCTGTGGCGCAATTCCCGTCTGTGCACTTTGTTCAACAGGGAGATCCGTAGTATTTTCTCTTGGTTTCTGCTCCATTCCCACTTTGCCGATTGAGCAGTTGTCAACCGCAGTATTCGGGCTCTCTTCCAATTTCTCCATTTCCGATGGTTCATGGGTACCATTCCGATGGTCATTTTTAACGGTCATTTCGCTCGAAACAGGCTCCTCCAGACGGTGTCGCGTATGATTCCTTACGCTTTCCGGACTAATCTGGAACATCACTGCAAATCCAAGGATAAGCTGGCCGGGAGCTAAATGATTCTTCCCCCCGCGAATAACCACGCCCCCGGTTGCTAAATATTCTCCAGACGGAGTGGTTTTCGACACTTGATCAGCGTTTACCCACCAGGCTCCCATTAATGCTTTCGACTCCCAGGCGCGAGATGTGGCTACGGTAAACGTGCCAGCCTGTGCAAGCGTCCCCGGAGGTATGGGGGCATCAGAAGCTCCGGGTTTATTTTTCACAATCAGCGGTATTGCACCTTCCATATCCGCATGAACATATACATCGCCTTTACGCAAGTGTCGGTGGTACAAGATTTCATTTTGCCGGTCATCCGAACCACTAGAGCGGGTTATTAACATGACGGAATCGATGCTAAAATTCAAAACAATGGAAAACTCACCCAAGGACAAGATAGCCATCTGAAGATATGAAAAAGTAGAATTTTTCAAACCAGAATGGTATCCTTGCAGGCCTTAGTACCGGTTTCTCCTGCTTCAACCCCCGCTTAAGATCCGTAGTTAGCTTTTTCTCAGCGCTTTTGAGAGCTTGCTTGGAAGCTTTGATGGTCTTGTCCTCTTTTATGGCAGCCGTCTTCTTCTGGTCGTAGTATTGGCTTGCATTCGCCCATGGTGTTAGACCCAAGTCTATATCGACACTGAGAACCTCGGGTCTTTGCGGCTTTTTCTTTGCTTCGCCATCATTCTCTTCATCTTCCTCGCCAGATTCCTCAGAGTCATCATCTTCCCCGTCTGGCTGTCCCTCAGGCAACAATACTGTAACTGTATTTTCGTACAGCTTCAACGGGAGTTTTATCAATTTAGCAACTGGATTTTGCCGGCTCTGCTCCATTTCAATTAGACGGGCAATTTCAACCCAGTCCATTCCCTGGGCAATCAGGCCATTAACAGCATTCATAACCTCCTCCACTTTCCGCAAATTCGTCGCAATAGCTTCGGCTCTTCGAGTATGTATCTCCTGGACTTGTTGTAGAGCTCCAACCCTTTTCTCATGGTCTCTTTTTGTGGCTTCGAGCTTGCGCTTCATCGTCTCTTCTCGCTCCGTAAGCCTGGACTCGAGTTTCTGGGTTTCCACGGACGAATAGTACTCATCCACAGCTTTGTTAAAGCTGTCAAACGTCAATATACTAGTGTCGTTACCATCTACAAACTGCCTAGGTGCAAATGGATGGTAATCGATGTAGTTTGATTTGTCCGGCTTTGCTTCTCCGCTGAAACTTGGGTTCTCTGGTGGTTTATTTTCATTTCTCGCGACGATGTACCCTCTAGTTTGTTCCGTCGTAGATAACTCGTTTGAAATGCTCTCAACCTCCCGAAGAACACGCATTAAGTCATTCACCCTATCACCTGTCTCCAGAATCTGATCAGGTCGTAGGCTGGAATCGAAACCAATAACATGCAGGGCATGCTCAAGGAGCACCGGCGGGTATTCAGGAAAGCCAAGGGATAGCGCCCTCCTTAAAGCTTCTTCCTGCTTTTTTTTGGCCCTCTTATTGGCGGGTTCTGATATAGAAGCATCCCGCTCCTTTCCTTTTTGCAGCGCAGTTTTCAGTCGGTCCACGGACGGTGGGGGCACTCCCTCGTAGTTCTGTTTGTTATCCAATCTGTATTTCAACCCAAGCCTGACTTCATCCTGGTCTTCGCCCTCGGGCACGATCCTCAGTAGTGCAACAATCTTATACTCGTTATCTGTCAAAATAATATTTCCGGATGCGAAGAACTCCAGGAATAAGTGGTAGTACCCATCGCTAAATTCAATATGAACGATTCTATCTGTGCCAACCTGAGAGACGGCAGTGATTCGACGGGATTTCAGGAATCCTCTTAGACGACTAACGAAGTGTGATGGTGCAGGTGCAGTTACGCGGGAGTACTCTGTGATGTGGCAGCGGAAGCCGGAGTCAACGATAAGCTGTTTACGAACGTCGGGCTTCGCAATTTTGAAGAGGTAAGTGCGCTACAAGTAGGCTCATTAGCCGTTTAATATCTAGCATTGAGGGAGAAATCTTAGGGAGATATACCGAAGAGAGGTCATATATGTTCGATACTCTCAGCCCGACGACAGCGGCGGAGAGTTCGCGGCATATGACCTGCGCGCCTTTAGCAATACAAGCCAGGCAAAAGAGAAGGGTAAAAAACTGTCAGGCAATACTCTACCTTAACATCTAGAGAGGAGAATCTCTGCTTCATCTTGTGTGTGGAGGTGGCCGTGTACGAAGCAGGCTCTCGCGGATGTGTTAGGCGCCAGTTGAACTTTCAAATGATTGTTAATTTATAACCGCACTTTTTGGTCAAAACAGTGACGTAGGCGGGGGTAAGCGCAAATCCTGAAATACCTACCCGGTGCGTTGCAATCGCTTTATTTAGATTTTACTAATAGCACTTGGTGTACGGAGTACGGGGCATGAGATATCCAACTTATTACGGAGAACAGAGTCAGACGAAGGCAAAAGTCCAGGGGTATTATTAATCCCGATTTCACAGCCCCCCGACAACAAAGCGGTCTATATCAACAACAGAAATCCATACCAAAAAAAAAAAAAAAAGGAAAAAAAAAAGGTCAGCATCATGAATGCATTCGATCTTCTTTGATCAATCCCATAGAAAAGCCGTTTACGCCATGCCCATGACAAATAGCAAACCGCTTGAGGCAATAACCCGAATATCTCGATAATAGAAACAATTACAGTCCCTGCCGTAATTGTTCCGCAAGGCGCCTCTTCCCAAACTCCCAAGCATTCAGTAAGCCCTGTTCCGAGAGATCGATGCTCTTCATATTCGGCGCATCTGGTGCTGGAGCTTTGCTAACACGCGAGGCTACCACAACCGGATCCGTCTCCAAAATAATTCCGTCGTCCACAATCTCATCCACTGCAAGAGTAACAAGGTCGTAATTTTCTACAATAGTGCGTTTATCGGTAGAGCCACTAAACAAAATGAACTGGATTAGTCGCAAATTCGCGCCCCCAAATGGATTCTGGAGTAGGAAAGCGGCAAATTCTCACCCGAGCAATATCGCCAACGCATCCCTTAGCGAAACAACCACACTATACAGCAAAACTTCATTTTCCTCCGCACCGCCAATAACATATATCATCACATCACTCTCCATCTTGAAAACAACCACCCTGTTGTCATACAGCACAATGTCGCTGGATTGCTTGTTCGTCTTTTCCATTAAACCCTTTTCAAAAGCTTTCTGGTCTTTCAGGGTAGGATACGGGTTTGCACCGGGATAATCGACGGAATTGGGTGGAATGCCGGCGGGGGGGTGTGGGGGAGAGTAGTACTTTGCGAAGATGCGCGACGAGTCGTCCGTCGACATTATGAGGATCGCATTGATAGAGAAGAGAGACAGAGGGGCCGGCATCTTGGCTAGCTGTGTGGGGAGTAATCTCGGCCCTCAATTGGTAAAACTTGCAATGATCGAGAATTATCTCACCTGGCTACAGAGCAACACTGCCGATGTCCAGGCGAACAAGCAACGTGGTTGATGCTAGTCACGTGAACGTTAACTTAGCCAACTAGCTAGTATCTTATCAGATCAGCTCCATTCGCTTGTGAAACCACCGCCGAGCTCAAAAACGCATCTCCATTCATCATATGCTTCCCAAACCAAATACTCATCAGTCCGCCAACTGTCATACGGCGAAACTGGATAACGGTTATGTCCAGAAAACCTGCCTGGCTGCTATATGCTCTCAACCCCGCGGGTTTATAGCAATATGTCCGTGCCTTCTAGGATGGAAAAAAGACCCAGGCTCTCGGTGCGTGGTATGGTTGTACCAGATTCCCAAAGACGAGTCCCAGTAATTCATGCTGAAATTCCTTATAATAACGTACCGAACAAGACCTATACCGAGGTGTGAGGATGCTGATTAGCGCTGTCAAAGGTCGTTCCACAGGTAAGAAAAAACATGTCATCATCCAGCGGCACTCAATCAATGTTTAGGCAACACGGAGTAGGAGCAATGCAAAAAATCATTGCTTACAGTTATCTTCTACTTCCGACACAGCGGATTCAACTAGCCCAGTTGTGTTAACCCCCACGCCTTCGGAGGTTCACCGGGGATGTACGCAGCAGTTGTAAGCAAAATGAATTTTGTAGAAAGTTTGTATATTATATAGTCCTAGATCAAGGGTATTCTTCAAGCTGGAAATGTAAACCAAAGGACTGTCAAAGTTGCAGAATATATATAAGTGGAGGATGGTATAAAACAGACATATGCGGGACACAAAACTTAGGAGCCTGAGAGACATTGTTTGTTGCCGAAGGTCACACCGGAAGCAAACCATGGTGTTAGTGCAAATACCAAACACATCGCAAGAAATCGTCTATAAAAGCGACTGTAGGACAAAACTCAATGGCGGTTAAGGCTTACACCTTGTCGCCGTTAGCCCCGTTGAGTCCAGATGCCCGTTTGCCGTAGAACGAGGGAACTTTATATCATCCGTGTAAGGTTCCAATAATGGATTCGTTTCACATAAGTAGGAGGTTAAGATTAAAATATAAGCCAACGAAGACAGTTCCGTCACGCATTCCAAAAGATTAATAGAACATATCGTAAATAAAATGGCATAGCATCCTCCGATAGATAGACATAATACCGGGGCATAAGTGGGTAGAATCTCGACGATCAAACACTCAAAAAAGGAATTTGGGTATCTACCGGTTTAACTGGTCGTCGTGTTGGTAGAATCAACGGAGTTTGAAGCTGGGCGGTTGAACCAGGAAATCCAGCTTGCTCGATTGGCCTTCTTTCGGGCCGCTTCTTCATCGTCCGGAGACTTGCCGCCTTGGTCTCCGCTGTCTAATTCTTGGTTCTCCTGCACGAGTCTAAGAGGGCGCAGTTTACTTTGTGTCATCACAGCTCCAGTATAGTTGTTCATGCCAGAACTATGTCGAGGTGGAGAGGACGACGTTCCTTGAGAACCGATTTCGCCGCTGCGATCGCTCATCACACTGTCTCGCTCCCCGCCTCTGCTCGACATTGAAGCTCCCTGTCCCGAGTTTCGCTTCGAAGTAAAAGAGCCAGAAAAGAACGGACCTTGTGACAACGTTGGGCTGATGCCTGGACTCATAGGACCAGAGGGGGGAGACCGCCCAGCGGGCCCACGATACATCTGACCGACAACGTTGGCTGCAGCTACCCCGTCAGCTTGGTCGGACCTTGTTCTGCGGTGCTGAACTGTTCTAGAGCGGTTCAGGGGGATCCTTGGGGCGGTTTCTGGGTTTTCATGGGGTGTGGGATGCGAGGTCGCAGGAGCTTCTTGGGAGGTGGTAGAGTGCATCAGTTGGCTGACAGGTCGAGGCTTTGGCCGCGTCGATTGTCCGGCCATTACCGACTTGGCACGTTGGAGGAAGGTCGGGGCAGTAGCTTCGTTCCTTTCTGGGGGAGGTGGTGGTAACTCCTTATCCAACTTCGCAGGTCTGGCTGGGGGATTACCGGGGACATCGTTGTCGCTCTTGTCTAAGATATGTTCAAATCCTTCGTGTTGCAACAGACGACCAATGATTCTTTCGATGTACAAGCTCAAGGCCTTGTTGTGATCTACCTGGGTCTTCAGTTCAGCTTCCAGGCGACGTCGCGACTCCGCTTCACCTCCTTCTGCGGCTGACTCGAGTTCATCGGCTAGGGAGCCGGATCCAGTCGCGTTGATCTCGTTGTCAGCAGAAGCTTGGTGCATAAAATCTCCCTTGGTAAAATCCCCATTCAGGGTCTTTTCGCTCAAGAGTAACTGGTAACTCTCGTTGTCTTCCATCAAGCGAGCATTGGCCATGCGGGCCTCGAGGAGTTCGCGCTCCAGTTCCTGCTGACGGCCACCACCCATGTTTTCCATCTCGATTAATTTGATCTGCGCTTCTGCTAGCTCAAGTCTCAAGGACTCGATTAGCTTATCCTTTTGCAGAATTAATTTCGAGTTGTTCCGTGACGGGCTGCGTTGTAGCTGTGACGATGGGGCGAACTGGCCATTCTCGACATCTTGAGAGGAGCGGTTCCGGAAAGAGGCTAGACTAAAGTCAGCAAACAAAATTATTTTTGGATTCGTGCTATGGGAATCTCACGAGATCGAGATAGATTGCGATCATTCTCCACATTCATCCGCAGATCCTTCTGCGAAATTGTTTCTTTCAGGCGCTGAATGGTGGACTGGAGCTCTTCTTCCCTGGCGGCATGAGCTTCCTTGTCCTTCATCATAGCAGTCCGCTCCGTCTCATAGGCCTGTTCCATTTCACGCAGCTGGCGCGACAGCTCTTTAACCTCATCATGTAGGGAATTGATTTTGCCATCCTTTTCATGCGCCTGTTCCTCGAAACGTGTCTGTTCTCCAACCGCGTCATCTAGTCGCATTTGCAGAACCCCAAGTTGCTTGCGATACTGATCAGAGACGGTTTCAGCCTTTTGCACCTGTTGTCTGAGTTCGCCGATAAGCGTCGAGTTTGCGGCTTTCGCATCATCGTCGGGAACATTATTAGGGTTCATAAAGTTTCTCGGAACACTGCTCATGCTTAGGTTGGAGCGGCCGGGCGGCCTTCTTGCAGCTGCGCGAGCAGAAACGGGCGCAGGAGATTGTCTTGTGGACGACGACCTTCCAAGGCCGTTGGGCGATCCATTGGGCGACGAATGGTGATTGTCACTCGAAATACGGCGAACTCCGTGGGACGACGTCGGGTTAGATTGCTTTTTTAAAGAGCTCGCCATAGCGCAACAGCCACCGGCAGGAGATGTATGAAAATCTTTGGTTTCAACTCGGTTGCTGACTCTGTTTATGAACTGGATCGCACTGGCGGACACTGTTAGAGGTCACTAGTGCAATTCTTCGAGAAAATGTTCCCCGTTGCTGGGGTTTCGCGAAATCTGGCGACCGGGGCGTGGTGCATGTGCATGCGGTAGTCGGTGAGGGTTCTTAAGTGGTGAACGAAGACGGTTAGGGTAACGCACGGTGAACTAAAGGTCTCAACAGTAGATGCTCTTTTAAAGAGAAGCCAAATCAAGGCAAACGGCCGACACGAACTTTTGAACGGTCGACTGTCGGCTTGACATGTCAGCTCCTTATTGCTCATTAAAGTTGTTGGTAACATTACGGGACTCTCCCAGACTTTAGCGTGGTTTCAAGTGCTTACCCTGTACTGACGTGAATTACACGCATACATGGAGGCCCTCGCCCGTTTTAAAATACATGACGCTCACTTTTCACTGACAGCCTCGTCACATGCACAACCGCAGGTGGATGGGCATCGCCGCATCCGTCACTGGCAGAAGAACACGAGGGTGGGAGACTCTATTTTCGTGGAGACTTCTCTTCTTCTCCTTTCTCTTTGGCGAGCGTGGCATTGCCGCTCCCGAGATGTGCCCAAGGAGCCCCAATCGCCGCTTTGCTTCAGCTTCAAGAATGAGGTTGAAACTGTCTCATCTATGTCTGCTGTCCATGGCTGTTGATGGAAGAGCTCTTCAGCCATTCTGCTTCAACCCCGATGGGAGGTAGCCCCGCAGGAGAGTGGCCAGATGGCGGGAGCACCAGCCCCGGGAAAAGAAACGCCCTTGAAGTGTTTGAAATATGCCGTCAAAGGTGCCTCGCGGGGCGTCTGAGATTTCTTGAGCACAACAACCCCATTCTTGGGGCAGTCCAGCCAAACAAGGACAGTATGAACTTCTCCTGGGCCGGGGACCTCTTCTTGATATAGACGCAACACGGACTCTAATAGACCCAATAACCTGCTTCCAGTTCGGTTCCCCCCAGGCCTGCCATCGCAAACGGCTCCCAGCTCAAACCTGCAGGCCTGGCCCAATCTAATGACACACCATCCGGAACAGCATGTACGAGGTTACCTCCCACTTATGCGATTTGAAGAGTTGATATATGCGAGTGGATATGGATAATGCTTTTGACAGAAGAAACTCAATCCGTGGCTCATTCTTGCTGGCACTCAAAATTGCGGGCCGCAGAAACAACCCAGCTGTCACCGTCCATTGATACATTTGGATTCTTGCTCACTGGAAAATCTCCCATATCTCCATTTTGGAGGGCGCATCGAATGGCACCACGCTAGAGTCTATCTGCCAGTGAAGCCACTCGAGGAAAGGACTTCAATGACTGAGGAATAGGACAAGATAACGAAGCTAGGAGAGCAATTGGAGAAGTTCCGCGTAAGAGCGTCAACCATAGCAGCTTTCTAAGCCCCCATACTTCAGGAGAAACGCCCAGGATACGTATCAAGAACCCGATAGCAACCAGAACTGAAAACATTGTACCGTAGGGATGTCTTAAGGGGCAGGGATCCCTTGCTTGTATAAAATTTTTTATAACCGGTCCATTAACGAGGGCCCAAACAGTGTCTACTATGAGCCAGGGTTGGTGGTATAAATACTGATGTGGCCATCCCAGAATAAAAATCCAATTGGAAAGGAGATAATAACTTGCTTTGGCCAGGTTCGCTTGAAATGCCGGAAACCTACGTTAGAAACATCCCAACTTAAATAAAGCAGATCAACATTGATTGCTGATCACTGAAGTAGCTCCTGCCCCTGATTCCGAACCTGAGGAGGGACAAGGAAGAGGTACAACGCCAAAAATTCTAGAAGCATGAGGCTTGACATGAATTTTGTTCCCGACTTTGCAATTGTATGCAAACACAGCGCTATGTAGGACATTGAATCAGGGGTCAGACCAGTGCATTGAAAAAGCCCATCGATGCTCCAAGGGGCTATGTTCTGGGGCTCTGTGATGATGTAACTCAGTCTCTTGAGTGCGTTTCTCACCAAGCCTTAAGTTGTCCTCAGGCCAACTGCGGTGCTGACCACAAAACTCTGGCTGTTGGATTTTAGTGGTGGCTATTATTGGCAACGAACCGGAATCCAAATACGTGTACGGAGTACTTCGTACAGAGTGCAAATACATTTGTCAGTGGCAACAATGAAATTTCATGATTTCGGTCATCTGTTTCGGCATAACATGTTCACAGGGACTGAGAAACACCTTGTAATTCAGACCTTGTCAGTCGAGTTTAAGCCCTTAGGACCAGTCATCCAGAAAGGCGTTTTAACACCATCGTTGGGTTCACACTGCTTTTTGCCCCAGCCGCTCCACATGGTTGAAGCCAGATAATCCTTTTGGGACTCCCCTCTGTTGTACAGGCATAGCGGGTAGAATCAGGTGGCTTAGAACACCTGCTTCCAACAAGCTGCAGAAGGCTGCGTGGTTCGGTCACAGCAAGTTATCTGTTTGCACAATGGAAATGTAGCGATTCCCTCGATCAGGCCGAGCTCCCAATCTATAAATAGACAATTATCATCGCGCCCTCCATTCCCACGACTTGACGCTGCCGAGTTTGATGTCAAGACAAAGCGGTGCATTAGTAATCAACAAGTGGGTGGCGGCCCAATCGGGAAGTTAGGGCACAGGGTTCCGCCACAACACGCAGAGTCGCTAGTGGAGAATGATTGGAAATCAAAAGACCCGAGATTTAATTCCTTTGACGACGACGGCGACGACGACGTGTGTGTGATCTTTCGCGCCGACAACTCCCACACACCCCCTTTCCATCCAGCAATCTCGTTATCTGTTCGTTCGCAGGAAGTGCAGGTTTCTTCGACCAGAATCAGCAAAAATGGCCCGTCGTCCAGCGAGATGTTATCGCTACTGCAAGAACAAGGTTGGTGTGGCCCGGTTTTCCCAGCGACGAGAGCGGTGCTTTGTGTTTTGTTGCCAGGGTATTCTTTGGAAGATTCTACAGTTGTCGTGGATGATAGAGTCTTCTTTTTGGTGGGATGGGATGGTGGTAGATGGGATTTTGAAGAATGATGCCATGGGGGAGTTCTTGATGATAAGAGAGCTAACACATCGACTTTTGCTTTGATAGCCATACCCCAAGTCCCGGTTCAACCGTGGTGTGCCAGACCCCAAGATCAAGATCTTTGATCTTGGTCGTAAGAAGGCCAACACCGATGATTTCCCTCTCTGCGTGCACATGGTCTCCAATGAATACGAACAGCTCAGCTCCGAGGCTCTCGAAGCTGCCCGTATCTGCGCCAACAAGTAAGACACACACCCGCTTACTCTCAGCTATCTCGATCAAAGTCACTAACATTTAAACCTCTTACCAAAAGATACCTCGTCAAGATCTGCGGTAAGGAAGGTTTCCATCTCCGCGTCCGCGCCCACCCCTTCCACGTCGTCCGCATCAACAAGATGTTGTCGTGCGCTGGTGCCGATAGATTGCAAACCGGTATGCGCGGTGCTTTCGGCAAGCCCTACGGTGTCGTTGCCCGCGTGAACATCGGCCAGATCCTCCTCAGCGTTCGCACCCGTGACTCCAACCGCGCCGCTGCCATCGAGGCCCTCCGTCGCTCCATGTACAAGTTCCCCGGTCGCCAGAAGATCATTGTTAGCAAGAACTGGGGTTTCACTCCTCTCCGCCGCGAGGAATACGTTCAGCTCCGCAAGGAGGGTAAGGTCAAGATTGATGGTGCTTATGTGCAGTTCCTGAGAAACAAGGGCAATATCGAGGAGAACATGAGACGGTTCCCTGATGCTTATGAGAATTTATCTCAGGCGTAAAGGTTCTCTTTTTTGTTTAATGAAAGGAAATTATCAATTGGGGACAGCGGAACCAGCTGATTTGATGGATTGTTTTTTATTCTGAGATGATATCAGTGCGTTATGGTGCCATCAATTCAAGTTCGGTTTTTGCATCCTCAAAAAAATAATACGAAATGATTTTCCAGGTCTTGGTAATATGATGGCTAAGTATGAAGTATTGTGCCTGCCTCTGTATGCTTCTGGCTTTGGTAGCAGGGCTTTTGCGGACATTAAAAGCCTATACTCGCCAGGGGAATGGAAACATTAAGGTTACGAAGAGGAAAAATCGGCCAGATCTATAGGAGCGAGGCTGGTGCTATTTCAACAGATTGGAGATCCCTGGACGAAAAGTACATGATGGGGGGAAGCTTTAGGTGGGTTTCAAAATATATCAGAATAGCAACTGCAGTAGCTGCCTATGCAAAAGGCAGCATCCATCTCTGGATTTATTAGGTGTATTTTCTGAGCTCAATGTTGGGCCACCCACATCCAAGGACCCAAATATCATCGCTCGTGGTCTATCGGCCACTGCCATGTCACGTCGTAATCAAAAGAGGGCATAATAACAATACAAACAGTCCCAAGAAGATGCGCTTGAGATCAAACATCTCCCCAGCTTCCCATCCCACTAGCACCACCGACGGTCACAATAGCACTCCCGCTGCCTACACTACCACCGATATCCCAATAATGTCTGCTAGACCCGCTCCCGAGCGGGCCTTTTGTGGAAGAAACAAGAGTGCTCTGGCTAGCGCAGCTTGAGCTAGGGCGACGAAAATGCCGAAAGAGAATTGGCGTGGATGAAGAGCCGGCATGATGAGAAGTAGTAGCAGGGGTATCAATCCTGCTAGCACGAAGACCTGTGCCGGAAGAACTGGTCTGCCAGTGTCTTAGAGGTGGTCGATTCGAACGAGCATGTGCGTCTGCTCGTGCCACTAGGGGATGATGTTGTCTTATTATAGCTGCGCGATTAGATGCACCGTGGTCTCCCTGTCCATTTGGGGATAGAGGTTTGGGAGTGCTAGTGCCGTCATTCGAGAAGGGGACCTTGCCAGCAAGACCTTTGCAAAGGTAGCGAAATACCTCTCCGATGTCTAGCTCGCGCTCCCAATACTCGATGTCTTGCTCTGGTTGTGGAAAAGGTGGTCTCAAGTGTCCTGCCAAATTATTATTCGTAGATGGTCGTACTTCGTTGGCTGAGAGAGACTCTTCCTCCTCAATGCCCCATAGAGAAGCGTGATTGGGCCCGGTATTGTCCTGAAGGGTTGGATTAAAGATTGGAGATATTTCTGAAGTAGCATTCTTACCACTACCGTAGGATGCGGCCCTCGATGGAATAGGTCTCCGTCGAGAAGGTAACGATGACGCTCTGGAGGCCAGTTTGCCAGCAAAATCACTGGACGTCGATGAACCTGGTCTTACATATGTCGTGAAAGCGCCGGGGTGTTCGCAAAGTTGATGGACCAAGATACCCAGCTCTCTCGCAATGCGGTCCAAAAGTCTTTGTTGCCACATATTGTCACCTGACGAAGTTGAGGTCGCATTCTTCAACATATCATCAAGGACCTTGGGCCTTTCGCTCTCTACCCGAATGCTAGATTTCGAAGCGGCGGCTGTTGATTCGCTTTGCTGGTTATGCGGGTCTTCAGATTGCCGTTGCTTGTTTTCTTCTTCGGAGCCTTCAGCAAGAGCTTCACCGAAGATTACAGCAAGTATGGAATTATCAATACCAATTAAATCTCGAATCACCTTACGTGTGATCCGTCTCCAGAACGATTCTTCCTCTTCGGAGCCTTTCTGAGATCCTTCAGGAGAAGGGCGCGGAGTAGCTTCATCAGCAACAGGCTGGATTTCCGGGGTGCTCTCGACAGCAACGCCCGAAGGCTGCCGAGCAGAGCCTTGGGTAGCACGACTCAACCGGTTCGCCCGACTATATCGTCTTCGTCTCGTTTCCTTTTCTATTTCCTGCAACAGTGCCCTACTCTGCTCCATACGCCATTGCTCGATGCGTTGCCATCTCTCCCTTTCCATATCCTGATTTTCCACTTCGTCAACAGAGTCCAGATGTCGCTGGACACTTGATCTCCGCCGGGGCCTTGTTTCCCCTCTTCTTCGAGGGTTAAACTGCTCATGCTGCCACAACTGCTCTTGAACATGTAAGTTCACTGCGGTAAAAGTTCCAAGACCATCGTGTGTAGGGAGCAGCGCGGGGTCACTGTGGTGTAATTGTGGCTCATCTGTTGCGGGCTCACAGGCAGTAGGTTCGCGAAAAGCGTGTAGCCCATCGTCAAGACTATCTAGCTCAGTGCCATCTTCATCCAGCAAGTCATCGTGTTCTGCATCCAGATCACCATCTACAGTACCAGAGTGCAATGCGGTACCTAGGGAACCGAAATCACTCAATCGAGATCGACCGGTTGTACGAGGAGTTCGGTCTGTAGACGTGGTATGCGTACGGGTTGTCGTCGAAGGAGCAAGCTCTGGAGAAAAGAGCACCCATTCTTGGGATTCCTCCTCACGTGGGTTGTGGTTTGAGGGGGTGACATCGATGGCGGGGGGCGCAGGACGAGGAGAGACATTCTGGAAAGAGGGCTGTCTCTGACGGACTTGGTTGGGAACGCGAAAAGCCATGGTAGACTAGTGGAGGATGTGAAAGGGAGAAAACCTCAGGAAGAATGGAAGAGGTCAGAGAGAAAAGAATGAGGTGAGAAACGCGATTTGCTTCGCAGGCTGGCGGTGTAGTTGACCAACTCACAACAGCACAGTGACGCAAACACAAGAGACCAGGTGGCTAAACTCTAGGAGAGAAACATCCAGGGCATGCTTTATATATTTCAGTGGTCATAACAATAGAGAAAGGGACCTTTAGGCCATTTTTATGAGAAGGGAGCAGTCATGCATCCAGCCATTCGGGGGCTGTGAAGTGGTTACTTTTGCGCTGCGATCAGGGATCTGATGATCAACGTTCCCCCCAATCAAGAGGAGAGCGACCAGGTGGCCGGCAAGATGAAACAGGAAGACTTCCTCACCACAATTACAACACACACGCCGGTTTTTAAACAGACTAAAACTGAAAAGAAGCTACTGAATAAATGAGGTCCTTAAATATGTTTCTGTACAGTCTGTTTGGTCGTGTCATATCCACCCATGACGCTTGTTGTCAGGTTACGCTGATGGGCAAGGCTGTTGTGATGTCAGACAAGACCCATCCCGTTATCACCCGCGGAACTTAATCACGGCCATCTCCACCACCATGTCGCAGTGATATCAGATTTCATGGCCCGGGGCCTTGATAACGTGTGCAAGTGCCACCTTCGCTCTTACAGTCCGGTAGGTATGGTTGAGAGGATAAGACTAGCGTTGACTGACTTGCTACGGAGTACTATGGGGGTTACTCTCTCCTGTTATCAAACAATGTGGAGTTGTAATCGTATCCCCAAAACCAAAACGCCACACAGTGCCGCGAATCGAATCCCCACTTCTGGCCCAAATGGCACAGACCGGGGAAGAGCAAGCATTGACGATTGTCGATATTCGATCGCTGTGGATCGATATGCGGGGTCTGTGCACCTCGACAGGTTGGAGACGCAGTAACCATGCGTGAGCACAGTTTTATTTTCACAAGGAACCCCTCTCATTCTTCCCCACAGCCCTGTTCCTGCTGATGCTATTATGGAATATCGAGGATTGAATATCCCTCTATTTAAAAACTCCACCTACGAACTTGCCAGTGCCTCGCCAATCCAGTTCATCTGCACAGCACTCACTCCACGGGCGTAGCTCCTGTTCGTAAACACATATTCATTGTACATTATTGCTTCGACCTTTCTCCCAAATAGAACGCTGGATGGATGAATGGCGACGGTTTGGTTCCCAACAATGGTCCTGTAACTTCCATCTGGGAAGAGTCTTGCCGTATTACACGCAAATCCGGCAAGGAAGCTCCTCAGAATTAAAACGGGATCATAACTATCGCCAGGAACTGGATTTATGGATAAATTCCGGGCTTCCTCGTCGCCTCCTTGTTTGGCATCGAAAAGTTTGGCTTGCTTGCATTGAGTGATAAGCTGCTTGCGGACATCCTAGTTCGATGACTTGGTTTAGCATGACCACATTTGACGTTTTGTCAGGCTGGATTTGATGGTACTGATGGAAAAGAAAATCAAGAAGAACTTATACATACCATAACAGCTTGCATAGCACGGTGCGACACCATATGCCTCTCCGCCCATGCTTTACGATCAGAGTTTTCTGCCGAATAAGCACGAACGGTTACCAGCATTGTCAGATGATCTCCCTCTCTGCGGTAGAGATCTCGGCGAGCCTTCTCGGCTTCTTCCTTTTTTTCCTCAGATGTCGTACCCAGGAAGATGTTCTCCACGCTCAAACACGAAATAATGTCAATGACATCTCGCAAGCAATTTTCTCCGTGATCTGCTGCAGCAAGCAAAACTCGCCCAAGCGGGGCAGTGAGAGGAAGTTTGGCAATCTGCCTTCCAATCGCACTGATCTTGCCGGTCCCCTCTAGTGCTTGGATGTTAAATAATTGCAGCAGGGCCTTTTCGATGGCATCTCGTGGAGGAGGTGTAAGGAAAGGAAAGCCCACAATGTCATCAACACCTCTTGCTTTCATAGTTAGAATCGCTTGACTCAGGTCAGTTCGTAATATTTCTGGAGTATTGGTTTCTTGTAGCGCCAAGTAATCCTTCTCAGTGTAGAGTCTATAACATTGACCTGGTGCCTCTCGACCAGCACGACCTTTCCGCTGGATGGCTGCAGACTTTGATATCGGCTTCACGAGGAGCGAATCCAGACCCAATCGAGTTCGGAACTGTTTCATCTTGGCCTTCCCACAATCAATGACATATCTGACTCCCGGCACAGTGACAGACGTTTCCGCAATATTTGTAGCTAGAATTATTTTTCTCTTTCTGGGTGGTGTGGGCAGGAACACACGCTGCTGCGCGGCCTGAGGTAATGCAGCAAATAACGGGACAACCAGCACCTTCGGCAGGGCTGGATCCATGCCGTGTGCATAGTCATTGACCATATATTCAAGTGACTCGACCGTCTCTTGCCCAGTAAGGAAAACGAGAATATCACCAGGTAGCGGCTCCTTGTAATGAATTTGAAATATCGTCTTCAAAGCGGCATCGACGAAATCGGGGACAGGCTCTGGAGAATAAATAGTTGTTACCGGAAACATTCTCCCTTTTATATGACACACGGCTGGCTCCATATGCACTCTTTTGACAGTTTCGGCTGGAGTATCTCCGTAGTCGCCATTCAGCTCCGCGTCCGAGCTTCCATTCCCTCCATTTGTATCATTGTCTCTTGCAACACCATCTCCAGAGCCTCGAATGAATCCCTCCTTAAAGAAAGCGAGTAAACTCTCCATATCAGCTGTAGCACTCATTACGACGACTTTCAACGGCACACCGCCTCTTCCCTCTTTCGTTCCAGAAACCAGATGTCTTAGGAACCCCAGTAGGAGGTCCACATTGACACCTCGCTCATGAACTTCATCGACCACAACCACACTATACTTAGTCAACCACGGGTCGCTCAACATCTCCTGCAACAACATCCCATCGGTCAAGAACTTCACTTTCGTGCTCGGGGACGTCGACGTGTCAAATCTCACAGAGTAGCCCACTTTGCTGGCTGGTGACGAATTTCCCAACGGCGTCCCCATTTCTTCCGCTACCCTCCTCGCCAAAGAGACCGCAGCGACACGTCTTGGCTGTGTGATGGCAACACAACCCCCAACCTCCACTTTAGTCCGTTTACCACCGCTCGGCGACGGGGAGCGAACCTTGACCGTCTTCGCACAGCACCATTCCTCATCAACAAGAAACTGCGGAACTTGAGTACTCTTTCCGCTACCAGTTTCACCAATCAACAGCATCACATCTGTCCGGCGAAGGTGTTGACGGATCTCTTCGGCATGCGCAAATATCGGCAGCCGTTTCCGTACTTCAAACAGCACTTTGGCTTTTTCCTTTAGGGATTGATGTCGCTTTCCCTTTTCACCAACATTGAGAGATGGTTTGGATATCCCACGTTGAGAGTTCTTTGTGGAGCTGCGGCCTTGATCCCCGGGTTGGTTCCCAGTTGACGTAGAATTGGGCTGATTCCCATCGCCCTGGAGAATGACTCGCTTGGCTGAATGATTTCCCTTTCCAAAGCCATCAACACTGTCATCCCATTTCCGCTTCTTGATTTTCTTCGGATATAACGCCGGATCTCTACTCTTGCTTGCCTTTTCGCTTTCCAACGCCATGGTTGAATCAATGCACCGATCCCACACGACGCATAGAAAGAGCAATTTAGAATCTAAATCATGATAACCCCAAGACGATGAAGAAAAGCCAACAGCAAGCAATTCAAAAAGAAATGCAGCCCGGAAAATAATCTGTAATGTTACTCCGTACAGTTGCCCGCTCTCTGGTCTCGTTGCGTGGGATAAGATTTTTCGTGTTCTGCTTGTGGTAAATTATCTTGTAATTACAATACAGATAACCTCACGGAGTGCTCTGTTGGCATTAAGGTTATCAAATTTTGGCGGCCTTTTCGGGCCGTCGATGACCCGCTCTCGGCCGTGAGGTCAGTTTGTTTGCCGAGCGCCGGCCTGAAGCTAGATCCCTGAGATGCTGAGGGGTGAAAAGGAGAAGATCGCTGCATTTTCATATTTCATTCTACCCTGCGGAGTAGTTTCATCTCATGTCCGTCTTGGACCTGCAAAAGATACAACAAGCACATTGCTTTGCCAACAGAGAAAGAAAAGCCCTAGATACAGATACAAAATATTGCAAAGTTCTTAACCCTTATTCAGCATCCAGTGGAGCCACTGGAGGCTGGTCATTGACCTGGATACCACCCCGCTTCTTCTCGTCACTATCCCAGAATGGGATCTTCCAGCCTCCTTCGCTCTCTGGTGTGGCCAGCCACAGTCTCATGAGATGTCTGCGGGGTGCTGGTGGCGGGTAGTCCTTGTATGCGGTGCGCGCGTGAAGGACGTGTGAGTTTGCGAGGAATTGGATATCCCCAACATCGAGGATCATGTGGAGCGAGAGTCTCAAGCATGTCTCCTCAAGGACATCCATGGCCTCAAGCTGGGCGGGTGAGAGTGGAGGAATGATTCCTTCATCGGAGAATCTGGTTAGGGAGCGAACATAGTATGGATCCCACCTTTTACGCAAGACGTCAGTCACCATGCTATAAAAGTTCGTTAGGGAGAGGTTCGATAGCTTACTTTGTGTAAACCCGGCCTTGCCCTCCGTTTTCAACATACATCACGCTGGCTCTGATGTATTCTTCTTGGCCGACGCTGGTCTCGCCCTTTCGGTCAACATACCAGATTGGCTGGGTGAGAGTTTCGAGAACGTCCGGGCGTTCCTTTGCGAGAACATTATAGACATGGTGCGATGAAATGAGATCAGATTCTCCTCCTTCGAGGGCTTTTGCAATGCAAAGCAAGCCGACAACGTCTCCATCATCGGTATGGAAGAATTGACTTCTCAAGGGATTAGTCGCGGCCATCTCAACTTGTTACTCAGGTTCACCTACCGAGCATTGGTTCTGTAAATGCGCACTTTGTCGATCTTCCCTGAATCTTCTCCAAGGTCCTTAACATGTCCAAGGACATGTCCCCTCCCGTTTTGGCTGACGAAGTATCCCAGGTAAGTTCCAATCCCCATATAAGCCACAGCAGATTTGTGGTTTCCCCATTCCTGAACTGGAAGTCCCTTGAAAAGAATGAAACCCTTTCCGTCGAGAAGATCATCCTTGAGGTTGTTCAGGAAAGCCGAGAAATTGGGGAGAGGAAACAAGGCCTAAAACAATACCATAGCAATTGGCATACTGTACTCATTGAGTTGAATGTTGTGGTGATCGGCCTGGAACTCACCTTGGTAATTCCCGTCAAGGGAATCCCTGCGGCAATGAACGAATCCGCAGCATGGCTCAATTCCGCGATTTCTTCGTCAGTAAACCAATGTGTCCATTTCTCAGGGCAGTCTTTATAATCTTCTGCCTTCCAGGCAGTTGGCCCCGTTATCTCCTTTGGGAACTCTGAGAATGGCTTCAGTTGGTCATAGAGAGGTGGGTGCTGCCCCGTGGTCTTGAGGCCGTCGGGGAACAAGTCCAACGGCACGCCGGGCTTCTCGGGCTGACGACCGACCGGAGCAGTCTCGTAGACAACTGGAGACATTTTTGTAGGGTACTTGGATGACAAAGAGAGTAGCTCGGATGAATTGGTTTCAAAAGCTCAGAGTGTCCGGGAATTCGTGGTTGTCCATGAATTGAGGGTTGACGACCGGGTGGTAGGACAGTTGGCTCATATATACTCTGGACCGTCAGCTTCAAAACAAAGGACGGAATCTCCTCCGCACTTCCCACTCCTGAAAATCTGGGGCGCAGAAGGTGGTGATCAGGGCCTGCATAAGATTAGTCTAGAAGTCGATCCCCATGTAACGCTTGATGCCAAATCCGCATCAAGGTAAAGATGAGCCTCCCCGGCCTTCATCGGCACCAGATCATGGTTAAGATACGATTTTTAATTTTCAAATTGATGCGACATAGGTAGGGATGAGGTACCTGGTACCCATGAGCGCGGAATGGTGACCAAGCCGGCACCCGCACCTCAATTCAAGACACTACTCGGCCTGAAGAGTGCAGTTTGGTGGTTCATGGCGATCAATCGCAGGATGAGAAACACTGGCAATCTTGGTGCTCTCTCTAGCATGCATTCTGTATTGACTGGTGCGTATTTAGCGCATCCATCCGCCCGCAACGCTTGTACTGCTACTCAGGCTACCCTTGACGCCACAGCTATGTCGGTGAGCCCTGGGTCGTCTCGGCCATGGGTTGGATGAGACAAATTAAGTGGGCGGGAAACGCCGAAGAAGGTCCTGGTCAAGGGAGGCAAGTTCGATACCGGCACTCTTCGAGCAAAACGCCGAAGTCTAAAGGCCCGAGGCATGAATAGGCCGCAGTGGTGTCGTAGTCGATGGTGGAGAAGGCTCAGCCGACAGTGCCATGTCGTCAACTACACATCCGTTGGCGTCATTTGCGGTGGTTCGCGACTGAGACGGCTCATCGGGCTTGATGTTCATTATCTCTACTGAGTCTGGCACGTCCAGAATTTACGCGGAAACCTTTTGTCGGGCATTTGTCGCAGGAGGGCATGTGTTGTATATCTGAATGAGCATTTCAATCGGATATCATCGCTTGAAGAGTGTTAAAAATCTACATTAAGTATGATCTGTCGGCAATTGCCAACTTGGAATCACAAAGAAACACCAAGCCAGGTAATAATGTACGAACCATTCCGCATGAAGCGCAAAGACAATACCTAGAAGGTCAAAGACCACATCCCATAAATGCCCATTGAAAATATAGCTTCAACATAATAGGCTCAAATCGCCGGCTGACGCGCACTGGTCCTGTACATCGGGGACAGAGCTCAAGCCATCGGCAACTCCTCACATCGACACCGTTCACGGTTCTCCTGCGATCTGCTCTTCCAACTTTTGCATCCGTGCCGACCGGGAAAGTCACGTGTTTCCGCGTTGCCGACCTCCACGGATGCAACTCGGGGGCATCGCCGTTATTACATGACACTGCACAGTCCACAATCATAGTAGACTTTCTTCCTCCCGCTATGCAGTCTGTACCGGATCCTGTAGGAATCACGTCTGACCATCCTGATCAGGTTTCCATCATAGTTGTTTTTCCCGTCGCACACGGGACAGGTATTGGCCATAGCATCAATCGGTCCGCCGACAGTGAACGGGAGGATCTTCGTGCCCGTGAACATTTGGCATTTATAAAATCCAGCGTCCTTATCACATGGTTGACCGATAGTGATCCATCGATGGTCGCAGGTGGGGGATTTAAAATAAACGGTGCGGCACATGGCTAGTGGAGACTTGCGGGCAAACTGGGGCTGCTGGGATGGCCTTTTCGGCGGTTATTCAACGGTAAACCTAGTGCTAAGCCTGTGAGGAAGGATGCGCACCACGTTGCCCTCTGCTCGGAAATGAAGGAGGTGGAAGAAAACGAGTATTAGAAGTGACTGCTGATAGAGTTCTATTGGGGGTTTTCCGGATGGGAGCTGCTGATAAAACAGGCCATGATATACACCAACAAACGCGCAGGCAGAAAGATCGGCTTCGAAAGCATTAACAGTGTGATCTCCCTGATGTTCGCGTTCACTTTGAAAGCTCAGGCCCATGAATTGCGTTGATCCCCTGTTGTTAAAGATAACAGTCCTTTTGGCATTGATTTCACCTTTCATGAATCACCATTGTCTTTGTCACCCGCGTCCTTGGTTGCCTGCATAAGCTCGTAAAGCTGGCCGATTTGCTGGTCTGGTAGACATAGCAAACTGTCAGTGAATGGATGGAAAAAAAAAAAAAAATATTTTCTGGGTTTCAAAGAGCGGAACAATAACAGACCGCTCATTTTCTCCAGTTTTGCTTTGTCCAACTTCTCGTCTCGCCATGAGTCACCTTCTAACTTCTGAGCGTATAGCTGCCACTCCGTCAAAAACCCAACCTAGCAGTCGTGTTAGTCAAGATTATAGTAATGCACAGCAAGATATATCCCCACAATATGTATAGGATTATCCACATTGCGGTGTGCGCGGAATTCAGCCTTCACGTATTCATCTCCCAACAGCCGTAGCTCCTGAGGGAGTTTCCGGTGCGCTCGCAGTAGACGGCGGTAGAGCAGAAGAGGAGGAAGAAGGGCAAGTGGTGGTCTCAGGCTCGAAGCAGAAGTTATCGTGGGAGAGGAGGCCATTCGTAGTACCGGGGCGAGCTTCATTTTGACGATTCGTTCGGATATCCAGACAGGCGCGATTCAACGTGCGATCAGGGGGTGGCCTTAGGTACTTTCAAGCTTGGGGATGCTGGTAGCAATTGTTTCGGTTACTTCTGATGAAATGCAAACTCTTTGTAGAGGACCAATTGTTAACATCAGCTTTCCGATAATTTCAAAGATATTTCGTATGTCATCCAGCTATTTAAAAAGTTTTCATGCACCGGAACAGAATATTTAGTCAGGTTGGAAGCTTGGAGTCGGGAAGCTTTCCGGCCAATCCAAAGTCTCCGCCCGGCAATTATTCTCTCCCATCAAAAGGCACTCCATCAGAACGAGGAGCCAAAACGTCCGGACCAGCAACCTATTCCCGGTTTAAGCCCGTGCGGCCCAGTGTGAGAAAAGAAGTCTTTCTCTGCCGGTGCGACTGGACAACGCCGTATCGTTTGTCCCGACGCTTCACCTCGAGAAACCCTCCAATGCTCCCCACGCCCTCAACGTCGCATGTGTGTTTTGACACCATCTATGAGCCCGCAGAAGACAGCTATCTCCTCCTTGACACTCTTTCTTCAAAAACAGAGGCAGAATGGCTTTCCAGCAAATTCAGTTCCCAGCCAAAGTCCCAAAGCACCTCACCGTTCGTGGTTGAAATTGGGACTGGATCCGGAGTAGTGCTAGCATTCGTGGCGGCAAATTCCAAACACATTCTTGGGAGATCTGACATACTGACTCTGGGAGTTGATGTCAATATAAATGCGTGCGCTGCAACGGCAAAAACAGTGCACATTGCGCTTGAAGAGAAGCGGAAACCGGGACACCAAAATGAAGGAGAGACCCGTGGCGAGTTGGCACCGCAGATAATTGCAACAATAGCGGGGGACCTATGTTCTCCTCTCCGAGCTGGAGCTGTGGACATACTCATTTTCAACCCACCTTATGTACCTACACCGGAGTTACCACCGCTCCCTTCCCCAGACCCAGAGACGCCAGGAATTGGTACTTCAAAATTTGAACAGGATTCCCATTTACTTTCACTTTCTTATGCTGGTGGTGAATATGGTATGGAAACTACCAATCGGCTTCTGCAAGACTTGCCCAAGGTCCTAAATCCCCACCGCGGAGTGGCCTACATATTACTCTGTGCCCAGAACAAGCCTGATGAAGTTGTGGCGCAGGTAAAAGATTGGGGATCGGGTTGGAATGCAGAGGTCGTTGGTCGAAGTGGTGTCAAAGCAGGATGGGAAAAGTTGGTAATTGTAAGGATTTGGAGGGAGACAGCTTCTTGAATTGGTATTATAGTGGAGCATCGCACGGGCTCCCTTGCGATATCGTCTCAAGCTTAGACATAGCTGTGAGATTGCAACGGCCATGCAATGCGAAGCTGCGGACCAGTGCTACGTTCGATTTCGTCCCTCCGACTTCAATCAGCGCTTCCGGCGACTGAATTGGCACCTCCCGCTGGCAGTACACGGTAACCCCATTCCCTAGCCGCTCAAACACCCACGAGACACGCCAGAAAACCGCGACTTGCAACTGCAGAGCAAACCACCTCCATATAGCCGTTCAAGAGTAAACCCGGATTCAAAAGTAATTGCACTTTTGCACTTATAAAAATGGGCGTGCGATCTTGCCCACAATTCATGTCTCCAGACTCAAAAAATGTTCCTTTCACCAATCGCAAATTAAAAACGGAAACGAATAAACACGCCGATTATAAAATATTGACCCCCATCCACGGTTTAGAAACCACGACCCCTGCCGCGCCCTCTCCCTCTGCCACCCCTACCTCTCGGACCGCCTCGTCCACGTCCACGATCCGTTTCTTTCTTCGCTTTATTCTTGGGTTTCGGAGTATCATCTATAAGGAGGGTATCCAACGGTAGACTATCTGGAAGAATGAAATATCGAATCGTAGAACCGCGGATGTTGATTGTGTCGAGGGATATCGGCTCGCGGCCTTTGGGCGTCATCTTTACCGTGCGGAGGGCAGTGTTCATTTGTGGAGAAACAGACGCAATCGTTCCATGTAGTATTGTGCCTAGTAAAACCAAAAACCCCGTCAGCATGAAGAATTGCGGAATTGAGGCCGCGCTTCAACACCGCTCGTAGCTCGCGCAGCGCAAAATTGGGAGAACGGGACGGGATTTGAGGCGTGGGGAGAAACGTGTATACCATTCTTTAGTTCGATTGTGACCGTTTCATTGGCGCATTTCATAAGAAATCTATTTCAGGCGACATGTCAACCAGTAAGAACTTTCTAGAGAAGAATATATGACCATTGCCAGAGAGATGATGGGCTCTTAGGGATTGGCTTTCATACCGGACAAGCTTCATGATGCAAAGGAGTTTGACTGCAAGGTCTAAGTACTTTTCTAACGAAAGCCGTAAGACTTCGGAGTACAGAAAAAAGGATATCCTTTTGCTTGGGGAAGGATGCGTTCTTTGAACCAGCTTGAGCTTCTGCTTCAACACCCGAGCCAAGTTTGGAAGTCAATCTGGTGATCACGTGATCAAACCTTTCCCGCCAGCTGCAAATTGATCAAGAGACCTCTGTGATAATTGGGCTTTAAATAAACATATCAGCTGGTTATTGGATCTGGAACGCTTTCCCACAGCCTGGCTCTTGATGGATGCACTAAACCTAGTAACTAGATCCCCCAGAAACAAAGTGACAAGGGCGTATTAACTCCCCGGCGCAAAATAGATCCAGGGGCAGACGTACATATCTGCCTACCACCCAAGGCATGGAGTCGAGATGGAATTACTTTCATATTATACAATGAGAGCCACCTACCCATGGAGCTTTTGCTGTGAGAATATAGAATCCCATCCTTTATAGGCCTACTTCAGGGACGTATTGGAGTTTGAATCTGACAGAACACGATACTCACTTGACTGTTGATTGAAAGCTGCCACAAAAATTTCGATCAAGCTTTTCTTGATCTATTCCCACAAGCACGAACTGAAAATTCACAAACTTACCCTGCGTTAATGTGCATTCCATCTTCTTAGTAATGTATAAGAAAAGAAAAGAAAAGGAAGTAAAGGGAAATAATACTAAGGAAGAAAGAACAACGAGAAACAAATTGAAGGAGAAAAAGAGATAGAAGCTCAAGTATGCAAAACCTCGCATACCCAACCCACAAGGCCCCTCAGGCTCTGTGTTCCCCGCGTTGAAGAGGATGGCGACGATGACGCCGCTGTTGACGAACTAGCTATTGAAGGCATGGCGAGAACTCTAGAGGGCACTTCTATGCATTCCACAGAAGATACAAACGAGAATGTGATTTTGATTTCGGGCGCTGGTGCTTTGTCGTGGCTGCGGAATTGCGATGCCGAGCCTAGACTGCCATCCAGCTCATCCGGACCATCGAAAGTGAAAATTTCAGGCTCGGCTGAAGATGACTGTCGCCGCTGAGACTCGGTGCGGTTGATAGCAAGGACCTTAGCAGACGTCCTGATTGACCGAATATAGATTATCATATTGCTTCCGACAGTAACCGCAGATGGTAGCCCGGAGAAATTGGAAGCCGGAAAAGAGGCAATAAAGCCAGTATGGAAATAGGGCTGAGCAACCGGAAAGGGAGCATGGGATTCTGCCGAAGATTTGAAAGATGCAAGGATCATTCCTTTGCGAATTCTGCCCAGACAAGCATGTGGGTTGACAGGATCGATTCCAATCGTCCCAATCTGATGCTCGTAAAGAGACTTAACTGGCTGTCTGAGGTTTCGGACGCTGACGATACGGACTTCTTGCCAGTACGTTTCAACATGAGTCTGAGAAGTATGATGCTGTAGCCTCTGGAGCCGAAGAGATGTAAGGTTATCAGGGAATGATTTACTGCAAGTTGCCCTCGGCCGTTGGCTAAGGTTATCACCAGCTTTGTTTTCTAGTTTTGAATCCGGCTGCAACGGCCCAACAACCAGGCAATCTCCGACTGAAATCATACCTCGACGAATACGGCCACAGAGTATTATTCCTCTGTCGTTTCGATGGTCATTCTCGCTTGAAGCTGAATAGACCTTCGACAGTGGCATCTCGAACACATCGTTGATGTCGAGGATCTTCTCACAATGACAATTCCGAGCCATGGCGGTAGGTTTGGGTGAAGAGCGTCGAGGGAGTGGCAGAGAACGAAGTAAAGCATGTAAGTGGCCAATGCCAGCTCCTGTCACTGCACTTGTAAGGACAATTGGAACGACGTCTTCAATAGCAACATCATTGATCGAGGCTATTGCCGAATCAACTATTTCTTGGTCACTTGCGGATATTTTTTGGAGATCAGGGTTGGGCTTCGGGATTTCACTGGAACGATAAAGTAAAACAGGCTTCCTCCCCGCTGCTTTAATAGCAGATAAAATCGGGCTCAAGGTACGCTTCACAAGCTGGGTTCCAAGATCGACTTTTGTAACGACAAGCACAACAGGAAGATCCAATTTCAGACATAGATCAAGGTATGAAAGAGTCAGGTCGGCTTCGACCATCTCCCCTCGCTCTGCACTCCTCGAACCATCTGCGGGTGTACAAAGGCAAACGTAATGAGGTTCCCAACTCATCAACCCTCGAAGGGTTGACTTGCTATATCGGAGAGACCCTGGAAGATCAGACAGGAAGGCGAGCCGGCCACCAGCTGCAGTCGCATGGATATCATTCCAGGCACTAACATTTCCAGAAGCGTAATTGACAACACTGGGGGTTTCACCCAGGACACAGCCCCCTTGTGCAGAATATCCAATCAATTCCTGAGCAACAGAGCTTGTGACTCCCGAAGCAATTTCGTGTGGATGCTTCAGGAGACTAATCCGGATTTTCCCTCGCCCATTATCGAACGATGATGTGGATAATATCCCCAACAGGGAAGATTTTCCGGCACCGAAGGGGCCAACGAGAGCGACATATAGCTGCTCGGTAGACCGCGAGATGTCAGGCACCTTATGCATTAGAGCCATGTTCTCGGTCTCGGATTGTAAAACATCACTTCCCGGATGCTGATCGTCATCGTTTCTTAGATCTGGCCGTACCAAGGCTTCCGCCACCCATAGCTTATCCCTAACCGTCACGGGGTTATGGTTATCCGTTCCCGATTCAGCCCACTCACAATACCCCACTGCAACCTTTCTCAAAACTTCAACTGTACATCCCAGGCTCGCGGCCATAGCTCGAAGATTGACCAGACTTTCTTCGAGCTCGTCTTCAGCCAGTCCAACGAAAGTTCCGTCGTCAGAAACTCCTATTTCATACAGGGCACCCTGGCTCTCTTCAAGCCCTGGAAGGAGGGGTGCTAAAGCATTTGGAACATTCAGCGTGGGAGTTGCTTCGGGCAACACGGGCAACACTAAGTCCACCGTAGTAGAAGCTGAGTGAAACGGGGAAGATTGCTGTAGACGCCATAGCAGCTGGGTTGTAAGTTGATGCAATCTATGCTGCCTCGTTTGGCTTGACGACGACAGTGGCTTGGACGCTGAATCCAATTGCTCCACGTCCTGCGCTGATTTAGAATGATTTGAGCCCGAGATTAAACTTCCCGTTGACAAAGAGAGAAAAGAGCGGCGAGAACGCAATAACAAGTGCAGTTTGTACTCTGTCGGCCCATCCTGAGGTTCAACATCGAGCTTCGAGATGCCATGGTACGTCAAATAGCTGGGATCGCTGGGATCCGGCGCAGTGGTATCATGTGAGCCAGTACTCAAATATCCACTAGCGGTCTTCCGGAGATTCGGGGTGGTTGATCCTGGTGTGGACCAGGGAGAAGACACCCTTGGAGGGTCCGGGTCGTAAGTGAATACGGAAGCCATCACCTGTTCGTCTGCAACAACGGACCTTCTTTTTGTCTCGATACTTTAAATGACTTTTGTATGTACGCTCATAAAAATTCAAACTCGAATCGAAACTTTTGGGTCAATAGCATTTCCTCAAACAAACAGCAACCCTTGGTACTCATTGACCACACCTTAAGCGTATGTGCCAGTAGGAATGGAAAAAGCAGAAGAACTCAATAACGGTGTGTATATAGCAAACTCTAGGAAACTGGTAAGATATCTGGGTCATTTTGAAGCAGTGGTCAGACAACTGTAAAATCGTTCCGTCGCCTCTTTGGGCAAACAATATCAGTAGACGCAATAGGGTGAGCGGTTGGATGGTTTGTTTTCAACAGAAAGAAACCATCGTCACTTTCAGCTCAATGTATACTCGGAGAAATGAAGATTGATTTAATCTCATGGAGTGGTTTAAGCACGCCCCATGATGTTGAAATAGATATATTGACTCTGGATGCTATGGCGACGTTGGCCTGTCTTGACTCACTCGCCGGCTCCACTTGCCGCTGAGGTGGCAAGCGCAATCCAGAAAGGCGTTTTCATTGGCTGAGTCGACGGAACGCTGAGTCATCCAATATCTCTCAGGAAAAGTCACGTGAATGGTATTTGTTTGTCCTGTTTGCAGCAACCAGGGGTTACGGCTGAGAAAATACACCACACACACTGAGCCTTGCCAACAACCCAACGCATTCATACTCTGCACAGAGTACTCCGTAGAGCTGAGAGTTATACAACGCAGCGCCATCCAAGTGAAATCTTGGCATTACCCTTCCGGGAGGGAGAGGGCGAACTCTATATAGGCTAACTAACTAGAAATGAAGTTTGTAAGTGAGCGAGGCTGTTCACGGTCCTATTTATTGACCTTCTTACGGAGTACGGAGTACGAGTACGAAGGGCTTCGTACTCCAGGGGGGATCTCTTTTTCTGACCAACCGCAAAGATAGGAGCAAAATAGCTCCAGGAGAGATCGGCCGGCTTCCTTTCGAATCTTCACATGGAACAGATTCGCCGGTCAGATTCTTTTTTCCTTTTTGTACAAACGATTTTCCTTCATCAGCACAGGGGCCTGGGCCGAGGACAGTGTCTCAGTTGCAGCCGTTCAAAGTAGGGAACGACGAGGCTGAGCATGGACCCCCTGAAATCAACTCTGGATTCCTTCAGTAACTCCTCCGTACCACATGTCGTCATTCCAAACTCCATCCTCCGTCTATAGTACTTGGGTTCAGAGTAGTTAGCGGCATTTCGTGGCTTCGGGTCTGATAAGAGCAGCCGAAAGTTAGGTCGCACAGAGGCGGCCCCTGATCTTCAGAAGTACAGACCAGGCTGCGCCGCTACCAGTCTCACGGGAATCGTTCGGTGTTCTCCGAATCTAATAATGGCACTTCGCCGTTCAATTCTCTTTAACCAATGATCCCCTTCAATTGGGCCAAGGCCTGGGATCGCCCTGCAGCCCTACAGCCACGTGTTTATAGTTAATTTTGAAGACATTGAGCGGCAGCGCCGGAGATGTCATACCTGGCTAGTATTGAACGAAAAAACCAGCGCGTCAGAAACCAGGTGCCGAATGGACACATGTCCTCCAGGGTTGTCCCCTCCTGGTAAAAGTTCTCTCCCATCTTGTCGGCCTGTTCCTGGGATGTCCCTGCGTTGTTTCACGCTAAGCGCGAGAATTGAACCCACCAATCGCAATCGCGCTTAATTGCTCCGTTAAGGTTCGGATCAGATTCGCCCATTCCGATGGCCCTTTCTCCACCGGTTTTGCCGAATATGTCAAAGACTTCTGGGTGTGTTTGCCTTGTTTGCGACGGCGTCGCCGCTGTGGATAACTCTGTATGACTTCATATATACTCCGTAATTGTCCCGGGTATGCTTAACAAAGGATTTAAGTCAGTAGGTGTGCATTTAATGAGGAGGAGCAGTACGGAGCAGCCCCTCTTTCAGACCTACAGGCCTCTGATGAAGAGACAGTTAACATGCCTGCCGAAAGTTTGTATGAACAAATGCATGTCGCTGTACGTTTATACCGTGTGAAGATAGTTTAATGGCAAAGGGGGCAAGGTAGGTATACGTCCATAGAGCACAGGAACTACTAATCGCATACCCATCTTAAATCGCCGGGGATAAAACCCGTTCGGCAAGATGGCAATATAGCTAGCTTGCAGTTGCTATACTGCTTGCCAATGCTCAAGTGTTAGAGTAAGATAGTATGAAAAATTCACTTGCGGCGAGTTGTGCTAGTCTAAGAACAGGGTCATAACTCGCAGCTGGCAATAGGGGATTCGATACGGACCATGTGGATTGGAACACAAGGACAACCCAATCCAATGATATTTACGGGTTACAGGGCCCGCGATCGATAAACAATTTTACGTGCAGCGTAAACTCAGTAGCAGGACTGAGCAAACTTGAAATCCTAGTAACTTCGAGCATGAAGCGAGCGTTGGAGAAGGGTAATCGTTATGAAACTAACAGCAATTCGATATGAAGCGCGTTATCTCGATTCTGGGAATGTGTCACCTGCCTAGTCGCTTTCTCAATGATCCAATGGAGCAGAGTGATGAAATATCCAAGGCAGGAAGTGATGACACTCTTATTTGACATTAGGCGCTGTGAACATTATTCTTCCATTCCAATCGTTGATTTTCAAAGCGAGGAAAGGTTTTTTTGGCTCACCCGCTCTGAGTCGAGCCCCATCACGTTAATCCAAAGCGGCAAATGTTGTGAAAGGCATAGATGAAGTCTCTCAGAAGCTGTAGCCTCTCGAAACCTACTTTGAAAGATAAATAAGTAAGGCTGTACGTAATGGATTCTTACCTGGATATGGGTTCCCGGGCATTAATGATGGTGATAACTGTACCTACATCATTTGACAGCGTGGATTCGATCCCTGGAGATTCCCTGCATCTTCATCCTCTCAAGTTTATACCCCGGAAAACGAGCACATCATTGTCAACGGCCGGCGTGGCAAGGGAAAGAAGAGGACCGGGCCAGGAGGGTTAATATTCCGAACCAATATTTCGTGCATAACTCTCTGATGAATCACAATCTTTGCTTAAACCCAAACCAGGAGTTAGGAGATTCCAGGGTCGAAGGCACAGCTTAGTACGTAGTGCCTGGCCGCAGCTTTATGGAGAGTGATATACAGTACATCCTCTTACTCCTGGGCACCACTTTTTGGGGACAGTCCGTCGTTTGGAGAACTGCGTCGGAGATAATATGTACCGCGGCGTGTGTAGCACAGAGAAACATACCAACAGGAGCGACAGGCTCCTGCAAAGCTGAATATTTATCTCATGCGTATACCGCCTTGCATGTCGTTCTTCTTATGGCATTGAAGCAGAACTGGATACAGCCTTAAAAAAAAAAAAAAAAAAAAATGAATCGAACCCTGATACTCGGGAAGCGGCTCGCAGCGTTCTTAACACCGCTGTTAAGTCGACCACAATAGTGAATAGAAATCGGTTTATTGCGGGTGTCCATTAACTGAACTAAACTATTCGATCGTTGTCGGAACTCGCAATCGCCCGCTAAAACTTGCCCCGAATCGGGTCAACTACCTTCGTAGTCAAGGATGATAAAAGGGGCGTTTGTAAATCCCGTGTTCACAAGCGGGACAAGAAAGGGGAAGGGTTGCCAACCACGCTGCGACACAGAGTTAGAAAAAAAAAATCTTCCGAATCGTAACTATTTCTTGGTTGTGTCAAGTTATGACCAGGGCTCCCGGCTAAAATGCTTCGAAATTTTCATGCTCACTACGGGGCCATTCCAAACTTTGAAAGTGTCCGCATGCCCTCCGCCTTCAAAGCCCCAAGAAGCCGGTTGGAACCATTGGAACATGCTCACTTAAAGGTTAAGCTTAAACGGGAAGCCCGCCAGTGCAGGTCGCACAGGTTAGAAGTAAGTTGGTTATATATGCAGATTACTCCGTACTCCGTATTTGGGGGTTGTCCACCACGCTCTGGAAGAACAGCAGAGTGTCCACGGCAGTGCCCCAGCAGACCATCAAGGGAGGAGAAAGCACAGATCCGAGAGGTGGCCCCCCCCAGTCCCACCCCACTTCCTCACGCCGCTTGGCCTGGATTGTTTTCGACGGCGAGCGATAACTGGTTCGCGGCGGCGTGGTGGTGCCACCTGCGGCGAGCGACTCCGAAGCTACGATTCGTTACTTTCGAGGCCGACAGGGATCCGGTTCCGGGAGAAAAGTTGATCCGGCATATCGGATTATGTAATTATCACCTCTGGCCCTGAACTTTCTTCGAGCACGAAGCACTTGGCTGAAGGAAGTCTCTGGTTTCGTATGGGAAAAGGCGTCAAAGAAGCCGAGAGCGGGGAGAATATACTTTGGATTACGCAGCAGTAAAGTGACATCGGTGTGGAGTGCTGGCGATGGGGCAAATGCACTCCCTCTTGAAGCCGAATTTCAACCTGCAGAATAACATCGTCTCTTGCAGGCTGCTGGTACAGACTGAATGGCAACTAAAAGCAAATAATAACTGCCTGCTAAGCACCTACGGAGTACGCAGACCATACTTTTGACCAACTTCTATTCTCGTTCATTGCCGTCTCTTCAGCCCCCAGCGTTGGTAACCTTCAGGTGTTGGATACAACCTTGATTGGCCACGTTTCCTCCTTGCCAGGGTAGCATACATACATAGTTGCTCGGTTCTTCAGGAACACAACCGCAGCCTTTTGGGCTGCCTACTGACGCTCGATTAACTCATGCTGCTAACTAACTAACCCTTTTCCGTCTTTGATCAAACTTCTGTCAACCCCGAGATCTGCCTTCAATTTTGGAAAAAGTTATGCATGTGGCCCTGCCAAGCGAAGGAGGATGTCCAGCGCTGCTTGGCTAAAATCGGGTCTAAAAAGTGGCTCTTGGGCCGAGCGCTCGTCTGATACCGCCCATTAGCAAAATACTGATGCTTCTAGAAATATTCCATTCTTTGTCCCTGAGAAAATAAGTAAATACAATATCTTACCCGTTACAGGTTGCAGAGCGGTTCTGCACCCAATGGACGATCAGGGATCGTGCTGCTTCGGCCCTTTCCTTTTCTCCCGAAGCCACCCAGGTCAGGGGCCGCTACGGAAGACCAAATAAGATGTGAAACCCTGGAGAGGTTTCCGGGATAAGGGGCCAGGGATACCCAAGGCTAACGAACCCCCAAAATCGAATTAGATTGGCACGTATTATGGGTCTTTCTCTGTGAATCCAAAGGAACTGGCCATAATACCGTGTACCAACGTGACATACAGCAACGTTCTCCTCCACGCATGTGGAGTCGTGACCAGGACGTTTAAAAAACCACCGGACTCGTGGCTAATTGGATAGCGCTGATTAACATGATATTCCCGCATTGTCCTGGCCGAATTTGAACCCAGCAAATGGTCACAGTGGACCGGCTCATCAAGCTCTCAAACTAGCCCTACGAGAACCGTCTTCAAGACCCATGTTTTCTGTGGTAGATTTAATCTTCCCGCAGCGCCTCAGGCTAATGGAGGTACAGATGTCTGAATGGATCTGCAGGCTCACATACTCGCATCCTGTCCTGTGTGTGCGGCTGTGGGAGGTGGCTGACGTCCCACCGGGGACACTTTTATAAAACTGTGAAGCAAGGTCGCAGCACTTAATGAACCCAAAGCTTGATATATTGTCCCTATATTTGGGTTTCTTCTTAAATATCCATTTTCGCTGACAAGTTTCTGTTTACACCTGATCGTGCTGACTTCAGAGCAAATCCGATGTGCTGGACTATCGGGCCCTTGGAAATGATACAAGTCCAAATACCCGGTTCAAACCTTCTAGCGCTTCCATTACGTTTTCCTATCTCTGCCCAAGAGAATCTTGGAATGACCCTACGAAATTCTCTTCCAGAAAAGCATTATATTTCACACAACAGATCAAGAGTTGCTGAACGTGGCCAGCGGGCTTCGCTTTCGCCTTCAACCCTTCAGAACCTCAGACTTTCCTCCCGAACCCCTCCGTCACATGCGATCTCGTCTTCTTCGCAACAGGGGTCTCCGGTCATGTCGTCCGTCTATCTTTCGCACCCGACTACGGGAACGACCCAAGGCCAGCGAGATCTATCTCAGTTTCACATAATGACAGCGAAAATCGCTACCAATCCTTCTCATCAGTTCGAAACTGAATTTCGCGCGAGTCCTTCTTACGAAGGTTTTTATAATACAACAATGAGTCAGCCAGCCTTGGACGAAGCGGAGTAAGTTTGCCTATTCTGCAAATGCTACGATCAGCGGTTGGTTGACGGTTTTTTGACAAACAGTCATTTCCGTTATGAAGTGACACCCCCTTCAACGGGTTACGAACAAGCCCTCTATGATATTCAGTCTCGTTCTAGTTTATGGGGTAAGTTCTTGTCCCACCCTGGATTTATGAGCATTGTCTAAGCATGTCCTCAGAATATGGAACCGACAACCTCTCTGTATATTCAGGAAGGAGTTACGGCGATGGTCTACCAGAGACGATGACACAATGTTCTGAAGCCATGGACCTTCGACCATCATCCATAGCAAGCTCGCATCCCTTCGAATCCTCAGGCTTTACCCTACAGCAGCTTCATTTCGTTCCCGAGCAAGCACACCTCACTCCGGGAACCAGCGTCTCCAGCCCTCAGCTTCATCGGAGTTCGCATGGACAATTAAGGCAAAGTCCACTCTTTGCAAATACCCCCACCTCTGATGAATATCCCCGAACACCATCCTCTAATCCTCCATTATCGTCGAATAATGTGGAAATTCCTCCTTCCAGCCTTGCCTCTCAATATTCTTCATCAATGTAAGGATCAGAACGCGCTTCTATTTTTGCCCTCTTACCGGACGAGCTAACGCTTTACTCTACGTTAGATCTTCCATCCCTATCCTCTCGTCGGCGCAACCGTATGAACCGTACGTAAGCTCGAGGTTTCGGTTTTTCAAGTCCCAAAGCTAATTCGAGACATAAACTAGATCTCCATTTTATACCAGTGAGTCTCTTTCTGACTCTGGTTATTCCTTACCTCCTTCGGCATCCACAACACCAGTCCCTACCGTATCAGACCCAGCTACGGGGGCAAGCATTCAGGTTCGCGTGGTTAATTCCCGAACGAAGCCACAATGCTGGGATCATGGCTGTAACGGCCGTGAGTTTTCCACTTTCAGCAACCTCTTACGGCACCAACGAGAAAAAGCTGGCCTTGCTGCAAAATCGGAGTGTCCTTATTGTGGTGCCGTCTTCACCCGGACAACAGCTCGAAATGGGCATCTTTCGCAAGGTAAATGCAAAGTTAAGCGTCAAATGGATGAAAAGGAGAGATCTTTGACTGCTTCAAGATAATCATGGAGTTCTAAATGAGGTGTTCTCTGGTGGTCTTCTCTCCCCCTTTGGTTTGCCTTTATTTTTATTTTTCCCCCCCTTTTTATTCCCTCTCCGGAGTTTTGGCGTGCAAACATTCCCTGGCGATTTATATTGAATTTCCCTTTCTACTGGGATCCGATGGTCTACTCCTTAATATGTAACCTCTCTTTTGTCAGCTTGATTTTGGCTTTTCTTTTGTTGCATACGAAAAGTGGTGATATGGCGAAAAAAACAACAACGGTCGTCCTCGACAACTCGGGGATGGACACGGAAATAGAACATAATTATAATTAATACCCCTATTAACGGGAGTATTATTATCTTAAACTCTTCAATGAAAATGCTAAGATCCCATGTAGGGGAAAAAAAACCGGTTTCCCAACCTAGTAGGAATGGGCCGATCGGTGTCCAAACTACCTCCTCTTCCCTGTCCGCCGTCCCGTCTAGAAAGTTAACTAACTAGTTGCTTCGTTTGCTGATTTGTCCTGTGTTTGTACTCCGTATTCATGGAGCTATTGCCAACTATTACCTTGCTATCGAACTGAACCACCGCGCGTCAGACCGGAGGGCACTTCCACGCGTCCCTTTAACAATTCGGCTTCGATCTCTCGACGCATTGCTTCCTCTTGCTCGTTGGATCAATCCTTGAAGACATGGTCCATCTGCTTGAGTGTACGTCCACTGGTTCCAGGAATGAAAGAAAGCACCAGATCAATGATAGGAGGCACAGGAATGCGAAGACGACATACGCGCCATAGCCAGCGTTTTGGACGAGGGAAGTGGTGATAAGGTCCTGGAAAAACACATGAGTAGTTAGGACTGGCGAAGGACTGGCGACAAGACTAATATGATGTCGAGGAGGGAGGTAAAAGAAGGATACACATTACTCACGTTGATAAAATTGTTGAACTAGTCTGAGCGGGTCGAGAGGGCGCCACCCTTGACGCGGAGAGACGATGGGAAGACTTCTGAAAGTCGAATCGGCCGAGACGACTTTCACAAAACAACGATGGCTAGGTTCGTTAACGACATACCGGACGACATGGCCCAAGGGACTGGCCTCCAGGATGCTCCAACTGTTAGCATATAGAAGAGCAAGAATTCGACACTGACCTACCCTTCTGATCGATGTGAAGGCAAGTGTTTATCAAATAGGCCAGCAAGGGCGGTAATGATGATGTGAGATGTTGTCATCGCGACTGAACCCCAGAGGAGTATCGGCCGGCGGTCAAAATGGTCCATAGTCCAGATCTTTGAAACCACGCCAACGAGCTGGGTGATATGGAGAACGCTAGACATGATTAGTTGCATGGAATAATCCATCCCATTGGTATTGAAAAGCGTGGGATATCAAAGCGTTGCTGTTGACCAACTATAGTATCGGGATGAAATCCAACTGTTAGCACTCGCCTTGGAGCTCTGGATGCCTCGTGGCACTGATTGCTTTCTGGAATCGAGTGTCGGCAAAAACATCAGTATACTGTAGCCGAATGCGCTTGTCATCCTCGGAAAGTTGGCGCAATCGGACTAGGCTTGGTAATGCATCGCCATCGCGCCATCCCGACGCCAGCGATCTCGGAGAGAAGGGCAAGAAACTTACTCTTATGGCAAGCATAAAGCTAGAACCATCTGCAATAAAAAAGGGACCCTCCATGCCCACTCTCCACTCATGTAACGGGTCCCATAAGATATCTAAAATGCAATGCAGACACACGCAACCATGCAGAATTCTTCCAACGTCAACAATGTTCCTCGGTTCTCAGGCGGGCTAATCTCAGAAATATACAAAGGGGCCACCATGCTAAACATAACAACTCCGATACCACCGATAAGTCGAGTGCAGGTAAGCATAGCAAAATCAACACCGGTTGTTTGTAAAATCGAACATGCGGTGAAAATGATTTCCGCGGTCAGCGTTAAATGTTTCCTCGAGAGCGTATCCGCAATCCAGCTTGATTAAATGCGCCAAATAAGGCTGTCAGGTCAATCATGGCAGTCATTAGGCCTTTCCAGAACTCTGCGCCAGATGCCTCTTCGGAGACTCGCTCGAGTCGATCGAGGAACTGTGGCATCACAAGAATAATGGAGACAACGCCTTGGTCGTGTCTAAACAGTAACCCACCCAAGGTGGAGCACGCCGCGCAGAGGAAAACATAGGAGTTTGTAAAGAGCCTTCTGACTCTCCATGGGCTATAGGTGTCGCGAAAATCGAAGATGGCCGCTGCAGGGTGAGCAAAAACATAAGCTTCTGGGGAATCCCGTGAAAGCTCATATTCCTCATATTCTTTTCGTAAAAAACTATATCCATGGCAATGAAGCAAAATCGGTCTTGGAGGGGAGAAAACTTGACAGGTATGCGCAAGCCCTAGCGCTTTGCATTGTAGAACGGATTTCTGTCGGCGTTCGAAGGAGGAACAGGGCATTGCGGTCCGTTATAAGGGTGCCCAGGGTAAGCTATATCCATGGTGGGCGCCCTGTCTCATCCAGATGCTCCATAAAGCCTCTTCTTGATATCATAGAACCCGGCATTCCGTACTGTCCCATGCGAATTAGGAGCCAGGGAATATCTGGGTGTTAAGATGTGAGACATTGCTTCTATACATACACCACATTTGTCGTTAATCATGTGCTGTAATGGGGCAGTAGATTCGGGGCAGTTGTGCTACATATCTCGATCACAGCACCATTTTCAGGTCAAATCTGCCATGGCTGATGAAAAGTGAGGCCAGGGTCACGTTGGCCTTTTGCGCGTAGACTCCAGCTTCGCCCGCAATGAACCTTAGCCCGCATCTTGGCAAGCCACAAAATGCTTATTCCTGATAAAGTTGATCTTGACAGAGGCTGAGCGGGATTGCAATCGACGGGTGCAATGTCAGCCTCAACGGCCCGGCTATGATACCTGGGCCACGAGCAATTCACACAAAAAGATGTCAGATTAACTCCAAAGCCCAATCCGCACAGATCTTTTTGGGGGAAAAGGGGGGGAGGGGAATGAGATGTCGTCGTGAAGCCAAATTTACTTCCGGCGCTGGACTCTATCATTGTAGAGCAAAAGAGAACTGTTATGCTTCTCCGCTCACCTCCCGCTTTGGAAAATTCGGGTTGTTGCTTTGATCTTACTTAACTAGAAGACAAGCTGGTGTTTATAGTTTACGGTGGAGGGCTTGAGCCTTGGAGAGAACCTGTATTGTAGAAATGCCTACTGCCTCGATCGACATCTGTCAATTGAAAACAGCCACCGGGAGTCCAATGAAAGGCGTTCATGAGATTGATGTAAACCTCTGTACACAAAACCGGCTGTCAAATCAGCCCCGGTGTCTTGACTTTCTGCTCGTGCATTGCAACTCGATGCGCCCACAGCCAATCTTCCAAGCAGCGCCATGATGAGATAAGCAACCAACTCCCTGACTCAGCAAAAACAAACGCTGCGCGTGATGGCGCCCATTTGATGCAATCATGCCGCCGGGCGTTATTTCAACAGCCAGAATATTCCTCCAGACCTCAACGCCCAATGGTCTCTTGATACGCTCTTTCGGATCTCTCAGCCGTTCTTATGACGTGAAGCTTTTCGGCAATCGGTAACCCTGGGGCCTTTGATTGGGCCTTGATTCCTGAGACGGAGCTATCAGCGGACTTGGGATGAGGTTCCTTGCGCTGTCTCTTAGCACCTGACCCCTCCACATTCTGTTGCCCAACTATAAACACAGTGAGACACGCGAATCATGACCCCGATTTGAGTATTTTGAGGCAACTATATTTAAAAAAAATATATCTTAGTTTTACCTTCGCTTCATTGCTACTCGTCTATCTCCCGCGTAACAGGTTCTTTCGACCCTAACCTTCTTGGGTTGGCACGTTCAAATACCATCGAACCGAAATCCCTTCCGACCCCGCTTCAAGCAGTAGATAGAAACCTTTCCCCATGGCTTCTTTCCTTACGGACCTCTGGTCCAGCGTCTTCACGCCAGGAGCGACGCCGACCTTACTCGTCGCAACGAACGCGACATTTGCGGCCCTACAGGTGCTCCTACTAGCCCTTCTTGTTGCAACGCACAGCATTCACTTTTTGGTTCTCTCCTGCCTATGCGGCGCGCTGTGGTGGTCGATAAACTGGTTTGTTGCGGAACTTGATGTCGCCAAGGCAAAGGATGCACGGGGCAAACAGGGTTTCGATCAGTCTGCTGTTACTGGCAAGGAACCCTTGATCCGACCGCCAGGCGCAATCGACACTACGGAGAGCGAGACGGAGACCGAAAGCATAACAGGCGGCGAAGAAGCCCAGTTGTCTATGGCTGCTGCAACGCCTTTTAGCAGCGCCGCTACGGGCCGCAGACTACCCCCTTCTGCGTCGAAAAGGGAATCTACACCTGCTGCATCGAGCCAGCACTCAGTCCAGACTGTGACGGAAGGAAGTCAGGGAGAAGTGAGACGGCGACATGCTCCTCATGATAGTTCGGGTTATGTGAGTACGGATAGCGAGTGGGAGAAAGTTGAGGAGGATCGATAGTTTGGGTTTCCGCGCATACGCACATATATACAAATGCCCCCACAGAAGAGGTTTTAGCATCAATTTCTGCCAGCAATGATCTGAGCGTTGTACATACTGTACTTTGCATATTTCGTCACTGCGAGCTTTGATCATTCCCACATGATAGTTCTTCATGTACGGATGATATCTCCCATCTATATATGGATCTACATTCATTTTAACTTGCTGAACCTACTCAAAAAAATCTTTTTACTGGTGAAAATGGATAATTTCAACTTAATCCTTGCACAGAGTACGTACTTGTTGTGTTTCTATTCCACCTGCAGATTTGATCAGATTGTAGCCAAATATAGAGAGATACTCCAGCTATGGCCTGCAAACCTCCTCCGGACGAAAAGAGTACTTCGAATGGCTTGTTGGCAATTGGCACTTGTGGAATCGCCATCCTCAGTACACACTGTATGTGCCTTGCCCCCAGCGAATTTAGCAGAGTCAAGGGGCAATGTTGGCCTGAAAAATTTGCTGAAACCCAGTGCCAAGTTGCCGAAAGTTCCATAGCCACAAAATACATCTGTATATGGAGTACAGCCCCCAGTTGCTGCTGCTGTGCTGCAACAACAACAATTAATCCAAACAGCCAATCACTCATGTTCCCAGCCCTCAATTGAACATTTCCAACAACTACTGAAACATCCTAGCTCCATACCTAATCAATAACCTGTACTTAGTTAAGGTTGGAGTTGTAAATCACGTGATATCGCGTTATCGGGCGTTAACCAAGGTTGTTGGGAGCCAGCTTCACGAACCAAGGTTGAGTTGGATGGGGGAAGAGTGGGATAACTACTAGCTGTGCCAGACACTAGATTACTTACGCATTGCCAAAGGTGTGCTGTCAGGACTCCCGTCATCCGCTCCCGCTCCCAACACGGGCCATCCTCACTTACCGTCATGTTTCCGAATGTTCCAATCTCGATTGGCCGCAAGCGTGTTTTCGACTCTGTATTCCCGCCGGCTCCATTGAGCGCTGTCTCGCCTACGCCTGATATCACTTCCGCTCTTAGCTACACCCAGTCATCCAGTCTGCAGAAGCGCTCATCTACTCCCCGTTCAGACCCAGATACGATTCCTGAACAGGTGACCTGGGATCGGGCATGGCACACTGCGACTGCGTTCCTGTCGATTCCAGACGAGAAGCTTAGTTTCAGCACAAAGGGGAGAAACGACGATGACCTGGATGATAAGGATTTGATTAAGCGGTGGTCACGCGAGCAGCGACCGTCGCAGAGCATTCTGGATGCTCTCTTTTATGTTATATCAGACTCGTCAGTAGGCAAGAAACTCCGAGCTGGCTTAAAGGAGTACGATTTACAAGCGTGGTATGCGAACGAGGTTCGGAGGCATTTCTTGACTAATTTTCGAGACACCCTTATCAAGGTTAGTGATATGATACCATTTTTTCATGTTTGGATACTGCTCAGCGATCTATTTGCCGTGCATAGCTAACTTGCTATCTAGGAGCTTAAAAAAAGAGGCCAAGAGGGGGTGCTCCCCCGAATAATTCGGTTGCTAAAGATCGCTCAAAATATATACTATACCCCCTTTCTTAATCATATTCTACCCCTATCAGATCCTACATCCCATGAGGATGCCTTCACAAGGTTACAGCAATGTCTGCATTCAATTGTCACATACTCTTTACAGAACCCTGACTTTTCATATCTACTTTCTGAACAATTGGCCACCGAAGGTCTTGTGATTCTTGGAATTGAGCGCGATATCAAAGACAAGATCGCCTCTGCATATTCTCCCGTAGACGGGCATGGTGAAGATGAGATGGACATTGAACCCGTTTATTCAATATCCTACAGGGCCTGGAAAACTGAGCCGTCAGCCAGGCGCCGGATAAGTATGATGACAGATGGCGAGGACGCTAACATTACTGCAGCACGTGAAAAACTGCTCAGTTTGCTTGAGGGTGTTCAAGACGTTGGGCTCGGTGGAAGTAAAGCCCAGAAGGTCTTTGCAGAGGTAATGAATAATCTTATTACCGAATTTATAGCCGCTGAATACGCAGGAGAATGGGAGTCGCCGTCTCTTGTGGTTGAACATTTGCGGCAATGGATTGAAAACGTTTTTGCTCGGCTGGCCGTTCAAGTGCTGCACATATTCAAGCCATCAGGCATTGAAGATGAACAGCCAGATGACCTTATAGTAACGCTCAATGATGTGGAGAGATGGCAAGAAATTGGCCTCGCCCGATTGGGTGCACTTCGAATTAGCGAACTGTTTGAAATTATTGTCGAATGGGATGCTAGTGCCGGTGCCATTGAGGACTTGAAACACTATACCACCAATCCCTCCACACGGTTTTACCTCACCAGTACGTTCTCTGCAACGCTCATGGATCGACTTCTCCATCCCGGAGCCTCCACAGTTGACATATTGCAACTGTACATTTCAATTATCCGCGCCTTTCGTCAGTTAGATCCAAGAGGAGTTCTTCTTGACCGATTAGCTCGCCCTATTCGCCGATATCTCCGAGAACGCGATGACACAGTTAAAGTCATCGTAGGAGGGCTACTCGAAAGTACCGTGGACTCTGCTGGGGAGTCAATCCAAAGCAGTCCCGACGGCCTAGGAGAGCTTGCAGCCGAGCTTTCGAAAGCGCAGCAGATGGCCCACCAAGAAAATAGCGGGGAGCTTGACTGGGACGATATGAACTGGATTCCAGACCCGATAGATGCGGCTGCGGACTACAAAAAGGCCAAACATTCCGATGTTATTGGCAGCCTTATCAGTCTTTTCGATACAAAGGAAGTCTTCGTCAGGGAGCTTCAGCGGGTTCTTAGTGATCGATTACTGAAGAAGAAGAAAGACTATGATCTTGAAATATCTGTACTGGAGCTGTTGAAATTGCGATTTGGTGAAGCTGCCCTGCAAGCTTGCGATGTTATGATGCGTGATGTCTTAGATTCAAAGCGCGTTGATGCCGTGATACGGGCTGATCAAAAGCTCGAGTCCAAGCAAGAGCATGCGCACTCTATGGGCCGTGATACGCTTGAGCATGTACCTGAACTGAACTCGAAGATCCTTTCGCGTTTATTCTGGCCGTCACTATCAGATCAGAATTTCAAGGTTCCCGAGGAAATTTCTTCTCTACAGACTCGATATTCTACAGGCTTTGAAACACTAAAGCCATCTCGCAAACTTACTTGGCTTAATAGTCTAGGGGCTGTCACCGTTGAACTTGACCTTAAGGACCGGATATTTAGCGATGAAGTCACTACCTGGCAAGCAAGTGTTATTTATTCTTTCCAATCACCTTCGTCTACCTCAGATTCACCGGTCACAAAATCCGTCTCTGAACTCGCTGAGCAACTGGAAATGTCTCCATCTCTCGTCCGCAGCGCCTGTCTGTTCTGGCTAAGTAAACGTATCCTTACGGAATCCGCACCAGACGTTTACTCTGTCCTCGAAACGCTTCCTGATGACGAAGAAAGCTCATCCCAACCTGTTGGAGCGCAGGAAGGAGACAAGACGGCTAGCACTTCGGACGCCTCCGCTGCTGCCGCTGCCGCTAAGGCTGAGGCGGAGCGCGAATCCGCCGAAGCGGCTGCCATGGCAAAAATGAACCTTTACTGGCAGTTTATCGTGGGAATGTTGACCAATCAAGGCCCAATGCCTCTTCAACGCATTATTATGATGCTGAAGATCGCTGTGCCTGGAGGCTTCCCATATAGTAGCGAGGAGCTGAGAGAATTTCTTGGCAAAATGGTTGCGAAGGGGAAGCTGGAGATGATTGGAGGTGGGAATTATAAGATCATCAGTGCATGATGCCTTGAGAAGGTCGAGGTTCCCAGCTTAGCTTATCATGTTATTGTTATGTATCTGTTTTGCCAGCAGAGACTGTGTGTTGGCCGTGGTAGTGATGACATGATTCCCCCCCATTTTCAACTTAACAGCTCGATGTCAATGTCTCCGATACACCCCCAAATGGATATTCCCGATGCTTGTTTGAGTTTGCGACATTCGGAGCTTAGGAAGAAATGCATGAAGGTGTATCATTTCTAACCTTCGCGCATAATTGAAGGGGTTTCTTTGCTTGATATTGTAATAAAACATGAAGAGCCATGCAAGCCCCAATTATTCCATGCACAGGCATTTGTTAAAACTCTCACCAGAAGGCCGCATCCTGTCACTTTGTTCTCTGCGGCGAATTAAAAACAGAAAAGATATATCCGACATTTTTCACATAAAGAAAGAGCAAGTCAAGCTAACACCAAGAGAATTCCTACCGCCATGAGTAGCATAACCCCCTTAGTTCGGGCATCAATATTATCATACTGCATAACTTCGCGGTCGAAAAGGAGTAACGTTCTTTTATTAGCTCAAACCCCAACCTCTAACCCGTCTAAAAACGAACGCCCTATCGTTACGCAGCCCGAATTCTCCCCAGTCATCAGTGAGTCGATTATAACTCCAGAATCCCTTCCAGACCAGCTTTGTGTTCTTAGAAGTATTGGCCAGCGTAGAAGCAGAGCCGTGTGTGGCGCTTCGACTCGGCGTTGCGGCGGATCGCAAAGCGAGGTGCATGGTGTATGTGTATTTGGGGTCCACGCCTTCTGTTTCTATAAAGAGATCACGCGGGTCATGCTTGGGGTCCGAACTCGTGTTGGTTCCATGTCTGGTCGGCTGTGGAGTTAGGCGGGGAGCGGCGATCTCGGTAGTAGAGGTGGACTTAGAATCCTCGGTTGGCTTTACAGGACTTGGGTGTGAAAGGTGCCATCGACCTTTCAACGCAGATTTAAGGGCGGAAGACGCGACGGTAGGAATGGGATTGGCCACTGCGGCAACGGGAGCAGCCGGATTAGGGTTTAACACTTGGTTCTGATGTTGGCGATGGGCGGACGGTGGTGTCTGAAGGGCTTCGATGTTCTCCTTGCTGATGTGGGGAACCACATCGACAGGGTCGGTGGTTGTGAGGAGCGAGATAAGAGAACCGTCGGGATAGAAACGGAGATACCGGTAATAGGTCACGATATGAATTGGCGCGTTCCATGATACATTATGGAAAGACGAATGCGCTCCTGGGCGAGTATAATTGACCGTGCTTATATATATACCCGTAAACCGAATTCGGGGAAATGTCTGAAAGACCTGGGCCCAGGTAGACAAGGGTTTAGGAATTTGCAGAGCTGTAGAACCTAACGGGAAAGGAGTA